AATCGTCTGACGCCGAACTCTCATTATTTGAGCCATCACCGGAGGCAGAGAGCGAGGAAGAGGGCTCGTCCTCTTACTCAGAGTCTGATCCAACCGGGTCATACTATGACACAGAAGTCCCCAAACAGTGAGGGACATGTATACCAAAAAATATGTATATTAGATGTATAAAACCGATCTCCAATACTTAATACCTAATCTCTGTAGATTTCCCTATTCTTATTTGATTTATTTTAGCTTGAATTCGCTTCTCCTTTGAGAAAAGTTGAAGCTTTCCAACTTTTAATATCATATTGTCACCATAAACCCATCAAGTCTCACTGATCTCACTGCCCAGGTGCATTTTGCTACATAAAATCGTGCATGCCGCCTTATCTTATCGGTGGCAACTTCGGCTGCACTAATTTTCCGCCTTCAAGATCCCGAACTGCCTCCGAGAGCTATAGGCAGTGTTTTGCGCGCTCGCCAATTCACAAGTCACTTGTCCAGTTTTGCTGGCTCTATCTTTCATTTGGTTGGATCTCTTTTGTTCCACCGCCAATCATGGATGACCTCGAGTCTCTGGAGCTGTTCTCGCTCGTCTCGCGCGTGACGAACGAGTTCGAGAACCACCTGGGAATCGCCGACAAGACCCTCGCGGAGTTCGTGATCGACCAGCACCTCAAATGCAATGGCAAGTTTTCCGATTTCAAGAAGTTTTTCGACGATATGGGCGGCGAATTCCCGCAAAGTCTCTTGGAGAGTGTCGACCGCATGGTGCTCACGATGCACCCCAAGTACAAGGGAAAGAAAGCAGAGAACGACAAGGGAGCTTCTCATGGTAACGAAGACATGGATTTGCTTGATGCTTTGGAGCAAAAGTCCCGTGTGTTCAAGGGCCTTGCGGTCCCCGATACGGAGAAGCGTTGGGCGGAAGAAGACTACACCGATCGCCAAGCGGCAGACGAGGCCGATGCGCAAGCAGGTGCGATGGACGACACTTTCGCCATGCTCGAGGGCCTGGCAGGAAAGGCGAAGGAGGACAAACAACATGCACCGAGAAACGACCGCGGGACTAGGAAGCGGAGCCGCAGCCCCGAATACAACGATTACGACCGTGGACGCCGCAGAGACAAATATCGCTCGCGATCAAGGTCTCGAAGTGGCACACGGTATAACAAAAACGATGATCTCGTGGACGAGTTCGGTAGATCGATTGGGAAATATGGCAACCGGGAAGACAGCCGTCGCAATGGCCATAGCGACCGCCGGAGACGCCGTGATCGCGAAGAGGATGATGATTTCCGCCGTCCTCCGCCTGTCGAGCTGGATGACCAGCCCGTTCTTTTCAAAGTCTATGATGGAACCGTGACGGGCGTGAAAGATTTCGGTGCTTTTGTGAATCTAAAGGGTGTCAAGGGCAAGGTAGATGGCCTTGTTCACGTTTCAGCAATGCAGGAAGGAGCACGAGTGAATCATCCCTCAGATTTGGTCTCGCGGGGCCAACCAGTTAAAGTTAAAGTGGCTAGTATCGAAGGCACTCGCATCGGACTGTCCATGAAAGAGGTGGATCAATCGACAGGTAGGGATCTTGTCCCCCAGAAGCGCCTTGCTTCTGGTGCAAACATGGAACGCCTGGATGGCGGATTCACAGATGACAATTACGGCAGCCTTGCCTCCGATGTGCCCGTCATTGAAGGGTCCGGAGGTCGGCCAATGAGGAACCGAAAGCGCATGACTTCGCCAGAGCGGTGGGAGATCAGACAATTGATTGCCTCCGGTGTTGTCTCTGCAGCAGATTATCCCGACATCAACGAGGAATATAATGCAACGCTTACCGGCGAAGGCACTTTCGAAGAGGAGGAAGATATCGACATTGAGGTCAAAGACGAGGAGCCTCCTTTCTTGGCTGGCCAGACGAAACAATCCCTCGAACTTTCTCCTATTCGCGTTGTCAAGGCCCCTGACGGTTCAATGAACCGTTCTGCAATGGCAGGCACTAACCTTGCTAAGGAGAGACGCGAATTGAAGCAGCAGGAATTACAAGACAAGGCCGCCGAAAAGGCGGCGGATGTTGATTTGAATGCTCAATGGCAGGACCCCATGGTTGCGCCGGAAGAGCGAAAGTTTGCTGCTGATCTTCGGAGTGCTCAACAGCCCAAGCAGGATGAGGCTGTACCAGAGTGGAAGAGAGTAACGATGGGCAAGAACGCATCTTTTGGAAAGCGGACGACCATGTCCATGAAACAACAACGCGAGAGTCTGCCAGTCTACAAGTTCCGGAAGCAATTGCTGGATGCAGTGAAGGACAATCAAATGATGATTGTCGTCGGAGATACAGGTTCTGGAAAAACTACGCAGTTGACCCAGTACCTGGCCGAGGGCGGATATGGAAACAACGGAATAATTGGTTGCACCCAGCCTCGTCGTGTCGCCGCCATGTCAGTGGCTAAACGTGTGGCCGAGGAAGTTGGTTGCAAGCTCGGAGCAGAGGTTGGATATACCATCCGTTTTGAGGATTGTACCAGCCCAGAAACCAAGATCAAGTACATGACCGATGGAATGCTTCAGAGAGAAATTCTTCTGGATCCAGATCTCAAGAGATATTCCGTTATCATGCTCGACGAAGCGCACGAGCGGACAATCGCGACTGATATTTTGTTCGGACTGTTGAAAAAGACAGTCAAACGAAGACCCGATCTTAGATTGATTATCACTTCCGCCACACTGGACGCTGAAAAGTTCTCCGAATACTTCCACGGATGCCCCATTTTCTCCATTCCCGGCCGAACTTTCCCTGTCGAAGTCATGTACTCCAAGGAGCCTGAATCTGATTATCTGGATGCCGCCCTCATCACTGTCATGCAAATCCACTTGACAGAACCGCAAGGTGACATTCTGCTTTTCTTAACGGGCCAAGAAGAGATTGATACCGCATGTGAAATCTTATTCGAGCGCATGAAAGCTTTGGGCCCTACTGTTCCTGAACTGGTTGTCTTACCTGTCTATTCTGCACTACCCAGTGAGATGCAGAGTAGGATTTTCGACCCGGCACCCCCAGGCGGACGTAAAGTCGTCATTGCAACAAACATTGCGGAGACCTCGATCACAATTGATCAGATTTACTACGTCATTGATCCCGGCTTTGTGAAGCAGAACGCCTACGATCCGAAGCTCGGCATGGATTCCCTTGTGGTCACTCCAATTTCCCAAGCGCAAGCTAAGCAAAGAGCTGGCCGTGCCGGAAGAACAGGACCTGGAAAGTGTTTCCGATTGTATACGGAGGCTGCCTATCAGTCTGAAATGCTTCCAACATCTATTCCCGAGATTCAGCGTCAGAACCTCTCACATACCATTCTCATGCTCAAGGCAATGGGTATCAACGACCTCCTCCACTTCGATTTCATGGATCCACCGCCTACCAACACCATGTTGACAGCGCTCGAAGAACTGTATGCCTTGTCAGCACTTGATGATGAGGGTCTTTTGACTCGACTCGGACGAAAGATGGCCGATTTCCCCATGGAGCCTGCGCTTGCCAAGGTGCTCATTGCATCTGTGGATTCGGGCTGCTCCGATGAGATGCTTAGCATTGTCGCCATGCTGTCAATCCAGTCTGTCTTCTACCGCCCCAAAGAAAAGCAGCAACAAGCAGACCAGAAGAAGTCCAAATTCCACGATCCGCACGGCGATCATCTGACCCTCCTCAATGTCTACAACGGGTGGAAGAACGCAGGCTTCAACAACTCTTGGTGTTTCGAGAACTTCATCCAAGCACGACAGATCAAGCGCGCTCAAGATGTGCGCCAGCAGTTGCTCGGCATCATGAACCGCTACAAGCACCGGATCGTCTCTTGCGGCCGGGATACCATGAAAGTGCGACAGTCCCTGTGCACCGGATTCTTCCGTAACGCAGCGCGCAAAGATCCACAGGAAGGATACAAGACCCTGGTTGAAGGAACGCCCGTGTACATGCACCCCAGTTCCGCGATGTTCGGCAAACCGTCCGAGCACGTCATCTACCACACTTTGGTCCTCACGAGCAAAGAGTACATGCACTGCACCACTGCTATTGAGCCGAAATGGCTTGTGGAGGCGGCGCCCACTTTCTTCAAGGTTGCGCCTACGGATCGATTGTCGAAGCGCAAGAAGGCGGAGCGTATCCAGCCTCTACACAACCGCTTTGCTGGCGAAGACGATTGGCGTATCTCTGCCCAGCGGAGGCAGGGCAGAGGTGGCGGTGGTGGAACTTGGGGTTGATTTTTGTTTTTCCAAGATACCAGCTATGGTTGCAATCATGCATCTTTTTTTTGCGTCTTATATCTCTCTATCATTGTGCTTTTGCATGAATCACTTAACTTAAAATATTGTGGTTACTTTTTTTTTTGGAATCGAGTTCTTGTATGATATTTGGGGGGGAATAATTTACTGGTTGTTCCATTCACCACTAAAAATTCCTAAATAATACTGGCAGTTTAAATAAAAGCCTTAAACCCTCCTATCTTTATCTGGCACAGAGGATGGAAGGAGTTATTCTCGTCTTTTAATGTATACATATATTCCGAAAGGCATCAGTCTAGTCCGTTCCGTATAGAGATCGAAATTTACATCCAACCCTACTTGCTTCTTGTAGTGATGCTCGGGATATGTGCAGCTGGTCCTCCGCAGATTATTAGCGCAAGATCCCTGGTTCTATAGTGTCTGACAAGAAGATCGCCTCTCTAGGCCATGAATGTTTGCTATTGTCTAGCAGTTGAACTGTATTACTTCCTCTAGAGAAGTCTGTATATCTTGGAGCGATAAGTATGTCTACTCTGAGCCAATATAGGATAGTTTGATTTACAGAAGAGCTTGAATGCTAAGCGATCAAATGAATTGTAATAAGATTACAACGTAGATGGAAGTCCAGTCTGCTACATCTTAGAATGAATCCTTATCCTTCAAACAAAAACCCACTCATCGATCAAAGTGGAATCCATCTGGTCAAGTCAGTATGTAGCTTCCATAGAATAGTAGGATTGTCAAATGGTCTTCCAGCCCACCGATTCTTCATCTCCGTGCTTGGGAACTTTGGTGTTATTACATACCTCAATCTCAAGGCCCCTAACCTTTATAATATCGCGAAGCCGGCGAGTCATGGTCTTCTTGCAGTGGACATCCATTGTACCAATCATGCACTCAATTTGTTCAATAAGACTCTCCATCCGGGAGATATTTCCCATCCTCTGCTTGCACAATATAACCTGTCTATGGGGTCCCGCGGTGGTCATCTCGGTATCGAGAGTTGCAATATCCTCCGTGAGGTCCTTGAGCTCGGCCATTTGGCCATTGATGATGTCGACAGTAGAGGGTTTAGCCATGGCTGAAACGATGGGACGATGAAGAAGTTAAAGATCTTGATAGAGGATAAGTAATAGAAGTAGATGAAGTTGGAGAAGTAGATGAACTAGAAGACTGGAAGTACTAAAGAAGTTGGAAGAGCAGGAATGGCAAGGCATAGATCAAACAATTAGACGGTACAAATAGCCCGTTGAAGTCATTTCCTAGCTGACAAGATGGAATGAGACATGGGTCTTCAAAACATAAAACATATCATTATGAAATGCACGCCGAAGTTAGAGATAGGTGCTATAGGACTAATGTGTGGTAACAAGATTAGCGATACACGAGTATTCGCCATAACACAAAGAACATGAGAGGGAACACATAAAATTGCAACATGGCATCGGTTTCGTAACGCTCAGCAACACAACAGATGCCCGTCACGCAGCTACCGGCTCTACCTGGGGCACCTCGCGAACAAGGAAATACATCACCATGGGCTCCGTTCCGCCATACTGGGAGTAGTCCACCGATACCGTATCTACCAGTCGAAAGCCAAGGCTGAGATATAACTTCAGTGCAGCCGGTTCCGACATCACATAGGTCTTTATTCCATGTTGATCTGCAATCTGCAGTCCACTTTGCACGAGCATTCTCCCGACGCCTCGGCGCCAGAAAGAAGGGTCTGTCGTCAGATAATCAAGAGCTGGAGAGGGTATCAGTCATCCGCCTGCTATGGATATATCGACATGCATCTTACTCAGAAACGGTCCTCCTGACATAATTCGAGCATCGGCTTCTTCGAGAGGCTCACTGCGATAATGCATCATCTCGCCGCCCTTTAGGCCTATAGGTTGTCCATTTCGGGAGTTCTCTTGATACCGTTTCTCGTACACTGAACGATCGGCAGGAGTAGGTTCAGCTACCTGTGCCTCCAACCAGACATCACCCTTCTTTGCCATGATTGGAGGGAGGGACCATCGCGCATACCCCACCACTTGATCGGTCTCAACATCGATAACCTTCTGATGTCGTTTGGTCTCTGTGCCGGTCACCAAAATTCTAGGAACCCGCTCGATGGCCCTAGGAATAATACTTTCGGCAGATGGGTTCTCCCACAGAATTCTCCAGTGAGGATCGGTGAGACGAGCACTCATCATAGTCGTTGCGAGGCCAGGAGCGTCTTCCGGGAAACAGGGCTGAATGATAAATGCCATGACGGAGAATGAGGAGGAGGCTTGATTCACCTTCTGACTGGAAGGATGGGCTGGAAGATATACAGAGGAAATATTTAAAGAGGTTTCGGCGTAGGTAGTAATGTGCAGGGGGGTCAGGTAACTTACTAGGCTAATCTCAGCCCTGGAGGGTCTAAGGTAGCCAAATACTACGCTATATCCCTCGACCTAGTCACTTTTAGGTAATCTGGGCGAGCTGACTGTCTAATATTGGTGTAGTGTAATACATAGGTCGATAGTGATCAGCGTTAGACACAGAAATGAACAGCCTGTCAGCTTTGCTAATGCCGGTGATTCCGATAAGCCGGTTGTATGTATCGGGTCCATTCATATAATTGTGCAAAGAGGGTTAAGGATTATTTTTTGTACAGGTCTGTCGCTACCAGGCTAGTCAGGTTATCCTTTCAAAGACATATAAATGAAGCTATATATGCCCTGCTATGGATAGTGATAGTTACATAGTGAAATGATGTAAGTGATGTGTCTCCCGAGGTCCACTGATTAGAGGCTAATCGTCACCGCCTTTATATTAATCCAACAGAAAAGGGCGGTGTATCCACACTTTTTACCGGGCGGGGAGACCTCGGCCAATCAACTGGAAATGTCGATGGTATCGGATCTGAAGATAAAAAAAAAAATAAGTTACAACACCCAACCCATCAAATCATGTCGCACGTCACAGAACATCCCTCTAGGGCGAAGAGAAGAAAGATCGATGATTCTAAACCAGAGAAAACGAATGTCACGTCCAATATAAAGTCTGCTGCTTCGTTGCGCGAACTGTTGGCTGTTCAGCAAAATGCCCCGTTGGCAAAGCAAGGTGAGGCAGATCGCAAGCCATCCAAAGCTACACCAAAACTGACTAGCAGACAGGTATAATCAAGTTTAAGGAGTTCTTAGTGTCAATTGCACAAACGGAAGAAGCGAGCGAAAAAGCAGAGAAATTGCGTGTCCTTAAGGAGTATTGCGATAAGCAAATCACCAACTCCGGAAAAGAGGATGAGACCTCAGTGTGCTTTGCAGACCTCATTCAATCGTGGTCATTTGGCGATAGCAATAACAATGAGCCTTTATTGACCAGTGTGCCTTCTGTTCTTGCGATCTTCCTCAAGACGATTTCGTCGGAACTGGAGTTCCGAGAGTTTGGAATCGCCCTGTGCAAACATCTGCTGCAGAAAGACCAGTTGAGACTGTTCAACCGCGGTCTGACAGCAACCAAGTCCAAAGAGCACTTGATCTCACCGTGTCTCCGTTTGCTTACGGAGATCGTCACTTTTGATGGAGGAGCAGTGGCACGACAGCTGTACCTCCGCCGGTATATTACCTTTAAGCGATTGGAGGTCTTCTTGACCCCCAACAAGACACAAGAAATCTCAGAGGATGAGTCCCACAAGTCCACTCTCAGACGCAACGCTCAGCGATACCTGCTAGCGAACCTGAGAGTTCAGCATGCCTCCGAGAAGGGCGATATCATCGAACAGCACAAGATCACTAGATCTTTCCTCGAATATATTCGGAAAGATCCGAGGGATACTGTACTAGAAATTATCAAGGCTATCGAGAGAGACGTGGTACAAGATTCCGCCCTGCCCCGCAAATCGAAGAGCAAGTTTTTCAACAGACACAATCTCGAACGACTGGTGACGCTTTATGGCTACGATCGAGAGTCAGATGAACCTAATGCTGGAGGAGTTATCATCGCCAATGAGATCCACCGAGTCATGATGAATGTGTGCAAAACCGCCGGCCTCGGTGTTCTCTTGCCTGAGACCGGCTGGTATCCTGTCGGAACCGATCCAGAGACCTTAGCCGTTGATGACGATTCATGCATTGAATTGGGCCTTGATTCCCCCATCTACGTCGACAAATACAGAGACTCCGTCCCCGTGCGGAATGGTTCCCTTTCATTCCTCATCCAGTGCCTTCGGCCTGATGTGGATAGTCTTCAGATTGAACTGCTGGTCTCGATCTTCAAGGTGGCACCGGAACTCATTGCTGATTACTTCTCGAGGAAAACGATGTTCATTTCAGACCCCAAGGCTACTCCTTCATGGATGGCCGAGTCGGCGTTCCTTTTCTCAACTGTGCAGCTGCCTGTCCCTGCAAACTGTGGCTGGAAAGATAAGCAGCCTATCCTGCCACCACCCGTTTCTATCGTTATTGAAAATATTCTCCCTCGTCCCCTTAACCAGAAGATCATGACCCGCTGCCTCAACCAGAATGCGGAGATTATCACTTTGTTCGCCGTGCGTATCCTGACTCTCGCTTTCACTAAGCTGCGAGCTGTCCTCAAAATCTTCCAGGCAGATCACGGCCAAGGTCAGCTATTCTGGAACCAGGCTTCTGCGAAGTTGCTGGCAGAATTCTCTCGCCGCTGCCCTGCTGTCAAGGACGTCGTTGTCCTCTTCCGACGAACAGAAAAGGAGGACTTGACTCAGCAGGAGGCTGTTGCAGAGCTCTTGACCTGTTACTATGATGTGATGCCGGACATTGCTCTGGAGGAAAACTTTGACGTCTCACTAGTCTTGGTAGATGTTCTCAAGCGACTGGAAGCCCCAGATGCTAGCGCGGATGATTCTGAGTCGCTTTTGAGCCAACTTCAGAGCATTCTCCAGATCGCACAACAGTCCGCCTCATTGCGTTGGTGGCAAAAGCCAGCATCAATGCAATACTCACCCTTCACCTCGATTCTCAAGGTTCTCATGGATACTTCAGATAAGGACTCTTCACGACGTATCTCTACCCTGCTCAAGACTGTTCTGGTTGAAAACTCTGTTCTGCAAAGCTCCCCACACGCATTTGCATCTATCTTGTCAAGTCTTGAGAATTCCGAGGCTGATGCTTTGCATCATCAGCTGGTTTTCTTTGATAACTGCGTCTCACGTGTCGCCAAGAAGCCTGTTCACTACCAGGACTTGCTACAGTCATTATCCGAGGATGTGTCCAGAACTACTAGCGCGCTTGTTGCTGCCATTGTTGAGCAATGGCCGTTTGTCGTCAAGAGCGGAGATGCATCCACGGAAGCTGCCGTTGGAGCCTGGATCGCAAGTCTTCTCGGTAATCTGAAGCAGGCGGGTGAGAGCACCAAGGTACTCAAAGCTGCTCGGGATGCATTGGTTGAAGCCACCGAGAGCAAGAAAATCAAGTCTCTTCTTAAGAAGTCCCTGAAGGCGGCAGATGATGCCGACAATGAAGACAAAATGGACATTGACTCTGGCTCTAACGTGCCTCGTTCATCCAACAAAGCCTCTACCGTTGACCTTGATGAGATCTTTGGATTCTTGCCTACCGAAGGGACGACCCACAACGCCCTAAACAAATGGGAAAGAGAGGATATTGCCGAAGCAGTGGATCAGGGTTACGTTGCCGAGTTGATGCTCTGCCTTTGCTCCCAGCACGAAGAAGTCCGAAGACAGGCCTTTGCCAACATTATTCGCTTCATGGCCAAACTCAAGGAATCTACCTACGCAGAATGGCGTACGGTGTTTACCCTGGCCGGTGAGCTCCTCGAAACAGTCAACAACATTGGCATGGACAAGCCCGTCCCTTGGATTGTTGGCGAGTGTGCCTCAAACTGCCTGGCGGTTCTCACAGACCCCCTCCACAAGGTCTACGGCAAAGTCAACAAGTTCCTGCAGAAGGCACCATCCTGGGAAGTTGAGAAGATCCCAACATACTGGGTCGATAAAATCCTCCTGCACGAGCCCGAGTTGGATGATGGGTATTTCGATGAGATCGACTGGCTCCTGAACCTATTTATCAGGGCACTCCGCACCGAGGCTGTAAGTTGTTACCTTTCGATTCTACACTTCAATACCACTACTAACACGTTGAATCTAGGACATGGAGGTGTACCGCCGAGCTAATGTCTTCGAGCGCATTCTTTCCCTCTACCAGTCCCCCACCCTCGTCCCAGGAGCTCGACAAAAGATCCTGCAGATTGTGTACCGTGCCGCTCAGGTCGGTGGTAGTACCACCCTGATCACCCGTTCTGGTGTCATCAGTTGGATTCAAATCCAAGCTGCAGAGGCTAATGCGAAGGAGGCTGCTCAGCTTGCGGCACTTGCACGTGCTTTGTATGAGAAGTGTGACCGTGAGCGAGTTGATGGCTGGAGTAATGGGACTCTTGGGCGAGTCGTTGATGAGATCCAGGCGCAAGTTTGAGGTATCTGATTTGTACAATAGCAGAATGTTTGGAATGGGATTGGCGTTGCCTATGTAGCTAAAATTCACTTGAACCCCCATCTTTCTACAACATACCTTACTACATGAGAATAGATAGATGCCTTGTCTTTTTTTTTTTTTTTTTCGAAATCTTTTCAGAAGTCTCAGATACTTTTATCCCTAGGGGTTTCTAAGGATCTTATCGATGTATCAATGATATTAATGAGAAGAACACCAGCCACTCTTGACAGGCTTGCGTTATGGAACAGTCACGGGGTCTCGAGCAACAACTCTGGATGCACATCCTCATCATACCACTCCCCTAAACCTCGCTCCACAGCCGGTCGCGCCGCAATGCGATTCACCCACCGTTGTAAATGAGGTAACTGGGCCAATTCATCCTCTGAAAATCCAATGCGTCGAATATTTCGTATCCAAGCCCAGGCGTTGATATCAACAATGCTGTATTTCCCCTTGTCCTTCCCAGCTAAATATTCCCGTATGCCACCACCATATCTCCCTGAAAGACGGATTTCAAGTACATCGTAAACCCGCAGCAGTTCCCGCTTGAAACGATCCACGTCTAGATCTTAGTAAGCACACAGAAAGCTGCAAGGGTAACACTCACGAGTTTGGCCATTGTTTCGAAAAAAATTATATTGCCCTTGATTGGGTTGCCCCGAAGCATGCCAGAATATTAGCCATTGGAATGCTTCGCTTTGTTCAATTGGATCCGAGAACCAGAAAAGATTGTTTTGGTTCAAATTGACGAGGTATAACAGTTCAGCGGATGATTCCATAACCACGTGAGGTGGACTTATATTGTTGTCGATTAAGATTGGGATACGTCCTGCATTATGATTAGTCTGGGCAATGAAACATTAAAAAGGAAAAGAGGTACCATTGGGATTTAGTCTGAGAAACCAGTCTTTTTTCTGTTCGTTTTTGTCAAGGTCGATCAGACTTGTCGTCCATTCAAGGCCGTAGGCGTCCTTGAGTTCTTCCAGAAGAATGTGGACTTTTCTTCCATTTGGGGTTAAAGAGGTTATGAGGTGTAGACCCTTTGAAAATTAGCTCCCGGTAGAAGGTATCAGATCTTAACTTACTGGGGCTTTCTTCACCCGTTCGGGGGTTTCGGTGGCATAGAAAGGCATTCTAATAAGGCTTAGATTCACCCAAAAAATTAAGAATATGGAGAATTGGTCGGAAGGGCATTGAAGAAAAGGCAAGCTTCGCCGAAATTGGAGGATCCGGTCTGCTTTGATGGCGTGATAAGCGCATTGCATGAGAAGTGGCCGAATGGTAGATCCTAATAGCTTACTAGGCAATACAAGAAGGAAACCTATCTTTTAGTCTTAACTCAGTAGCACTCCGATGCTGGAGCGGGTTTTATTTTTTTTTATCTAAAAGCTTTACTTGTCAATCCTAAAAGTGATTTAAAATGGCGCTTGATTTTCTAAAACATCTTGTATAAACCTCTAGCATAGAATCGTATACATTTGGATACCGATCAAGGAATAGCAGTATGATCAATAACCCATTGACGAATCTCCCAGAAATTGCGGCATTTATGGTTTGACCGGAAATCAGCACGCTCTCCGAACGGCGCCTGCTTTGTTAGAAATGGAAGATAACGTGAAGGGCTGGCTTACCTTTGGATCTAATTCTATCAGGATCGGCGTCACATCAGACGTACCTAGAAAGTGTTAGCGGTATACAATCACCATATATCGACTGCATACTTACACATAATGTTTGCTCGTAAAACCTCGATGCAATGATCTACCAACGTCAACACATGTTACCACATTTTGCTAAACGTACCTAGATGCATTCTCGTGAGCTTGGGATCTCCATAAAGACTTCCGGGTAAGTCAAGTCCTTGGTCAATCCAGTGCTCTTTGTAAGACCATTGTCGGAGCATGTGCTAGAGCGGAAGTGAAGATTAGTAAATGTTTCTACAGTAGACTGTTTCTTCAAAGCATACCACACAATGCAACTGATGAAGGACTTCCAGCTGAGCCGCATAACCGGTTCCCACCTCCGGTGGAACATGTTTGTATGTTCTGCCTGAATGTGATTTGTTCATGATATCCAACTTGTCTTCAGGAACTTCAAATGCACCCTCTGTCCCAGTATTCCAATCAGCTTTGGGGTATCAAAAGTCCATTCATATCAGATCACGTACGGTGCCACAGTTTTTCCCACATCACCTCCCTCTCTGGGGTTGGTGGGCCACGATAGTCTGTTTTCTCGTTGAAATACAGCGGAAGATCGTACTCGGAATACTTGATCAAGTCAGGTTCTCCAAGAAGAGGGGCTATGCTCATTAGCTTTGCTGTGTCTATTTTTCTTGGCTCACAAGATGTCCAGTGAAAGAACTTACAATAAGCTGATACTTTTCGGGCGCATTCAAGATCTGAATCTGACTCTGCGTACCTCGTTTGAAAAGCAAGAATGAGCCCAGCTGTCAGCAGAATGAGAGCAATTGATTCCAGAACACACGCAATGCGCAGAAACCGCAGAGACTTGCGTTGGGGTTCAATCACCAAGTTCTCCGACTCATCCTCCGATTTCTCTGCCAGCGACCCCGATCCATGTGAAATGAAAGGTCGACTCTCTTCAGACATCTTCAGTGTAAAATGTAAATGTCCTGTATGTCTCTTGCTCTCGGAGGTTGTCTTCTGTCATAGCAAAATCCGAAGTTTTCGCAGAAGACTGGCCTCGGAATACGTTTGAGCAATTATCGTATTAGTGCATATGCACCTGGTTGGGTATGAATACGGAATGAAAATTTGGTATTGAAAAACAAAGTAATACACACTTTGCAAGTCATTTCACGTAGACCTTCAGCTGCAGGGCAGGATAGGTCCATGCTTCCCCGAAAAGCACATCATATACCGCGCAAAGCGAACTAGTCCCCATCTCACAGCCAGAAAACATGATTTCGTCGTAGCCTAACCCCGGTCTAGCCAAACCCACTTTCTCCCACCGTAAGGTCTACCGTCCAGAGCAGGTGCGCGATTTTAGCCATTGGTTCATCTGAAGGAGCGCTGCGACGCGAATAGATCGACGGGACATGTCAAGCTCGGAACGTCTGACAAGGGCCGACGGGTCGTCACAGCATCGAGCAATGCAATGCAACCCCAGGCAAGGAGCAAGAGGTGGGGGCAGTCAGCAGCATAAGTGTGAGAATCAGGCTCCATGTGCGGCAAAATAAAGTCGGTCAAAAGTTACATAGGCTCGTTCCGTATCAAGTCTCAAGGACCCAGATATGATGCGATGCACCTTTTCCTAGCAAAAGTCACCTAGCATTCTCCTGAGAGATAGAACAGTCCCATTATTGTTCGAGGGGACTGACCCGTCCTCAACGCAGCGCTAGCGAATAGAACATTTGTGCCGGGGTGAAAAGTGACCGGGTGTGCGGTGTCAAGTGGGGCGGCAGCGAGATGTAAGACTGGGTGCGTCAGGCTGATGTCAAGGCGCAAGAGGTGGTGGGGGCGAGAAAGAAGGAAGGTGAAGGGAGAGGGCGTGCGGTTAAGGTTGTGAACGTACGGTAAATATTGGGGAAAGTTGAAATATAGCACGGAAGACAGGATTGGCAATGCTTGTCAGGACTTTACAAGCTTTTATATGTTTATATATCTTCTAACTACCGTACAGTAGAGGCCAATCGCAAATCCTTAGAATTCATACGGCCAAAGAAGATTATATCAAGTATAATGGACTTGGTATTGGATAGTGTTAGGCTACGAAGGAGATGTGATGAATAAAAAAGAATGTCTCTGCTATTCAATTTATGAAGAGTCGGGGTATTTATACCCTGTGTCTGGCAAACAATCGTTCAATCCGTAACCTATGGGATGGTCCAACAGATAGAAACTATCTACAGATACCGGACTCTCTCAACTCAGACCTAGTTTTCTTCGACCAAGTCCGCGTAGGCAGCTTGGCATTTCATGGTCACATCGTATTGATCCCGTTTCTCGAGTAAGTCGGCATATGCAGCCTGGCATTTCATAGTGGTGTCGTACTGATCACGCTTGTCGAGAAGGTCGGCGTAAGCAGCCTGGCATTTCATAGTAACGTCATACTGGTCACGCTTCTCGAGCAAGTCGGCATATGCAGCCTGACACTTCATGGTGGTGTCGTATTGGTCGCGCTTCTCGAGAAGGTCTGCGTAGGCGGCCTGGCACTTCATAGTGACATCGTACTGATCACGCTTCTCGAGAAGGTCTGCGTAGGCAGCCTGGCATTTCATAGTGACATCGTACTGATCGCGCTTCTCTAGACCACTGTGAGCATCATTCATGTCAAAGTTAGGAAATGGCTTGAAGTCTTACCGGTAGGCACAGGAGCAGCTGCCACAAGAGATGCGGCGGCGAAGATAGCCACGAAAATTGCTTGGTTGAAAAACTTCATTTTGACTTTGATGGAAGAAGAACTGGAAGATTCTGACTCGAAATATCAGGTCAGCTAGGTTGGTCTGGAAGAAGTAGATGATGAGAGGACCATCGTATTTATACCAAAGATTCGCGTAGATAAAGATATCGAATCCGGTAGTCACCGCTAGCAGGGGGACCACAGTCCCTCCACTAGGCTCCCAAGGTCATGATACCTTGTTAGCATTTGCCTAACCTGAACAGCCCAATACTCGACTACCCATCTAGAAATGAAGAGAGTAGTCTACACCGACAATCATCACGATCGTCCATTCTGGCCTATTATCTGAATAGGGCAGCGTGCAGAGTAACATTTCAATGGGCATGTATTGCTCCGAGGTCCATACAAAATCATTCCATAGGCGCAGACAACCTATAACAAGGTTTGGGTCTGATGCAGGGCCACGTAAACTCAGTGTGGAGACTGACACGCTCATCTGCTTAAATCAAGAATGGTCAATTTATGAATATATTGGATTAATTAGCCTACCAGGGAAAGTCGTCCGTTTGACGAGGAAAGAAGCCCGAGATTTACGAAAGATTTTCCGAGTAGGGGAGGCGGAGGTTGAAGAAGTTCTATCATACACATAAGTGATATATGAATTCGTCTCTTGTATTGTCTCAATGCGATAGTTTAAGATGTAAATTCACGCAAGGCCATTCAACATGACCCAAGAGCAATATTTCCAGGCGTGTTTACCTTGTCATTCTCGGGATCCGCCTTGCTGGCCTCTAACAACATCATCACACAATGCTTTGTATGACCAAAGCTCCCCGTTAGATGATCAATTTTCCCACCTCGCTCGAGGACTTTGTGGAGCCTCAAGATCATGAATGCGCAATGCACCAGGTGCTCCCTCTGCGTTGACCACCAAAATTTATCCCCCAACTCCGACAACTCATCCGCACCCTCGATTGGATGTTCTGCATGTCTATCCCGATAGTAAACCCAGGTCTCGTTGACTGCGTAATCGATAAACTCCTGTGTCTCGTCGCGAGCACACTGTTCTGGAAGCCAGTTCATAGATAAGACGTCAAAGGTACACCCTCTTCGTTTTGCTTCCTCGGTCGAATTGCCGCATGTGTACTTTTGAGATTCAAACTGCGGATAGGGCGACTGCATGTAGGTTGTAACCGAGTACCATCGGATTTCTACTGCTAAGAAAGTAATGGCCGCAGCACAGATGGCGATAGATGCGGCGAACACAATCCATATGAGCTTGGGTGTTCGCTGTGTTATAGGATATCTCGAGCGGGTGATATCTTCAGGCTCAATAGGCTCATATTTGCTCTTGATCAATGTTCAGTATTTCTCATAATCATTCGCCATTGTGGGAGCTTACTAATTTGGAAGACATGTTTTAGGATGAAACCTATCTTTGTGGCGACCACGCATAAGAAAAAAAAAAGAGTAGGGTGCTAATAACACATTTGACTGAGACGTATGAAATGGATACTTGGAATGTCAATCTAACAGCTTATCCCCGGGCTTTACTCGAGAATTCGTGGGAGCAGTTAACTGTCGGATGACGACGGAATATGAAATATAGGCTAATGCAGGTTGTGCAGTCTTCCGCTTCCCCTAGTAAACGCAAATTTATAGGGGGCCGGGATGATGTGTGATGCAGATCACCCAAGGTTAGCGGACTGCAGATACAAAATTACCAGAGACAGCCCTAAGTCCTTTTGCTTTGGGTGTATGGTAACGACACCAGCTTTCCCATCTCTTACATTCCGATTACAGACTCGAAAACCTGCCCTAGTTTTTAATTTGGTAGATATGTCGTGATTGAGCCCTATGCACAGCCCTTACATATAAGGTAATAGCGTTACGTATCCTAAGATAATAGTACCAAAGCTGCCTTTCAAATCCATCTTTCGCTGCGTCTTGTTTTGCGTCTTGTTCCTGTCTCCTCCATTGGCGCTCACCATGTTTCTCCTTTTTATCCAACTGATCCTGGATTTGACTCAGATGACATATTGCATTTCATTAAAAGGCCAAACAGTCGAATTAAATGGAATTTCATTTTATCTCCCACCAAAGGTTCTTGGTACATTTGGCTTCGATAATAGGCCAGCTGTCGCGAACTTGACGGAACATCTGTATCCTGTCACTTTCATAGACATTGCTAGCGATACCGGTTCTCTGGATGCAATTATTGCGGGTTATCAATCATTGGATGACGTTTTCAATGTTGGATTTCTGAGAGGTGCAATTTATCACTTATAGCTTGCTAGCACACACGCTGACTGGTTGTCAAGTCATTTTCCACAATGGGCACTCAAATGACGCTATTCAGGACTTACAGACGGCCAAGTCAAAATATGGAGTCGAAGCCATCTTTCCATACCCGGTCGATACCTCTCGGCCATCCCTTCTCCCTGGGCCATATTTCTGGTCTCCAGCATCAGGAATAATACATGCCGCGTATCGACTCTACTCAGACGAACAAGGGGCCTTTACGCAAGGCCTAATACCCGTGGGGGGTGATTCTTACGATGTGATCCCTGCCGCTGTACCGGTATGGCCATCTGCATCAATATACGACGCACTGGCTCAGTCTAACCGTGTACCAGGGAGCCGGATCGATGACCATTGGGGTACCGTCAAGGCTATATTCCACCAAGGACCCGGCGAAGCCACTAGCAGGTGTTAGTGCATAATTCCCATACCATTTTTGTTCTCAAAATGATCCACCTATTGTATGTTTGCTGAGTAACTATGGCTTAGGTACGTCTTGGAGTGAAAGACATCTTTGATGTTGCTGGCACCAAGTCCAGTGGCGGAAATAGGGCTTACTATAAACTGTCTCCTCCCGCGAATGAGACAGCCCCCGCCATCCAGAAGCTAATCGATGCTGGGGCTGTTTTGATTGGAAAAATGAAGACTAGTCAATTCGCAAATGGAGAGGTGAGTCAGAAAATTACACTTTTGTGCTCCTATGTGCTGATCATCCGCGTTAGTGGGCTACGTGAGTTTGATCTGAAGGACTAAGACACAACACGGAAGCTAATTGCCGCTAGCATGACATAGAGCGGATTGGTACTTACTACCACAATATTGGATCAATTTGTTTAGTTGCTGATTAAACAAATAGGGTTGATTACCATGCTCCATTCAACCCACGAGGAGATGGCTATCAAGACCCGGGAAGTTCAAGCAGTGGTCCGGCAGCTGGAGTGGCGTCATATGACTGGCTCGACCTGGCCGTAGGAACAGACACTGGAGGCTCCATACGTGTTCCTGCTGGGGTAAATGGTGTGTATGGTATCCGACCATCTCATGATTCAGCTTTGCTGGAAGGGATCATACCTCTGTCGCCCGAGATGGATACAGTTGGTATAGCACACTCACAAGACTGCGTGAGGTTGCTAAATATCTTCTAACGACTAGTTCTAGGAATTTTGGCCCGAAACACCACGCTGTGGAAAGAAGCTTCCAAAGTACTATACGGCGATCTCGGAGCGAACGCTTCTCTGCCACGAAAACTATACCTTGTTGACTTTCCCACCAACCGATCAAGCCAAAGCGATGATATTCTTTTAGATTTCACTAAAACACTTGCAGATACTCTGCACATAACTGCCGAAGTCTTTGACATGGAAAAGATATGGAATTCGACTGCCCCGAAAGAGGCAAATGGTACCGGACTTGTTGATTTCGTTGGTGATATTTTCCCGCTGTTGACTGCAAAGGAGCAGCTCCAACTAGTGGGAAATAAACTATACACTCAATATAAAGAAGAGAACGACGGCCGGCTACCTTTCATTGACCCAAGTCCCTCAATCCGGTGGAATTGGGGAACAGAGCAAGCAGACACATCTTTAGATGATGCCTTGCACAATATGAGTATCTTTGCCAGTTGGTGGCACTCCCATGGGCAGGCAGGTGGCCCAGATTCATGCTCTGATCTTCTATTTGTCTATCCTCAATCGACCGGAGAGGCCATATATCGGGATGGTCCATACCCAATTGATTCACCGGGAATCCCGTCAGGTTTTGCAATCGATCGTGTTCCTTCGTTCGTAGGTTCGCCTGATTTCGTGTTGCCAAGTAAGTTTTATCGAAATACAAGAGCTTTGATGGATTGTCTCTGATCTCTGCCAGTTGGAGAAAGTGAATATCACTCAAGGATCACAAACCGAACTGAAGTCCTGCCTGTTGCTGTTGATATAATGGGAGGCAAAGGGTGTGAGGGGATGCTGTTTAATGTGGTAGACAAATTAGTTGCCGCTGGGAAGTTAAAGAGAAAACTCCATACTGGAAAGTCATTGTACGGTTTGAATTAGCCGTCATGCATGTTTGAGGTCGGGGCTTTGGAAGGGAGTTCAGACAGGCTTAGAGCATTCGGTGACTACCCCGAGGCGGAGATTGCGGTAATCCCCTATAGGCTGCTTGGTTGAGGGGACACAATAAGAACGTGTAAATGCTGTTAGAGCAGATTTTAATGCTTAGGACGGACGCTACATGCCCTGCAGGCTGCTGACACAGCTTGACATGAGATGTATAAAAGGAACTCAAGTCTAGGGTTTGGCGAATATATCTGGCTTAGCGTCGCCGCGAGTTCGATCTGAGATCCGAGTGGGATAGCCTACACCAGCCGATCTAGTCCACAGTCAGCTAGCGTTGCCGCGCAGTACAGCGCGGCAGGCGGAGCTGGCGGATCTCAAAACGCACCAGTTCCATCTTTGGATAAGCACTCTCTAATGGTTATCAGCCAGCAACCGATGCACTTTCGGAACCAATGTCCTCCCAAACATACCATGCTATTGCCCACCGCAAACTCAAGACCCTTCAATCTCTCATCCCCAAAAACTGGCTCCTCGACCTACCCGACCCTCTCCCACTCGATGTCCGCTCCCTTGTTTCAGAAAGCACTGTCCTGACTCCAGACGAATTCTCCATAACTTCCTCGCATGATGTAACCTCACTCTCTCAACTTATCCATTCCCGGGCGCTCACATCTGAAGCTGTAATCACTGCTTTCTGTAAGCGCGCCGCCATTGCTCAACAACTCACCAACTGTCTCTCGGAAATCCTCTTCCTACCGGCTATCGAGCGAGCACACGCTCTGGATGCTGAATACAAACGTACAGGCAAGACACGAGGGCCGCTACATGGGATACCGATTTCGTTAAAGGATACGTTCAATATCAAGGGGTATGATTCTTCGATCGGCTTCGCAAGTCTCGCAGCGAATCCTGCAAAGGAAAATGCCGCGTTGGTGGACATACTCCTTGAGCAGGGAGCAGTGCTATACTGCAAGACCAATGTCTCGCAAACTCTCATGGCCTTGGATTCGCATAACCATCTCTTCGGACGGGTTATGAACCCACGGAACAGGCGGGTTACAGCGGGCGGAAGTAGCGGTGGTGAAGGGGCCTTGATTGCCATGAGGGGCAGTATTTTGGGTATCGGCACGGATATTGGAGGCTCGGTACGCATACCTGCTATGTGTAACGGTCTCTACAGTATCAAACCGAGTTCGCAGAGAATCCCTTTCATAGGCCAAGAAATTGGGCAGCTACCTGGTATAGATAAACTGGGGTTACAAGCTAGTGCGGGACTTATGGCGACGAGTGTCAGAGACTGCGAGCTGTTTCTGAAAGCGATTGCAGATGCTCATCCGTGGGAGAAAGATCCGAATGTCGCTTTCGGGTCGTGGGAAGGGCAAGGGGAGATAGGAAGGAAACCGTTGTTCGGAGTTATGAGAACTGACGGCATCACCACGCCACTATCACCAGTTGCCAAGGTCCTTGATGAAACGGTAGAAACTCTTCGCAAAGCCGGTTTCGAAGTTATTGAGATCAATGCTCCAGCGTTCAAGAAATACCACTCACTGGCCAACTCATTTTTCGGTATCGGGGGGAACAACCACACATTCGATATACTTGAGAGAATCGGGGAACCTTTGATTCCCTGGCTTAACGCGAGGTTGAGAAGAAAGAAGCCTGCAGATTTAATGCAACTTAGCGAATTACATGTTAGAAAATCGGCGCTGGAGAAGGAAATGTTGGAAATCTGGAGGGATGAGAACGGGAGAATGATCGACGCGTTGATCTGCCCAGTTGCTCCTCATCCAGTGCCAGAGATTGACAAGTGGAATGGTGTTGGTTATACAAGTGCATTTGTCTTATTGGACTATCCGGCTGGAACACTGCCAGTCAGAGACGTCTCAATTGGTGATTTAAAGGACGAACTACCTGAATCGGAAGTCCTTGGAGGTTGGGATTCGAGAAACAGGGATTTGTGTAAGCTCTCTACCTCCATCCCCCTAGGATTCTGTCTTTCGTACCACTCTTACATGTTTCAAACCTCTGATTACCCGTTCCCTTCCAGTATGGAAGCAATGGTAAATCCTATCTTGCAAGTTCATGCTGATCCATCAGAAACAGGGCACCCAAACACCAATGATAGGAGTGTATATTTGAACACGAAGCTATCAGTCCAAGTTGTAGCTCCCCGATTGCAGGAGAGAAGGCTTTATCAAGCGATGGCACTTATTGATGAGATCTTACATGGTACTAACTCGGAAACTAGGGCTAGGATTCACTCCCGGAGCACGGTAGCTTGATATCTGATGCCATCTATAACCCCCAATGTCAGCTTCTGTAACACATTTTTTTGCAAAGCCCCTTGCTTTATTGACACATGTCGGAGAAAAGCGGAGGAATTTTATTACTAGCGTTCGTCGAGTTTTATTCAACTTATACTGTCATCTCCATAATTTGGTTCTGCCGTGTGTCTCGGCTCCTTTTTTAGTTTTCATCACTCCAACTTTACTTTGTCACGAGCAACATACGTACCAAACATGACCCAACTTCGAAATATCTAGCCAAAGTTGTGGATTTTGGGGAGCATAGCAATAATGAAATTCAGCGGGCAGTGCGTAATTCAATGTTGCATTTCGACAGATGTTCAGTCGAAATTGACAAACCCTACATGGAGTATATAGAGAGCTTTCTAGTTTACTTTAGGAGCCGGCCTCGATCTTCTTTAGAACCGTGGGATATTTGAACCTTGAAATGCATCCGTAGACCAATGGGAATCTTCGAACGCTAGGGTAGTAAGATGTAAGAATCATTCCTCTGCCATCTTAGATCTTTTTCTACTTCAACTTCTGCTTTTCTCACCAAAAAGGGATTATCTTCCTCTCGTACCTATTCGCCTCGAATATGGCATTTTTCGGTGGCCCTGTTCTGGGACCTCCAGTAGTTCTTTTCGTGTGTGATGATGGTCAGGCTCTAGCCTACGAATATGTCCTGGCTCGAATAGACCGGTCTATAATGACCGATCTACTGCTCGCTGACCAAGCTCTACATGAACATACAGCCATCATGTCTGACAACACTCAGCTTCAAGAAGTAAAGAAACAACTTGAAGAAGCGAAATTCGAGTACCCGAGAAAAGAGTACTCCCTTTACCGAGCAGAGTCTATGCTTGGACCAAGTATCAAAAGTCTTTATGATACAGTGAGGCGTAATACTATTTGGTTTATGCGCGAGGAAATGGTCCAGGATTGTTCAGACCGAGGCGGATGCTGTAGCCGACAATGTGGATGCTGCGCACAGAGACATCTATCCGAAAGACAGAAAGGCAGAGGTCACTGCACTTTAGAATGCTGGTGCTGTATCAGCTTTCGGGGATTCAATCTTCCACAGGAACAAAAGGAGGAGATCCGAAAGGATTTAGGAGATCGCCTTTCATACACTACTTCACAATACCTCCAAAAATTGGCTACTTGGTTTATTTGCCCCATGAGGTGCCAGAGATCCAAGTGGTAGCAAATCTTTGGGCTAGGCTAAAGTGAGGATAAGGCGCAATAAAGGTCCTGCTTTACCTCAAGAAGGCTTGCTGAGCTGGTATAATATCTTTTCCTCGGGACTACTAGCTAATGTTTGTATGCTGCTTAGTTATAGATGACCAGTCTATTTCTCATGAATTATTTCTCCTTCTGCCTCCTATAGTAGTCTAGTACGAGATGGAAATAAGGTCGCGTTTAAATAAGAAATCTCCTTGATTATATCAAATAGCCGGCATGACATCCTAAATTAATCTCATATTGATTGGCTAATCTAGAGCCTCGCCTTATTGTTGAATCTATCCATGGTTCAATCGTGTTGTGTCTAGACGATCGTATCAGAACAGTCTTAATTTGTCATGTTGATCTTTTAAATATAAATACACGTAGGTATTGGGCATATTGGGACCGATATTTTGAACATACACCAACCGCTACCTACTTATGGACTTAACATCTGTGAAGACTGACTATTATTCGAATGATCTGTTAATTTAGACATATTAGCCTTCTATGGAGAAGCGCGCAATGTCTCGGAACTATGCAGGCCAGCCGGCGGCTAAATATATCACCCTCCGGCGCTTGTTGCTCTATCGATTGCCTCTCTAACCACTACAGTGAGCCATCTTATTGGTGCCTTTTTGGAACACTGGTGCTCACTGGAAGATCCACATCTATAAACATAGGGTCTGATTGGCTACAATAATATTAAATATAGATAACCGCTGGTGGCGTGGGAAATCCGTGGGGACATTTGTGTGTGCAATAAGCGCGAGCGCGTAACCCCGCTGTGGTGAATGGGCGTGTACAGCCTAATTACGGACTCTACAGTGATCACATAACAAACTCTAGGGTGTCATAATTGGAACTTCGCTCTCCGCACTACTCTCAATACATAAACCTTTCTTTCTAGTGAGCACTTATACCCTTCTATTCTCAATTCCGATCATGTCAGATAGTGCAAGAGAGCAGATGAATCTCAGCAGTCCCCCACCACCACCACCACCACCACCGGAAATTCCTGGCTCGAAAATCTCCAATTACGTCTTAAAACTCAGAACCGCCCCTTCGGATTACTTCTTCCAAGCACCAAACCCACCCCAGTACGTGGACTTGTTCGACGCACCTACTGGGCCCTATTTCTTCTATGGTACGTTGACCGATCCGTCCATGGTTCGTGAAATTTTGGGGTTAGAAACTGAGCCCGAGCTACGCCCAGCACGTTTATCGGGCTATAAGTGCAAGCTGTGGGGGCAATACCCTGCACTGTTGGATGCTCCAGACTCCGTGGTCGACGGCGCAGTGTATCATGTTAAAACGGTTGAACATGGGGAGAGGCTTGCGGCATATGAAACCAAAAACTACCAAGCTGGCCCTTGTCGCATCCGCTATACTGATGGGAAAGAGCCTGGGGACGATGTCGGGTATACATTTAAGTTCAAAGGGGATCAGAATGATTTGAGCGGTGGAACATTTGACCTGAGGGTCTGGTTGGAAAGAATGGGAAGACTGGCTGCGGTGAAAAATCTCGATGTGAAGAAAAGCATGATGTAAGAAGGTAGGTACTACATTCAAGTCTGTCGAGATGGCAATATTGTCCCTGTTGAGTGGTCAACACTACTTAGAACAGCTATTCAACTGGACAAGGCGAAGAAGAGGGCGGCAAGAGGTTAGTTAATGTTATGTTATCTAGAAGATAAAAAACAAAAACATACAACAGTGAGGATTCGCTGGTGGTCACCCACCCAACTACTAACTCACCGACGTGTGGCTTAAGTACGGCTGAGCGGACGGGAAGCCCTGTTTTCCACACCCTATGGTCGTATGTATCTGATACGCCACTACAGAAGATTATACAACGTGAGCAGGGGATAAGAGGGTGTGATCGTCTTAGGCCGGTCAATAATGCACTGGCTCTCCAAACAGTCTCATGTATCTGCATATACATATAACTAGATGGAAGCATCATACCAGTGGGCAAATGGACAGCACCAATCATAATGTAATTTTCCGAGCGATACGCACGGTCCCAAAAGGAGGACAACACCGAGCTTGATCTTTATATAGGGCCGACATAGATGACGTAGCCCACGAATTGACTTTCTCTACAATCTAAAGGCTATATAAGGATAGGATATTTAAGTATATGAATCATGTTGGGGGTTAAACCCCTACTAAAATCCGAGAGGGGCGGGTAGAAGTCTGGTATTCAATCTATGGGATGGTCTAACATCCAACACATATAAACATCAAATGAGATCATTGAACTTGTAAATTGATACTACCTGCAATTAACGTGTAATCTGTTCACACTCGTGCTGCCCTTACCTCGGTATGCTCCAATGTCATAGATCATTACTACCGTCGAGGGCTGTCCATCCATTTCTGCCGCAATGGACTGAATATGCTCGAAGGACACCCGTTGATTATCCCTCACGAGATCGTGCGGGCAATGTCGTATCGATCTCAGGCCATGCTGGGATTTTGCAGCGCCTGGTCCATTCAGAATGGCCCGTTCTCACTTTATTGGGGAAACAATTTTGAGGATATTGGACGGCACCTGGGGTTGAAAGCCAATGATTCGGTGGGCATTGCTTGCCATATCAACTCATCCTAGTGTCACAATTGTGGAAATTGACAGAGTGACAGTGCGGTTGCGAATATCAGTCAGAATCCCAAACTAGCTCGTCAAAGGAGAAATTCTAACCCTCTAATACTTTCCTGGATACTAGAAAACCACACAGAAGTGCATTGTTAATTAGTCATTTTTGCTGGAGATCAGACCGTCCCCATACCATCTTCGGACTGTCCTGACGATTTGTCAGACTGAACGATTGTTTGCTAGTTTAGCAGGGTATAAAGACCCTGTTCTTGCCAGATTGAATAGCAAAGTTTTCTTTCTTCCCTCTCCCTTGGTAGCCCAGCAATTTTATCAATTTCAGTTCGTGCGTCTATCATATTATGCTGGTCAGAGAGTTTTATAGCACTAGGAATAGCTGATAACTGAAATGAACGGCCTACCAAGCAAATGTCGAGATTCATGGGAACTCTGAAGGGCACTGTGAACTGGGATAATATATAGGGGCCTAAGACATAAAGCGTATCCATGGATTGGCCATGTCCTTTGCCAGGATGACCGTCCCCCCCCCCCCCCCCCATTTTCTCTTCTACTCTTCCACATCCTGTTCTTTGCTGAATGCACTTCCTACGCAGGGCACGTTTTCTATTCATCTACATCCTTCCTTTCATCAACACAACAACATATCTACTCCCGAATACTCTTTACCGTGTTTACATATATCTGCCACAGTGCAACAGATAGTAACAAGAAGGCATTCAGGCGAACCTATTTTCAGATTCCCATCACCGGAACTGAGTACCAACGCCCTGAGGTTCGACAGCAGCAGGCCGCTCCGTCACAAAATCATCGAGAGCTGGACGCACTTAAGGATCTGAGCTTACGACATGTCCCGTGGTCCCAACTCTACTCGCTTATAAAGAGGGAAAGCAAGGTAATGATGGCCTAGTGCCAGATGGTTACATTACATACATCATATGGAATAGGGTCCCCGGGAAGTCACTGAATCAGAATCAGTTCTGGGATCCTCAATCAGCACCATTGCGTGAGGTTGTCCGCACAAAGTTCTGCGATGTCTGCGGGTATATAACTAACCCCCCTTTTACATGAGTCGAGAGTAAAAATTATAGGCCAAAGAGAGTTAAAACGTTATGGATGGGAGCCAGCCCTCCCTGGACTGCGGAACATCATCTATGACGAGTCTGCAGAGACGATTTATGTAGTATCTGCTATACACTCAGTGTAAAACAGAATAGGCTGACTATCTTTAGGCACATTGCAGGCTTCTGAAACCCCGTCCCCCTTGACCCCGAAGAGAACTTTACTAACAGGGCCTTTTCCGGCTGGGGCTTAGCTATACCGCCTGATGAGGCTGATTGGGGAAAAGACAGTACTAAGTGGGCCTGATGAAGCTGATTTTCATATGTATTCTGTCAATGCTTGATTTTGATTAGAGAGATCCGCTTTAGTGTAGAAAAATTATAGCACAAGTTGATGCAAGTTAGTCTATCACCGGCTGTGGTCCTTGGGTCTACGGTGCGGCAGTCTACAGTGTGCCACTTCAGATCTTGCCAAATTTGACCCTTTTTGACCTTGGATGTCACGTCAAGTATCAACATCGTCATCCTACACAAAATGAAGCAAAGGCACTCCTCGATCACCATTCAGACCAGGAACCGCTCGCAGGGTCTCTCGAAAGGTCATTTTTGGCTGGCCTGCACTTTGGTGATCCAACAACAGTGTCCCTTTTCCAAGCGCGAACGAACAGTCTCCCTCGGACGGCAGCCGCGTGGCGTCTGTGTAGGGCCGGCTTGTTGTGCTCTGGTACCCGGACTCTGGCCTGCTTGAGAGATACGAGCTCGAATCTGCACATCCCAGTGCCGATCTTTTTCGCTCGATATTTCACCCGACTGTCATCAGCTTCCGTGCTGCTCCGACACGAGCGTTGAGGTGTGCGACCTGCTGACAGGGCGACGCTGAGGCGGCGCGACATCAAAGGGCGGCGGAACCGGGCTCGCGACTGTGGTGGGTTTCAGCACCACCGGCGGTATGATGCTCGCTGTGAGAATGTTCGACGACGGAGTCACGATGTATAACGTGCTTGACGAGGGGGGGGGCATAAAACTGGATACGCGCAAGCACCCACCGGAAGTTCAAGTGGCGATCCTACCGTTCAACGTCTCAGGATAGACAAGCCTGATTCAAGTTGTCGTGAGAGCGACGTTATGAGAGGATTATAGCAATAGCATACAAAGTTGTTAGTTGTGCCGACATCACTTTCGAATACTGCAGGTAATGTGGTAATATTGAAGCTCTTGTCTGAATTTGTGGGATCGTAGTTGCGAACCACAGTTGCTATATGTATTCCCAAGGATAAAATATCGATGAGGCCAATGGATAATTTCCTGATGAAATAAGTTCAGGAACTGTCGCCTGGCACTGAAGCCTACATATCTTGAAGGTCTTGGCGCGTGCTTATATAATCACGACCCGCGTTCCTCAGCTCAGATCCTCAACAATTTGGAATATCTGCTTACTGCCCTTGTGTGAGACAACCAAGACCCTCCAACCCTTCCAATCGCGATTCCCGTTTGTCAAGTCTTTGTACAACGTGACAGAATGACTTCTAAGGCCAATATGCATCGGTATCTCCGACAGTCGCTCGATCATATATTCCAAAACAACAAGAAATGGGTCTCGTCGAAGAAAGAGACGGATGCCACCTTTTTTGACAAGCTTTCTGCTGGACAATCACCCGACTATCTGTAAGTAGTATAGCTGTCATCTCATTCTCATCCTCGAAATATTCATATCGGAACAGGTACATAGGCTGTAGCGATAGCCGTGTCCCCGCCAACGAGATCATGGGTCTGGAGGCTGGCGAGGTCTTCGTTCACCGTAATATCGCCAATTTGGTGCCCAATGTCGACCTCAATGTCATGTCCGTGATCAATTATGCTGTGCGCCACCTCAAAGTCAAGCATATCATCGTGTGCGGCCACTACAATTGTGGTGGAGTCAAGGCCGCCTTGACCCCTGCTGACCTGGGATTGCTTAACCCATGGCTCCGAAATATCCGCGATGTTTATCGCTTGCATGAGAAGGAACTCGACACCATCCCCGATGAGCATGCAAGATACAATCGTTTGATTGAACTCAATGTGATGGAATCCTGTAGGAATATCATCAAGACCGCTGCTGTCCAGCAGAGCTATGAGGATAATCATTATCCCATTGTTCATGGATGGGTTTTCGATCTCGGTGACGGCCTGCTGAAAGACTTGAAGATCAACTTTGAAGCTGAGTTGGAGGATGTGAAGAAGATCTATTGCCTGTCGTCGGGTGAGAATTCTGGACATTGAATGATCGAGACAATAGTTGTCAACCAGTCACGACTCGGTTATTCGGTTTGTCGCTCGGACTGCATTTCTCGGACTTGTCGGTTGACCTGTTTCCCCTGTTTCCATGAAGCTATCTCGATGGCTTCATGGTGGTATGTGATTTCTGTCATGGTAGTTTTTTCTTTCCATATTATTGATCACTTTCTGCTTCTTGTTTCTTCCTTTGTGCAGTAGAAGCCCGCAGAATTGAAGGATTTCCGTGCTGGAGAGAAAGCAAATGGGAAAGAGAACCAAGGGATGAGTTGATGTCTCAACACCTGTTTTAATGGTTCTGTTGCTCTTCCAACACTCGACAGGCCTTCTCGGTTTCTGAACCGTACACCAGCCCATGGATATGTAGGCGCCCTAGTGTAATTGCATCGGTCACTTCGGGGAATTTGCGTAGCAAACGTAGCTGGTCAAGAATATTCAACTCAAAAGGCGATCAGGCTCCCGCATTGTAAGTTGATTTATGTCTTCTTGGTGCGTCGAATAAAGAGCATCGAGTTTACTATATACCGATAAATAGTAATTAGTAACTTCGCGGAGTTCTTGGGCAGAAGGATTTACCTCAACCATGGACCTTTTAACCCATCCCTCGAGGTTGCATTCATAATGCGACATCCGTAATGCTCGCAAACGACGATGTGTTTCGCCTTGATAACGTAAGAGAAGCGGTCTCGCAATGAGTTTAGGATCAAGGACAGAGCTGAAGATCAACGACGGCATGTTTTATAGTAGTCTCGCACGAGAAGTCATCAATGATCATATTGCCGAGGTTTCTGAGCACGAACAACTCTTCCTTGAGAATATCAAGGACAGTGGATTCTTTGGCATTACTACCACAGCATCTGATCCACAGGATCTGCTGTGCCTGTTGAAGGTATGTAGTTTTCTCCGAGGGGTTCGGTCCTTCTGTGTTTCAACCATTAGAATTGTTATGAAATGCTCCAGGGCCAAGATGAAGTTGTTAACAAGACTTTTTTTTTTAAAAGGAGACTTCCAATGGTGCCGATCGTGTCTGATAGATTCGAGCCGGAGCCGGTTGTGCCGAGACATCGCCGTTTCGGCCGATTTCGTGGGAAAGGCCGGGAAAATGTTTCCTTATTTGAATCTTTGTCAGAGCATTCTCATAGGTCGCCGGCATAGGCTCAAAAAGATTAAAGGAACAGTCCTTTTCCATGCTTACTATACTATCTAAATTATGGGGACCTCGCCAGCACTTGCTCCGTAGAATGCATGTATATGTACATATATGGGGTTCCTGTCTCCAGTTCCCCCCCCCACCACCTATACAACAACAGTGACGCAGCAATAATTTACGCAGCAATAATTTTAACATCCCTTCGATTACTCAGATTCTGGCGGTCAAAAATTCGATTTTTCAACCCCCCGACTGGTCTCCTAATGAAACGTCTGACTGTTGTGTATCAAATTGAGTCTTCTCTTCTATAAAAAGCACGCACTTTAGCAATGTTGAAAAAGTAAGATGATATAAACTTGCTCTTCAGTTTGCGATAGGTGGTCTACTGTGTGGGAGCGAGGCGGTGATGTCGAGGCGGTGGGCGCGGGCATGGCCCGCGCTTTATTGCCTATAGTTTCTGAGGGGCGTCTAGCGACGAGCGCGGGCAGAGCCCGGGTCTTAGTACCGGCATTAGCCCGTTACACTAATAGTTATATAGCTACACCACTTTGTCTTTTATATGCACCTTAAATCTTCTATTGAATGTTATATTACACGCTAGGATATTATCAATGTGCTTGAACCCGGTTACTCAATCTTGGGATTTCTGGTAATGGAACGCTCTGCCTCTTAGAGCATTGTTGCTCAATCATAAAGTGTAGCTAGCCTAAATTTATCTTCCTCCCTGTCTTACTATAGCTGAATGAAATGGGTTCATTCCCTTAATCTCTTTTATGGGGCTGAGGTGGATCCCACGGGCTGGGCCACGGAACCTTTTCGTTCCCCGGGACTGTTGCCCCCAGAGCCCGCGGGACGGGGTTGCGAGGTCTATAATACGCTATCAAGTATTGGCCAAACGTCTACAATAATCCAAACCGATCATTTTCAACAATGTCTTCCTGGACTCACCTGGTTCGTTTCATTGCCCTCGAGGACAACGAGGTCCATCTTGGTCAATTGGTGGATACGGCTCGTGACGTTGGTCGAGACAGTGTCGATGGCGTGGAGATTGTTGTTTATGTGATTGTGGGCACCGTATTTGATGGCTGTGTGACGAATCAACTCATGCACGTTAAGCAACTGCTCTCCCCGATCTCGAAAGAGGATTGTAACTACATCCGCTGTTTGGGGTTAAACTATACGGATCATGCAAAGGAGGCCAACTTAGCTATCCCGAAGGCTCCCATACTTTTTACCAAACCACGAAATGCTCTATCTGGCCCTTACCCAGCGATGATCGATATTCCAAAGTGTGCACAGGATGGCACGAGCGACTACGAAGCTGAGCTGTGTCTTGTCATCGGCAAAAGTGGTCGTGACATTCCCGAAGAAGAAGCACTGGACTATGTGCTAGGATATACGGCTTCAAACGATGTATCCGCGCGAACTATGCAATTGATTACCCCACAATGGTGCTTCTCCAAGGGCCTTGATGGAAGTTGTCCGATCGGCCCTGTCCTCGTCTCCTCCTCTGTGATTCAAGACCCCCAGACGCTGTCGATAAAGGCTATTCATAACGGTACAACCGTGCAGGACGGTCATACAAAAGACATGATCTTCTCCATCAAGAAGCAGATCTCCTACCTTTCTCAAGGCACGACGCTGGAGCCAGGAACAATTTTCTTGACGGGGACGCCAGCCGGGATTGGCTATTTTCACGAACCCAGAGTGGTTCTGAATGATGGTGATGAGATATCCGTTGAGATTGGTCAAATTGGAACCCTGGTCAATAAAGTTCGGTACGAAAGTCGCTGAGTGTGCTTTGATTGTATAGAAATTATAACGTTATTCTGGTTTACCAGCTTCATCTTGGAATTTTAGATGTCAGATATCCTTCGTAAAGTTCCAAGCCAAGAAAGAAAGGGAAAAAAAAGGAAGCTGAATTGACTAAGAGTTACGAACTGAATATGTAGATACGTTGGTGCGTATCAAGAAAGCTTTTGCCCACATTCCTCTAAAGACAGAATCAGATTCAGATCCTACTATAATAGAGACTATCAAGTAGTGGTCCCAACTTCACCGGCGTTTGGACCTACTGCCGCGGTTAAGGGATAGCCGACCCCGCATTTTTGCTTTCAAAAGATTTCCCACGGGGGATTTCCCGTGGAAGCTTACTCTCTGTCCAGAGATACTTGAGTTGCCCATGTCGGGATATCAGCGAATCGGTGATAGATTACGATGAGTGTTGAAGCACAGCTGCAGATCAGTGTATCGCAGCCGGAAGCTGGGACTTATGAAATGCATCCTAAGCGCGTCCCCCGAGCTTGTGATTCCTGTCGGAAAAAGCGGGTACGTTCTTTTCTCTGTCCCCTTCCGTTGTATCTCATCTCTGACTATGTCATTTGTTGACAGATTAGGTGCAGTGCCGGTCAACGCCCGTGCATGAGCTGCTTACTTTATCGCTCAACATGCACCGACTCTCCTCCGGTTCCTGCAAGAGCACATAAATCGAAGCGAACCCAATCGCTTGTTTCGCTCGCATCGAGAGATGAGTTTCGACAAGCTCGGGTCCAGGATGTAGATCTCCAAACCGAGGGTCTACCTGAGTCACCCAGACCAACTCCAACGGTTGTATCATTACAAGATGATATGGTAGTGCAACCTTTACATGACCACAATATGGAAGCAGCACAAGAAAAACATTCAAGTGACCACGACAACACTTCAACCACGTCGAGACTTTTATCATCATCCGACCCATGGGATCCCAATCTTTACATGCCCAATATCTTCGATTTTGCGGATTCGTCGAATATACCTGACTTGCCGGACCCTATTCTGGTCGACTTTTCGCAATTCAATCCTGGTTTCCATAATACTCAGGAGAGACTGCCAGCACTAAACGCGGGTGGTGAAACTGACGGAGGCTCCCGCCCGATATCCCCGACCGTAAGAAATCCCAAAGTCGCAGGCGTACATTTCTTGAAAGATGGACTTCCTTCTACAAAATCTGCATGCCTTCTTCCGGGCCTCTTCTTGAAAAAGGACGCTTGTGAGAGCAGATATCAGGGATTGAATTCTATTGGCGCAACATTGTCATCATGTTTGATATATGCCAAGAACAATTCCCCCCAGCTTGACGAGCAGAGTCTTCTTCAGTACCTCATCAAAGGAATTACCTACATGGATGAAGCGAACATATCCGCTGCCCGCAGGGTAGATCCCGATGATCTCCCAGACCGGTCCTTTGTGGAGCATGGAGTCGAGTTATTCTTTAAAAGCATTTATCTCCGTTACCCGATCGTCAGCCTAGAACTGAGGCACTCATGGAGGCAATGGTATGATGACTGCCATGACCCACCCGATTGTATTCAATTCTTATGCATCTGTATTATGGTTGCAATTGGTGCGACAGCACATCCCAGCGGTCCTACAAAAGAGATGCAGCAGAAAGTTTCAGCCCTACACCAGCAAGCTTGGTCAATGATGGATTATGTGTTAGCCCATCCATACACAGGGTCCGTGCAGGTTCTCCTTCTTCACACCTTATACTTCACGCAACAAGGGAAGCTAGGGATTGCGTGGTCTACCTGCGGCACTGCGCTACGTCTAGCCGAGTCGATAGGCCTTCACCGGCACACACCGAGTGAGCTACAGCTAAGTGACGAGCTTGTCAGAATTCGGGCAAGGTTATGGTGGATCGCCTATAGCCTTGATGCTTTCACGTCGTTATGTGAGGGTCGGCCGACTGGAACATCATCTGATAAAACAGACGCAATGATAGAGCCCCTGACAGTTCAAGAGTGTCCTGATGACTGTGAGTTGGCGCCAGGGCCTATGATTTACGTGTGGCATACCACACTTGCTTGTCTTGTGAATCAACTTGCAGACATCATCGGCCGCGAAAAAGGTGCAAGTGAGCGCTTATGCTGTCTCGCGGAGTTAGATATGAAACTCATTGCTTGGCGTGATGCAATTCCTCTAGAGTACCGACCGGAACAGGAGAACTTGGCCCCTATTCAATTACGACATCATATTTCTTGGCTATACGTACAATTCTTCAATGTCCTAAGGACGTTGCACTGGACGTCAATGTTGCTTACCCACAGAAGAGATGAAACATTTCCTACCGATAGGTACCCCAGGCTTCAATCGAGCGAGGCTATTTGTGTTGCATCTGCTCGGTCCCTTATCAGGACGTCCAACAGTCGCTCGACTGTCTCTGATACTGAGGAGATGCGCATATTAGGTGCACCGTCGGCATATTTCCTAGCAGCAACATCCACCATCTTCATGCATATTTTGAAAGAACCAAAAAGGCTTTCTGCTACGGTAGACGTTGAATACCTCCGAGCCGGAATACACCATCTCACGTCCGACCTTTTTGCAGCCCAGCTTGGGCAGGGCCGAGAGATACTCATGCAAATGCTAGAAATTGCAGAAACTGTGACGCGTCCCTTCAAATGTATAAATAATTCGATGAATATTTGATATCATCCACAAGTTATGTCAGGCACATTCTACCTTGGTGCCCAATGTTTAATTTCACTCTTTGTTATTATGATTTATATCAAAACAAAGAACTAAAACAGCAACGTGATGTTTCTCAAGTAACGAAAGTTGTAAATTCCCGCTATATTAATCAATAAAGAAGGAGCTCCAAGAGCTCATCAGATCTGATCTCATATGGGAGACATTAGGAGCCGATTCCGAAGCTGAAGTCAAGAAATCAAATTCAACATGGCACGGGAAGTTGCAGGTGAGTAGGTTTGAATATACAAATGATATTGAGGATTGAGACTGAGCCAAACAGTCACCCTCTATGAGGCATATAATTTGGACATGCTGAATCATAGCCAAAGAGAAAAAGAAAATTGATCCCTAACAGCTTCTCTGCCAGGCTCAGTTGCCTGAGAGGAACCGAGAAAGCAAGTCTTGGACATCTTGTGCAGATTTGACCTCGCCAAGAACATGCTGATCTGGCCTAACCAATACTCCTTTGCTCTGATCCAAAAGGCCTGTCATGTTGAGCCAGGTTTTGTCATCACAGAAAAAGTCTTGGCCCAGCCGTAGAATCTTCACCTCAACAGAAGTTTTACTCTCAATCACGCTGGAGCCAGATAGAGACAAGCAGTCAGCAGAACCCAGCACTGTAAATCCCATACCATCGACAAGGTCCAATGAAGATCCAGTTCGGCCTTGGTAGGTCACCCAAGCGTGGGGCAATCGGATTCCCGGGACACAGGTTGGGGTGAACACATTGCATGGCACATCATCCCAAGCCTGGCCACCGTAGATATAACCTAGTTGCAAGTTTATCGAGTCGAAGTGTTCCGCATCATTTTCTATGTCGACCGCAAACTGGTTTCTCCATTCAGTGTTTCGCTTCAGGTCGTCGTCGGTCACACCGTCGGGTCTTGCAGAGAAAAATCTGTAGACTGTCTTCTGATTTTTCGCACTTTGGTGCGCATTTGCAAGAGCCACTGGCCTTCTCTCTCCGTTATAAGTGTTAAGCAGGCGCTGATCCGACCATCCTCTCTCCACTGCATTAATCTTCCAGGCGAGATTGTGGGCGTCTGCAATCCCTGTATTCACACCAAGGCCTCCCGTTGGTGGGAATGCATGAGCTGCATCTCCCAAGAGGAATGCCTGCGGCTGGATCTTTGACTGATAAAATTCCGCGATCCTGGGATAAGTTGTCCACATCGTAATCGAGAGGATTTCAAAGGGAAATTCTTCACCCATTGCTTCGTTGATCATTTTTGTGCAATAATCGTTCGTAATTTGTGCCTTCGAGCTTTCATCCCCATTCCAGTTCGTCACATACACCCAGCTGTTGGACCGATCATAGGCAAGGAAGGCGCCTTGTTGCTTAGACCCAAAGACATACCAGATGATGCCCGGTTTGAGATGCGTCAGGTCCGCTTTGAAGTGAATGGTGAGATGGTGGGACTCCTTGCTGGGTCCATTGGCAATGGGGGAGAAGGGAATATCCAGCTTTTGTCTCACTCCGGAGCGGGCGCCATCACAGGCCAAAAGATATTTACTGGTGATTCGGATGGGGCGTTTGGTTTCTCTCTCAATGATCCGGGATACCACTTTGGAGGAAGCATCTTGTGGGCCAGTGCATGATTCCCAGTGGACGCCGCGCTTGAGCGTGACGAGCTTGTTCTTGGAAATCACCTCGATCAGCCAGTCCTCAAGCTCGGGTTGGGGAATATTGAATAAGGGTTCTGGTGTAATTGCTTTGCTTTCCTCCCCTTGTCGTTCGAATGGCAGAGTTCCAAGTTCCAGCCCCAGCGGCGAAAGGCCGAAGCGCACCAAGCCCGCATCGACTGGGCGGGAGGCCACTTTGCGGAGTTGGGCCGTGTCAAGACCGGCTTGTCGTAAGATCTCGAGGGAGCGAGGATTGACTGCATGAGCCTTTGGTTGGCCTAATCGTCCAGGATATCGCTCCACAATAATACTCCCAATACCATATCGAGCGAGTAAGAGAGCGGTTGTGAGACCGACAGGTCCGCCTCCAATGATGAGAACGGGCACCTCGTGCGACTCTTCAATTGGGCCTGTCATAATTTCTTTTTATATGCGTATAAACTTTTTTCTGTGCTGCTTTAGTGTTTTTTTCCTTTTTTTCAGCTGCTACGCGGGCGATTTATTATAGTTTGCTGACATTACAGCGTCGATAGTGGGCCTCCCCGGGACGCACTTCTACCCCACACAGGTACACAGATCTTGGTTACCCCGGATTTTGGATTTTATCTTCCACGGATAACCCCAAGATTTCTGTCATCTCATTGGCTAGGAACTGTCCGCCGTGGATAACTTCTTCTAGCCCCGGATGTCAACGATATCTTAGCAAGAAGAATTCAGGGGATAAAAGCCGAACAGCCCTCAAAAAGAGCATTTGGAATTTATTTACTGATTCTATTCTGGTAATGCCATTATTGTTTTCCTTGAGAATTCCAGTACGTTTGACTTAGTATCCCCTGGTTTCAACCATGAAGCCAAATCACAACGATCTGTCTGAGGACAAGGTACAACAAGTTGAGACAGTCCCAGGAACGGAGATTCTCTTCGACTCTGAGGGACCGGCGTCCCATTTATATGGGCATCTGCAACATATCGAACGCAACGGCCAGCGTATCTTGTTGACCCCCCAACCTTCCCAATCTGATCCGAATGATCCTCTATCATGGTCTCCCCTGAAAAAGGGCATCGTCTTTGCCAATGCTTGTGTTTACAGCTTCCTTGGTGGGGTCTCAGGTCCCATTATTGCAGCCGGTATGTTATGCACGTAGGTAAACATTATTTGTTACTTTACTGATGAGAACAACTAGGTGTCCTCCAGCTGACAGAACAATTTGATGCATCCTTCCAAAAGGTCAACATTGCCGTGGCAGCGAATGTTATTTGCACCGGAGTGGGCTGTTTTTACTGGATGTGGGTCACTCCCCTGACAACCAACTGTGACCCTCTTGGAGAAGTAATCTGATTCAAGATGTGTATAGGCCTTTCTTTGCTAAATATGGTCGCCGCCCCACGTATCTCATCACCACGGTAGTGATGATTGCGTGTCTGATCTGGCAGGGTTTTGCTACCCGACAAAGCTACATATCATTCCTGGTGGCCAGAATCGTTATGGGACTGGGTCAATCACCAATTTACTCCATTGCACCCACCACCATCGCAGACATCTACTTTGTCCATCATCAAGGGGCAAAGATTGCATTTTACGGATTTTCTGTTCTACTGGCTGCTCAGATCGGCCCTATGTTATCCTCATTCATCATCCAGAGCCTGGGACCAGCATGGTCCTTTTGGATCCTCGCAATGTGCTTGGGTGCGAATCTGATCACCCTCATCTTCACGATGCCGGAGACTATGTATTTCGGCGATCGTGCTACAATCGCACCAGTGGAGACCAAATCCTCCTCGGAGCATTTGGAAAATGTGGGCCATGTACAGACAGTGGAGAAAGTATCTTATATGAGTGAATTATCTGTATGGCCCGGTAGCAATCCGTCCATCGACATTCGTGGCATGGTTTACAAGTCATTCTTGTATTGCTTGAACCCAATTGTCATCTGGGCTAGTCTGGTGTACGGAATGTCGTTTATCAGTCTCACTACATTGGCTGCCACAGCTGCGCAGATTTTCGGTCTCTCGTAAGTTCTCCCCGCTGTTTCCTAATGATATGATGTACTGTCAGCTGACTTGATACTGACATTTTCAGGCCATACAATTTCACTTCGATTGATCAGGGCCTTGTTTTCCTCTCTCCCTTTGTCGGCTCCTTGACTGCAACCTTCTTCTGCAGCTACGTGGTTGACAAGATCGTGAACTATTCCGCCCGACGGAACGGTGGCGTCCGGGAACCCGAAATGCGTCTGTTCTCTCTCTTCGTGGCTGCCGGTATTACCAGTGTGGGATCGGTCGTGGTTGCGCTCTGCCTGCACTACCGTGTGCACTACATGGGAGCGATCATTGGATTTGGAATAATTACTGTGAGTAATCAGATTGGAGCAAATATGGGTATGTCCTATCCTATCGACTGTTACCCAAAATCCTCCGCCGAGGTGATGGTGAGCGTCACCTTCTTGCGGTCGGTTGTGACGTGGATCTGGAATTGGTTCATTAACGACTGGCTCGAGGCCTGTGGCCCCTTGGTGGTGTTTTTGTCGATGGGGGCTATTCAAGTTGCCATTCAACTTTCGTGCTTAGGCTTCCTCAAGTGGGGAAAGACACTTCGCATTGCTTTGTTCAAGCGCCACATTCTCGGCGCTTAAGTATTGGATTTTTCGAGTTCTCCTTGTCGCAAATGTCACTCTATCAGTATCATGTGTCTGTCAGTGTCATGCGAATATCACTCTGTTGTAGAAATCTCATAGTATCCTTGAAATTTTATTTCTAAAGTACTGGAGCAGTTGTTACTTTGTATACAGCGGACAAGTAAATGTTTTTTTTCTTCGTTTTCATAGCCGTTGGACCATCGAATTTACCGACATCGCAGATCCAGACAGCTGATAATAAAAGTCATATTGGTAAAATTGCAATACAAGCTTGTATATAGTCTATTAAAAATACCTATTAATAGCACCCCGAACCGTGATATATCTTCGATGGAGCGAGAAAAGGACAGAATGAAAGGTCCATTCTCTATAAACAAGTAAGAAGCTAGCTACTTAGTTGATTAACTAGCTCAATAGCTATGCGAGGCGTGGAAAACCAGGAACCAAGTATGGGATTGTCACAGCTTGGCCTTGGGGGAAGCTGTTGTCATCTTGGCTTGAGCCTTTAGCACTCGTCGTAAGATCTTGCCGGCAGCACTCTTTGGAATCGTATTTACAAACCGCACGCCTCCACGTATTCTTTTGTGATATGCCACTTTACTATCCAGCCATTGTATAATATTGGTAGCCTCTTGTTCATCAGTGATGCCGGATCCCTTGCTCCTCGCACTTCGCACGACATAGGCAACAGGCACCTCACTTCCGTGGGCTTCACTCTCAATCCCGGTGACGGCGACATCATCAATAGCCTCGTTATCGATCAGTATACCCTCCAGCTCCGCAGGGGCCACTTGGAAGCCCTTATACTTGATGAGTTCTTTGACGCGGTCCGTGATATAGAAATTCATGTTCTTATCCTGGTATCCCACATCTCCCGTGCGGAACCATCCGTCTGGAGAGAGAATTTCTGCTGTGGCCGTTGGGTTGGCGTGATATCCACAGAAGACGTTGGGCCCACGTAGATATAGTTCGCCCACTTCGCCAACAGGCACCTCGCAGGGCTTCGAGCCGTCTTCAGGTATAGTCATGTACATAGCTTCCATGTTAGGTACCATCTTGCCCACAGACCCGATGCTTGTACGCCACTCCTCCCATGGCTGGCTGTGAGTGGTAGGACTAGTCTCACTAAGGCCATAGCCCTGCTTGACTCCAACCTTGAGACGGCTATACACTGCCTCTACGAGGTCCTTTGTGAGGGGCGCAGCTCCCGAATTCATCATGCGAAGGCTTGATAGATCGTACTTGTCGACAACCGGATGCTTGCTTAGTAGTAGCACGATAGGAGGCACAATGTAACTAAAGGTAACGCGATACTTCTGCACATAGGAGCACCATTTCTCAAGATCGAACCTCTGCATGACATAGAGCTCGTATCCCTGATACAGGGTCTGATGGACGAGGCATGTCAAACCTACATGGAATATTAGAATCTCAACTGGAAAAAGGTGGGCATATAATATTAACCGTTGAACTATCTAGTGAATAACTTACCATAAATATGGAAAAATGGAAGGAAGGCCAATACCCTATCTCCTCTTCCGTCAGGGCCGCCGTTCCAAGACAACTGGTCGCCTTCCGAAGCGGCCAGCTGCAAGGAGTTGGCGACAATATTTCTGTGCGATAGCATAACACCCTTGGGCATTCCAGTGGTTCCCGAAGAATAGACTAGAAATGCAAGATCTTTCTCGGGGTTGATGTTAGTCTGGCGGTATTGTGAGGTTCCCGAGGTACTGCAGATAGATGTGAAGTGCTTGATCTTTCCATCGGGATCGTGCTCGTCGCCTATAAGGATTATTCGAGATTCAGGGATCCCCGCCTGCTTAGAGGCTTGTTTGGCGGTTTTGAGTTCAGACAGCTGGGTGATCAATGCGGTGGCACCGACGTTCTTCAACTGAAAGGCAAGCTCCTGGACTGTATACGCAGGGTTCGCCGGAGAGATCACTCCGCCAGCCCAATGGGTACCCCACATCACAACCGGGATATCGATACTATTGGGGGTGTACATGGCGAGTACATCTCCTTTCTGCCAATTGTAGATATCCCTCAACCCCTGTCCGAAAGAGAGTGCTGCATCTTTCAAGGTCTGGTAGGTATAATGACGGCCGGTGTCGGCATCACGGTAGATAACTGTAAGATAGTTAGTTCTCAATGGGTTCTCGGAGTGGCACAAGAAAAGAGAACATACCCTTGTTATCAGGGAATTCTCTGTCTTTGCGTTCGAATAGAAAGGTCCAGAGATCCACATTGGGGATGTCGATCGAAGGGTAGGATGAGGAGACTGGCATGGTCGACGTGTGAAGAACTCGCAAGATGTGCATACAAAGAGAAGCAAGCTAAACTATGGCCAATAATCTGTTGGAGAACAAGCGGAACGAATCAGAGCAACCAGCATGGAAAATTATAGCTATAAATATAGATAATTAGTAGCAAACAATAGCTGGGACCTCATCCTCGGATCATGTCTCCCCGGATCTAGCGACGTAAGAAAGAAAAAGACGATCTAATCAAAAAGAACCGGATCATAACTTCATTCTATTTACAATCATCCGGGGAAGTGGCTTATCCGGGGAACCGGGAATGATCTTATCCAATAATTCCATCCGGGAATATAGATTAAGATTCCCCACCTTGGACACAACGCGTATGTGGAAATAATTATTTCTAATAAAGAAAGAGATCCAAGGCCAGTAATCGCCACTCATATTATATTGCATCAAATTATCCATCAATTTCAACAATGCACGCGGCCATCCAGAATCTAGAGATATGCATTATCGGTGCAGGCATCGGTGGTCTTACCACCGCGCTGTCATTGGTAAAGAAAGGATTCCAAAATGTTCAGGTCTATGAAAATGCTCCAGCCCTCGGCTTTGTCGGTGCAGGGATTCAAATGGCACCAAATATGGCTCGGATCTTAACGCACCTTGGGATCTGGGAGAAAATAGCGACGGACGGGGTAGCTATGGAGTTCTATAGCATTCGAGGTATGACTCATTCTAAAGCAATCTTGCTCAGGAAATATAGATTACTGATTAGCTAGCAGATGGTTCTTCTGGAAATAATATGGGACTTGTGGATTGCAGAAACATTGAAACAGAATATGGGTACCGCCAAACTGGTGGTCACAGAGCAACCTTGGTCAATGTCCTTTATGACGCATGTGTACAGAACGGGGTGAAGTTCACCTTTTCATCTACAGTGAATCCGTCATCAGAGTTCACGGAAAGACCAACGTTTTCGGTGACTACTGGTGACGGTGCGCCTTATCAAGTGCAATGTGACATTCTGCTAGGTGCAGATGGCATCAAATCCAACACTCGCCAGGCTATACTCAAGAAGCTAAATGTGGAGGCGGGAGTCAAAGAAACCGGGCAAGCCGCATACCGCATCATGTTGACACGGGAGCAGATGCAACATGATCCAGAGCTTCTAGCTTTGCTAGATGGAGACCAGACCATTCGATGGATTGGGGAAAAGCGCCATATTGTCGCTTACCCTATTTCCCAACGGAGCATTTACAACATCTCAACAACCCAGCCTGATGTTAATTTCGCAGCTGCAGCCTCGGCAACTTATACAACAAGAGGGTCCAAATCAGCAATGATGTCTGTGTATGGCGACTTTTGCCCTCTCGTCTTGCGGATGTTGGATCTCGCACCGGATGAGGAAATTGTTGAATGGAAGTTGCATGTCCACGATCCCTTGCCCACTTGGCATCAAGGGTCTGTTGCTCTCGTCGGGGACGCCTGCCATCCGACCCTTCCACACTTAGGTCAGGGGGCTGCTCAGGCTGTTGAAGATGGCGCTGTTCTTTCTATATTCTTGTCTGCTCTGCCTGATACATCCCCTATAAATATCAACAAAGCTCTCTCGGAGTATGAGAAGGCGAGGAAGATTCGAGCTGAAACTCTCGTTGGTTTGGCTGCGGAGTCATCACGGGAACTTCATCTAGGACCCGGCAAAGCACGCGAGGAGCGAGATCGGGCATTCAGAGCAATGAAGACCGGAGTTCCAGGGAAAGTACCGGATAAGGTGATGGATGTGGATGTCCATAAAATGACATACGGGTTTGACTGTGTGAAGGATGCAATGGAAAGGGTTCTGGCAGTATTTGGAAAGGGAGATAACTGAATAGAAGCGTTCTGAGTATGTAGAGACCAATATTAGATGAATTGTATGTAATACAAGAGTTCACAGTTTTTCTTATAGGAATTTATAGCCAGTTTATAAAGGCTTCACCTTGGCTTGTGCTTCGATATATCAGTTATAGCATCCTAACTGTTGTTGACGGGATTCGATGACGACGACGAAAGAAGGATCTGCATTATGTCAGGGTGATGATCCGCGGAATCAATGTCATCAACCATATTTGTGATGGTCTTTGTCAGGAATAGCTTCAGCGGTGTGAGTTATCAACGGTCCTTGCGGACAAAAAGCAACTCATAACCTTTAGGAGAGAGAAATCTATTGTTGCACTTTTCTATGGAGAAGCAGATATCAACAGAGAGAGAGCCGAGGGAGCAAACTATCTTCATGTATCTAAGGGATTTGCCCCAAATGGCCATTGAGCCCTGAGGCATATACAGTCTCGACAATAAAGCAAATTTATAGCGAGATTAAAAGTCCATACATATAATTGAACACATATCCGCTTAGATTTCAACAAACTCAAGTGAATAGTAAAGTACAATGTCCAATCTGAAAATAAAAATAATGAAAACAAGCTAATCAATTAGTAATCCCTGTAGCCTTCATTTGGGAAATCAAAATATTGAGTGGTATCTCTGCCCGGTTGCTCTTTGACAGAGAAGCCGTTTCCCAGATACCGGAAGCGATTGTTGCTGACATAGGTGAATTCCCAATCCTCAAAGCGAATATCCGTCAACATGTGAAACCAGTGAATGCGACTTCCAGGATGAACAGCAGTGACGGGTCCATCAATCTTTCCGTTCTTAAACCAGCTACGGCATGGGGTAGCCCAAGCTGTCCGCTTCATGAATTCGGTCAGGTGGATATCAAAATCACGGATAGCGTCACGTTTGGGCGAAACGGCTTTGATACCCTGGGTTTGAATTTTCTTCATGAAGTTAATAATGTATTTGCTAGTATGCTCGACAATAGGTAGCACACTGCCGTGGCCTATAGGAGCGTTTGGCCCGAGGAACGCTAGACAGGTCGTCAGTACCTTTCATGGTGCGTACATATATAACAGGCAGAGCACCACTTACTGAAGTAATTGGGGAAGTCGGCAGCTGCTAGGGAAAGATATGCGGTTGGCTTCACCTTCCACTCCTCTGCTAGACTCTTGCCCTCACGACCAACCAAGTTAAACCGGGGCGCAAACGACATGTCAAATCCAGTAGCGCAGATGAATGCATCGACATGGATCACCTCTCCAGTAGATAAAACTATGCCCTCCGGTACAGCCTTTGCAATTGTATCAGTTACCACTTGTACGTTTTCCTTGGTTAATGACTCGAGATAACCATTCCCGGGGGTGGGTCGACGGCATCCGACTGCAAATTCCGGCAATAAAGCTTTCACCAATCGTGGGTCATTGCATAGTTTTTTGGTCATGTCCCTAACCGAATATGCCCGTGCCTCAGCCTGTTCTTTGCTATTGGCAATGGTCTGAGTTTTTCATGTTAGAGCAAGATTTACTATCAATTTTGGCAACGGAGGACTTACAAATCGGAACCTTTGGTTGAGCTCCCCTTCAATTTCCTTCCTGTACTTGAGATACTCGTCCGGGTTTTCACGGAAGTTCTTTTTCTGCCCCTCGCTAACTATATTTTGTTCTTGTCAGTTTATGGAGTATCTAGAAGATATGGACCAACAAATACATACACTCAAAATTGGCTCCTCCGGGTCCTGCATGGCTCTGGGCAAACCCGGCAGTGATCCAAGTCGGGCTGCGGATGAAGGTCGTAAGTGATTTTACCTCTAGAAATGAAGTATGTCAGCGGGATAATAATAACAATGTAGGGAGCACTCAATCTTGCTTACTAGGTTGGATGGTAGGGACGATTTGTACTCCAGATGATCCACATCCCAGAACAGCAACGGTCTTGTCGGTCACATCATAACCCTCGGGCCATGCAGCACTGTGGATGAGATCGCCCTTGAACGACTGCAGGCCGGGAATGTCTGGCCATTTCCAATTGCTGATCTCAATGTATTAGTCGAAGTAGTTGGATGTTTAGGCGATTCCAAGCAACGACTGAAAACTCACTTGAGAACACCACATCCATTGATGAGGATGTGGCCCCAGTCCTGAATGATCGTGCCAGTCTCTTGATTCTTGATCTGTAGGTTCCAGATACCCTGCTCCTCGCCCCAGACCGCCCCCGTCACTAGGTGGCTCAAGCGAATATACTTGTATAGTTCATACTTGCTGGCGACTTTTTTGAAGTAGTTGAAGATCTCTCCCGCCGAAGAATAGCTATACTGGGAGTCAGTTGGCACCTCAGAAGCTTATCTTCTAGGCCAGCTTACAACGTAGACCACTCTGGATTTGGTTCCCAGGTGTACTGATAATTGTGCGCGGGAATATCGCAAGCACATCCAGGGTATCTAAAGTAACCATAGTTCTTAGTTTAGATTTCGCATGTTTAATTATTAGAGACTGACCTATTTTCAAACCACGTCCCTCCCACATCCTCATTCTTTTCGTATATTTGCAGCTCATAGTTTTGCATTTGCAAATGCATATGATGGGCAATATTCAGTCCACTTGCACCGGCTCCAACCATCAATACACGAAGCTTCCTCGGCGTACCAAGCAGCTCCTCCTGAATTGTATAGGAAGCGCTGGAAACTGCACCATCGGGATGCGGGTTCTCCATCTCGCGTGTCATAGTGGAGTTGATAACCATGTTACGGTTGAAAAGGAAATTGCGAGTCAAATCAAAATACACTTGTTTTCTTAGACTTGTTATTAATACTTGAACATCCCACCGGCATAGCCAATGTTTACCCCGCGCAACGCCAATACTCCTTTACCGGGGAGATGGTTCAAATCCTTTGCCGTGGATCAAGGATCTGCGCCATCTCCCCGGAAGCTGCCTCGGTCAAATCTCTGTCGACTTCTATAGTTGAAATATTCTGTCATTATTATGTCGACACCAGGTGCCATTAGATGCTCTCAGATGATCTTCTGTTCATTCGACATGTCTGGAATTAGGCAAAGGGGTGGTAAATTGCGCGTCTACCGAACATTTTTTTCTACTAGGACTCTTATCCCCGGGAGCTAGATGAACGATCCCGTCAACGAGCGAAACACCCTTTTGAAACAAAATAAAATAAATGCGCCGTCTTGCAATCTCTCCTCGGGATTAAACACTTGCTACATTTTATATCTATTTTTAAATATTGATTATTGAATGATACTATTGAATTACTCGTGATGTACTAGACATGACAACGTATATTTCCTGTGTAATATCTCCACGCTATATTGTGTAGTTTGAACCCCTTTTACGGAATTCGTTATTGTTGATTTTCCGCTGCCAAATTACGTTTCACTTCTTCTGCCAGCTGGGGAACATCGATCATTCCCGACAGAGGAGAGTGATTCCACAGTGCAACCTCCACACTGACATCAAACAAACCCTTTACCACTTCAACAGTGTTGCCCAGCTGAATTGATGCTTTGCAATGACTTTGTGACTGTCGAATCGCACCTTGTGCGAATATACTTGAAGCAAGCACCAATTCCTTCTCTTTCAGGGAAAGGAGGTCCCCGCTAAGGAGATACCCAAATACAGCCGTATTTGCATAGTATGCTTGTAGCCTGTTAGTGAAGTTTTTCAATCTAGTCCATAATCATTTATGGATATCGACCATGTAAGCAAACTTACAAATCTCAGGGAAATATTGATCCAGCATCTTTCCCACCTCACTGTTTCCCACTCCCCGATAGACCTTCTTAAATGAAGTCTTCCCTGCTGTCGTGTAATCGTACTCATCAAAGCCGAGTCTGAGCCCAATAATTAATATACGTATAACCAAATCTAGTGCACATCACATCCAATCACCTTTCGTGGGAAGGAACCTCGCTGATACCCCGATTTCGTAGTTCGCCTACCAGACCAAACACAGCAGGCATGCAGGAAGGGAATCCGACAAATGGTGCGACAAGCGCAAGAGATTCTCGAACAGTTATAAAAATCTCTTTCAAGCTTGCATCAGACTCGTCCTTTGTCACATCTCGAAACAAGGCAGACACTGCATCTCCACGCCGTTGGGCACAAAGCATTGCACTCTAGAATTTTCTCATTAGAAGGAATTGTAACAGGGGATTTGCACTGAATGATCATACCAAAAGTGCAACGGTGAATCCATTATGTGTAGATGGGTTAAGTTTGTGGATTTTGTTATTCAAAGCCAGAAACCACGCGCTATCATAGGGCGCAGCATCCTGGGCTATGTTGGCGTTTGTGTACTTTGCTGAAAAATCGCCCATTTTTCCTAATGAGGATGACAACCGTAATAAAAATGAGAGAAAAAGAGAACTAGTGTGTCAAGACAAATATCTATAGATTAAATACTCTGTGTGAACTTTGCAACATCCACGGGAAACATCCCCCGGAAGGAAATTTACGGCTTCACTACCCATCTGACGTACACCGTACCCCGGAAACATTTTGAATATTGATTTCACAAATAAAAAAAATAAAAGAATCACACATACGACATTTACAACCTTTCCATACCACTGCGTCTCTTTACATTTCCAATCGTGACCATAATCATGACACCGTCTTTGTGCATACTAGAACATGAACCCCAAGCACCCCCCCAAGCTTGTGGTTTTCGAAAATATGTTCCTCCGCCAGGTCACTCTCGCATTATTGGACTTGACAAGACAAATATTGAGACTTATTCCAATAAAATCGCAAGTTCCCCACAGGTAGTATCAGTTTTTGACGAATGGAAGGCGCAACTAGCAGAGCCTTTTTACGGGATCACGACCGACGGACATCGCCAGGAAGGGATTTTTGGGAGAGCTGATGAGGGTGCCCCAATTGAGGAGATGGTTAGCATTTGAAGAGGCATCTTAGGTGGAGAAATGTCCATTGACAATAGAATAGGTCGCCGCGGCTAAGGAAATCCAAGCTGTACTTTCAGACGCAGAGCTACGTGCTGTTAGCTACGGAATTGACTCTGATTCTTGGTATACATTCACCTGCAGAATCCATTTGATAGGTTACTGCTAACTGGCATCAGGAGAAAATGGTCCAATCCGGAAGTATTAATCTTCAAGTATGGGCTACGGCTTCACACACTCGCGACACACAAAATCAAAGCAATCCTCAAGCTAGTAGAGGCTAGCTTGAGCGAAGCAGGATACCAAAAGGTTATTGGTGCGATGGAGTTGAATCATTTCCTGGGAGAATTGGTCCACGCGGCGCCTATTCTCAACCGATACAGCTACCAGTACGTACTTACATCTCATACATATCTCTATTGCGATTACTGATCAATAAATAGATTCGCAATTTACGAAACGCCCTCGACAACTAAGCCATGGGGCTTTTCCCTGACTGGGCATCATGCCTGTGTGAATATCTTTATTCTGGGGAAGCAGATGACAATCAGTCCTGTTTTTCTCGGTGCTGAACCAAATGTGCGTTGATCAATCCACCTAGTCAGTACAGACTTACTGAGACCAGGCAGGAAATCGACACAGGGCCACGCAAAGGTCTGAGTCTCTGCGTCGACGAAGAAACCTATGGGTTAAAGCTGATGCAAACTCTCCCGAAATCCCTCCAGCAAAAAGCCCAAATTTACACTGAAATGTACACCGATCAGATGCCTCCCGGCCGGTGGAACCCATACGATCAGGTATTGCCGATTTATAGCATATAAATAAATTATAACCACACTCAACTAACCTTAAATACAGAGGCATCTCGGTGGCGCATTTCAAGACAACCGCATAATTCCATACGAAGGCATCAAAGCGACGGAGATCCCTTCCGCACAGCAAGATCTCCTGCTCACGGTCATCGCCTCATTTCTGGTCCTCCTCCCGCTTAATCCTTACAGGGCCCGCATGCAACAGATTAAGAATGCCCTAGATGAGACCTACTTCTCTTGGATCGGTGGCTTCGGCGATGAGGATCCGTTTTACTATCGGATCCAGAGTCCGGTAATTATGGTGGAATTTGATCACCACTCTGGCGTTTTTCTGCTCAATGAGGCACCGGCCAAGCATCATGTTCATACCATTATCAGGACTCCGAATGGGAATGATTATGGGAGGGAGTTGTTGAAGGAGTTTCGCAATGGGGTGACGAGCAAAGATTTTTGAGTAATATACGTTCTCGCCAAGTTATAGACGCTCATTGCTGCCGCCAGTCAAATGAACTGCATTATTTAACGATAGGAGCCTACAAATGTTGACAAACAGTTGTGGAAGAAATGGATGAATATATCAGAATATTTGTCGTGAATTGATTTATTATCTTGACTGTGCCTCTGGACTACCTTTCCTATAAGATTTGTCTTATACAAAGTACCTGTAGGCAGATCTTACTTCGATATAATTCTATAGTTCCTTAACATTCGAGCAACTGAGTGATGTGCATGGATACGCATATCAACCGCCTGTGTAGTTAGCCGAGATCATGACAGAGAAACCTGACTGTATGACAATGTATGGTGTTTTATAAAGGGCTCTGTATCACAGTGTGAAGCTTCTAATGCTTTTGAATCTAGATTCCTAACGATGCTCGATACAAATGGATAGATTTGTATGCAACTCACTATTGTCCTATTTGCCCGTGGGTGTGTGGATATCTTCGGGGGGGGACCGACCCTCGGGTCTATAGGTCACCCGCGGGTGCCCCCGGCCAATCAATAGCTTAAGATGGCTACTACAAATGACGAGTTAAAAGCGTAGGGTTTCCTCGCTATTTATTATTGCTGTGCTTCAATTAAGAAAACTGATGCTTGGAATTCCGAAGACAGTGAATCGACCAAACATATCAAAATGTCCGACAGCAGCGCAACGACTGCCCCAAACGCCAACCTCCGACCATGTACCCGCTATATCATAGGCCACAATGATGCAGCAAAAAGCATCTTTCTGCCAACTCCGGATTTGTTCTATCACAAGCGCTTTGGGTACTCCATGACAAGGACATACGCGTTGCCTTGTTTGCCAGCTCCCCTGGACCAAGATGCCGACCTCAAACTCTATCTATCTCCAAATGACGGCACAAACGTCACTTCCTGCAGTAGCCAATCCGATAATGTGACAATCGACGGTGGAGTCAATTCTGTATATCTTGATATGGGTCCTGGATCTCAGTCGCCGATGCATCGGACCATCTCTATCGATCTGGTGGTTGTCATCGAAGGGGAGATTGAACTGGAGCTTGATTCAGGGGAGAAGAAGTTGCTTTACCAAGGAGTAAGTTTGTCCTGTTGTTGGCTCTGAGAAAGGGGTAGTATAGGAGCCGCTTACATGGAATTACAGGATACCGTGGTACAACGGGGAACAATGCATCGTTGGAGGAATCCATCAAGCTCCAAGCCAGCCAGGATGCTGGCTGTTTTGATGTCTAGTGACAAAGCTTTCATTGGAGGACGCGAAATTCAACAAGAGTATTCGCCTGTGTGATTAGTTTGCTGAATACACTTAATACTAGTAGCATAAATCCAGAGATATATACTACCGCTATGGCAATTTTGTTTATTTATATGAGAAGTTAGAAACCACTCATATAGGAACTTACAAGGGTCTTTCCAGAGGCTAGTAGATGCTTACAGACTGAGTGCTTTGTCTGACATCTGTACTTGCCAAATTGTTTGACTTTATCCAGTGTTGATAACTACCCTTCTTTTCCATACATGTAGGTTCTTTTTTTCCTAGAAATTAATACTAGAGAGTTATGGTCAAAATAACACGCCTATAAGAAAGAATTAAGTACGGGAGGGGAAGGACACGTCAGCGGTTCAGGGGCGTGCAGGATATTCAGGTGTACAATAGTGGTGTTCAGGGCATTCAGGTGAACGGGCTAAATAGACTGAAGAGTAAGTAGGGCGGCAAGAGGGAGTTTCCGAACAAGTAAAAAAAAAACCTGGTGAACAAAAACATACAACAGTGAGGATTCGCTGGTGGTCACCCACCCAACTACTAACTCACCGGCGTGTGGCTTAAGTACGGCTGAGCGGACGGGAAGCCCTGTTTTCCACACCCTATGGTCGTATGTACTGACTTTTGTGTAGCAGGGAATGATACAATGCTTGAGACCCACCTATGTCTATAAACATTATAATTACTAAATAGAATATGTAAGACAGCTGAAAAGACACCATAAAGCCGTATAAGCGACCAAGTATTCTTATATACTAATAACGTAAAAACTACACCTAGTGACTAGATTATTATCTTCAATGATATACATATCTTGCAATATGCTTACTGCAGGCGGCCCTCGCCAAAACCAATGCATAATCCCCAGGCGATTGGGCAACCTAGGTTGATTATCCTTTGAGCATCACTTAGTTTTATGTCTAACGTTCACACTGCAACTAATCAGTAGCTCGGTATAGTTGTTACGACGCTAAAGGCGGAACTTGTAGGGATATTCCACTCTCAGCCAGCCACTAATGGCACGGCCCGCATGTTAAGAGCATAATCTTCTAGAGGTACGAGAGTAGATCGAACAGGGGGTCTCTACGTGACTTTGAATTAGAGAGTGGCTATCTATAAAGTCGTACGTGAGGATGCCTCAGAAGTGTTGACGACTTGGATGGTGGATGATACTACCGTTAGTTCTAGGTCCGGCTGAGGCAACATCTCATATCGGAATCCCTCTAGGACTACGAGAAAGATCTGTGAGGTTGAATTAAATTACAAAACAGGCGTGTAAAAAAGATCTGCTAGGTCTACTAGATATCTGGCACATAAGAATGATATTATAAACTAGGTCCGCGATCCGCTCTACATAGACCACTATTCACAATAGGTAGCACTGTAGCTCTGTTTTGTCTGAAAGGCAGATGTACAACCAGTGCATTCAGAACAGAATAGGGTGAATGGGAAGGAGAGTTAAACGATGCCTTCGTTAAATCAGCCATATTAGCTGTGTAGACCCGCCTGCATAGCCTGCATAGCCTGCGTAATGCACTTTTACTAAAGAAGGAGTTACAGACATTAGCGTAACCTACTTCCGCCGTAGGAGGTGCAAATGATTATGCTTTACGAAATAAGGGTATACAGAATGACCACCTAAGTATTCCAAGGCTATAAATATGAAACTTGGTTGATATTAAAAAAAGTGCAATAGAGTAGATTCCTGGTGTGTATAAGCTCAGTCCATGCATCCATGAAAAGGAATGACGACCGGCAATACAATCCTACTGATGGAAATGAAAAATAGAAATGAAATATATCTTTGGTTTTGATCTAACCGAGGAATTGTACAGTTTAATACCGTCCAACTTCAACATCAACAGAGCCAATGGCATCACCAGGGCTCTTATTCCAAAATCTAACCTGGACCCAGTAATTATCGTTCTGCTCTGGGATACCAAAATCATTGTTGCTGTGACCCCAGGGGTAGTACCAATAGGCTTTGGCAATCTTGGTGTCGCCATCCTCACAGCTCAATATTTCCCTTAGTTCCAGAAGCTGAGTCGGGGCGACCAGATGTGTCTATATTGACTAAGCGTCAGACACAGCCAGACGCATATGATCGGGGCCCCCCCCCGTGATAGCAGAGGAACTTAGCAAATTAAACAACGATATCAGGAATCGCGTCTATGTCACCATATCGCAAGAGGGTAAAGACGAAATCCAGAGATTGAACCAATTGATAAATATCCCCTGACAGAAACAGGGGCTATGCTCTTCAGCGACAAAGAAGGCCTCGCTTGTCTACCTCCAATGCCAAATATGGAATCTGTCGATCTCAGATGGCTAGAAGATCTAAGAACAGTGCTAAAAGCAAAGGCATCTCCCTTTTAGTCATGGTAGCAGAGAGCTATGAGAGTCTGAATGCGTCAATTACAACATATAGGCATATGGGGAACGGTCCCTATGTCCCCAAAGGTGCATATCCTAACAGGCAAATGGGTCTTCAAATTAAAGACAGATACCGACGGACTGCCCCTGAAATTCACAGCCCACTTGGTTGTAAGAGGGTTCCAACAACAGGAGCATACCGACTGTGAAGAGACATTTGTAAGCACAGACAGATACGAGAGCCTCTAAGTCCTTTTTGCGGTGATAGCTAAGATAATGCTATTCACGGCACATGTCGACGTAGGCAATGCATATCTAAATGCCCTCCTAAACAAGGAGCTTCATATGTATTACCCCGATGGCCTTGATGAGCAAACCAATAGCATGTCTGCTTGTTAAAACGCAGTCTTTATGGTCTAAAGCAGTCAGCCGCTCTTCCAATTCACATATTTCTAAGTAACATTACACCTACATTTGCTTTGTTAATTATTTTCACTTATCTTGTACGTCTATGCACACCCGTGGATTTATCGCTGTAGATGTTTACGCTATTGAATTAAACTGGTACCTAGTGAGACGAAGGATATATATATTTTTTAGGTATGAAAATAAAAAGTGATTTGGTTAGATAGGATTCGTATTGTTATAGATCGTGTTTGCTGTTTAAAATTATTCTTAGATGTTTAGATGAAAAGCAATATAATTGCCAGAGAGTCGCAGTTATAGATACCATTTGCTATCCAACATGCATTGCTTTTCATCTTTCTAAATATGCAAGCACAATTGAGCAACTGGCGAGTGGAAAGTTGGCTCCCGAGACTCTTGTCACCGCCATCACCGCCATCGCCACAAGGTGGCTTGTGTGCTTCTCCTCATCCAACCTCTTTTCCATAACCACCCAACGCTGCCTGCTTCCTATTCACCATATTTTGCTTGAAACATTCCATTCACATATCCTATTTGATTACCTCATCCGGTTTTGTAACCCCCTCAACCAATGAACCGATTACCACTGTGAAGAAGACCACACACACAACCTCACAGACCGAGCCGCCATGGCGCGACGGTACGAGATCGATGAGCTGATATGGCTCCGCGGTTCGCCCCTCGTCGCAAAGCCTCCTGGCCTGCCTCCAATTGATGAATGGATGTATGTTGGCCCCGATGCTTGCAATTCTTCGGTTGTCCCGCACTGTCAACGTCAAGACTGACCAGAACCTAGGCCTCAACCCGACCCAACATCCACACAACGAAAAACCCATGGCACCCGTGATGCCAGCAACCCGGCTGAAACTGGTACGGGGAGAAGGCCTAGCTTTTTTGAAGCCAAACATATCTCTAGGGGGTCTAATTCTGGTATTATCTATCTCCCTTCCCGTCCGATCATCAAGTGTCCTGATCGATCTGCAATGGAGGCACTTGCTAATTTGAACTCCTTCCATCTTCAGAGGACATTGTACTCGGCCCCCCCAAGACCGCTTTTGCTTCATCTCGCATTGGCGGCAAAGGCTCGTTCGATCTGACGAACCAACCAGCGGCGCAGCCAAATAACCCGGAAGAAACGAAGAACGACCGATTCAATTTTAGAGACAGGTTCCTGAAGGACCGCGATGCCCCGGATAAAGAGTTGGATCGACGGGAGGCCAAGCCAGCACCACTGAGTGCCCGGCGTGGTGAGAGAGAGGACTGGAATGCCGGGCGCCCACGTCGCACATTTGGCCCGGATGAGCAGGAGCGCAAGCCCAGACGAAACGGCGAGTTCGACAGATGGGAAAACAAAGAAGGACCCCGCGACCCGAATGCTGAACGGGTTCCCCGTGACAAAGATGGCCGACACCCCACTCGGAAAGAAGGACAGCCCCCACGATCCAAATATGAAGGAAGCTGGTTCCGTGATGAACAGGCTCAAGAGGGCGCGAGTGCGGGCGCGAGTGCAGGCGCTGATGCTGATGACGATAAACCGCCATTGCGCAACCGAGAATGGCGGCAAAACCAGACCCGACACGGCACCGAGCGTGAGTGGAACCGCAGCGCCAAATTTGAACAAGAACCTGAATGGCTGGATGCCAACGACCGAGACGAGCCGCGACGAGCACACACCCAGGAGGACTTTGAGCGCTGGAAAGAACGTATGAAGGCCGGATCTGGATCATCCGCACAACCCCCGGCACATGCTGAGGAGAAGAGAGAAGCACACGTCGAAGAGCAAAAGCCAGAGACCCGCCGTACTGATGGTGAGATCTTCAGCAATTCCGGTGCTCAGTTCATGTCCGACGATTCAATGGAACGATTCTTCGGGCTCCTGGGTGATTCGAAGGCTCAGCCTCAGACCCCAGAAGTCAGCACTCCTATCGCTGCCGACCCAGTCGCCAAAAAGGAACCCTCCCCCTTTCCCGGAAAGCCTGGAAAGTCATCTCGTTTTGCTGGTCTCTTTAGCCCCATGCCAGAGAGCCCTGCCAGAGAGCCCGAGCCGATGCCTTATTTCAATGCCCCGCCCCAGCCCCAGCCCCAGCATTATCAACAGCCTCAGCCAGTACCTGAGAATATGCCTTTCCCATCCCACAGTGCGGATCAAGAAGGCTTTCAGCGCATTCTGCAAATGCTTGGTGGACAACGTTCGGAGAATGCTACGCCTCACGAGATGGGTATGCCCCAGCAGCAACGGACGATGTCTATGATGCACGCCGAGCAGCAACATGCCGCACTATCTCTGTCATCACCTTCCAGGGAACCTCCTCACCGACCCGATTACATGGGGCCTGGCCCCGAGAACCCCATGGCCCAAGTTGGCCCCAAGGATCCCCAGGCGCTGGAGAGAGCGCACTTGCTTCGTTTGATGCAACAAGTCCGAGTCGGCCCACCGTCTGCGGGCCATCTATCCCAGCAGTCTCCCAACCAGGGTATTGCCCCTCCTCCCGGTCTGATGCCAGAAGGCATGCCACGTCCACCGCCAGGGCTTTCTGCCCAAAAGACGCCCACTTTCCTCGACGATCCAGCAATTGCAAACATGCAACGACCAGATAGCGAGCACCTCCGCCGACGACCTGCAAATGGTCCGCCTATGGGATTCTTTGACGATATGCCTTTCCCTCAGGGCAATCAAGGGCCGATGACTCCGGGTGGCCCTATTACTCCTGGTGGCTCGCGTCCTCCTCCGGGTGCGAATCAGCCTCCCATGCCACTTCAGCGACCCCCGGGTCTCGAGCATCTGCCACCCCCCGGATGGACTGGCCAGCCCGTCCCACAGCAGGGAAATGTACCTAGCCCTATGGGCCCTCCTCCTGGAATATCCACTCCAGGCCGCGGCATGAACCCCAATTTCCCCCCTGGTATGCTTCCTATGCCTGGCAACGCGCCTCCAATGAATGAGCGCCAAGGCTTCCCTCGCGGCCTGCCTCCAGGCATGATGCCACCCCCAGGCTATATGAACGGCCCTCCCCCAGGCTTCCCTCCCATGCCGCCAAACCCCGAGGCCATGATGGGACTTGGCCCTGGTACTCAGGGTCCCTTTGGACCTGGCAACCCTGGCCCACAGGGCCCTCCCCCTTCGTCTAGACACCTCCTGGAGATGTTCGGTCAGTCCAACGGCGGTGACGTCCGTGGTGGCATGGTCGGTCCCGGCCAGTTCAGATAAACGGAAGGTACTGGAAAAAGATTTCTATCGCCTCGCTTACATTTACGCACCATTTACCACTGCCCAATGACCATTTATGATTGTTTACGCTAGTTTGGTGAAGCCGATGTATAGGCGCTCGTGATTGTCTTTTTTCATTTTCCATCAACCCCAGATCACACGCAACGTCACACTTCCTCCTGAGAGAACACAATACCCATTTTCTTGTTTCTTCTTCTTCCTTTCCTGAAATGTATTTGCCCATGTCCTTTCGGCGAAATGATCCCCGTGTTCAATAACTGCCCCTTACTCCTCCGCGTTTGAGCCTTTGCTGCGTTGGCTTTGGCTTCCCTGGTGTGATTTTGCTGCATCTATTACCGGGTCTTTTCTTTTTCTCTCTTCATATTTTTTGTGGTGTTCTTGAATCTCTCAAGGGGCGATGCTTCCGTGCTGTGTCTTCTGGTGTTGGATCTGATGAGTATAGTCGTGATGACTATAACTTGGGGTTGACAATATGTGTTGATAAGATGGTGGATGGATAGTCTCTTAACTATGGCTTTATTGGGTCTCTGGTCTTCGCTGGTTGCCAGTACATCCATGCTTTAGCTCCATAGATAGCTGACCAACCTCAATATATCCGTCACTTGTTCAGGACTGCGATCCATGTAAAATGTTTCATGTCAAAATATTTGAAGGGTCAGTAGGTTCTACACGGCTACCATATGAACCAAATATGGGACCATGTCCCTCAAACGCCATATCTTACTACATACTACTTTTCCTGGGGTAATTCATGAATTTGCTGCAGCGACTCTAGTGCTTTGCGTGTTTAATTACCTGCAATATATTCGCATCTAGCTCTCACTCTCGCTGTATTTTTTTAGAATCTTTGTTGATTATGTTTGTATCTGATGTGTTTGCAGGTCTTCCTGGTCTGCTTATACTTGTGTGAACGTCACATCTCTCCGGATAGCCATTACGCATATGTTTATAAAAACTGTATTTATTCCTCTGGTCAGAGCATTATTTGTTCAAAACCATAGCATATTTCCTAGATCCCAATGGTCTTCTTACCCCCGTAAACGTGACTGCACGTGACTATGCTTGCCCCTATCGATCTATAAGAGGATTACCCGTTTCAGAACACATATTGAAACCCAAGACATTTAGATACAGTAGTGGAGAATAGATGGATCAATTTGATAGTTAAATTGATCCATTTAAATGCTGTGCTATATTGGAGTCCAGGAAATGCAAAATCAACAGAAATGCTAACATTGTGAATCCCCGGCCTCGGTTTGGACTGACGACTAATCGAGCGATTAATCGACGACTAAGCGCAGCAAACCTCCAGAGCAGGTTCCTTCCTAGAGACAAATTACAAATAGTGTAATTCAATATGTGGTTCGATCCTATCTCTTGTCATCACCCGACAGAGCGTCGACGATGCCTCTACAGGGTTAGGCCACCGAGTATCGAGGACAGGTACAAGTACAGCATCAAGCTGCCTCACACTGAAATTTAAATAGCCAAGTGTAATCCTCATATTGACTCCAGCCTTTGAATTATTGCTTGGTCCAATGCTAACATCCTCGAGGCACAACCCAGGTACTTGAGCCAACCGGCCACGCTCAATCCTACTCGATCCTTCGAATAAAAGATATTGCTACATATCATTCTTCAAGGTATGGTATCCCTTCAAAATTTGCAAGTCAGCCAAATTGGCTGGCTGGAGATATCCGCAATAGAAAGACTTGCAACGCTCGTCGAAGGGCATTGGATGCTAATTGAATGGTCGAGTAGACTTTCAATATGGATCCTGCAGACGCGGGGGTCTGCCTTGATGTGGACGACGATGGGGTAAGTGAATTTCTCGACACTTCCCCCGTTTACGCGCGCGTTATCCGTCTGTTTCCCACAAAGCTAACCCTCGCTCCCCGCGTTCACCACCCAGCTCACCCACATCTGGACCAATCCAGTAGTTCCCTTCATGCTACCCTCCGTGGAAGATGACTTTGAAGAAGATTCTTCCATCTCATATTCTACCGGGTCGAAGCGCAAGCGTGACACTGTGACAGCACCCGCGCAGAAACGTCCGGCTACTGAGGTCACTGCACCTTCCCCTCCTTGGCACGAAGGTCCTGCTGCTCATTGCAACTGGTCACGCGACTGCACCCCTATCATGGATAAGTATCTCCTGACTCGCGGTAAGATTGGCCCTTTCATGCCGTCTTGTTTTTATTCCCAAATGCTTGGGCGAGCAACTCATTGTTCCGAATCTAGTAAGCACCGAAGAGCCCGAAGACCCCGGGGAACTTGCTGCTGCGCGCCCGTTTGACTGGGCCCATGCTCTTCACGTAATGGCTCCCCTGCAGCCCCTGGATCTGCCTGGCAGCTCCAACAGAACCAGCAGCCAGCGTGTTTGGGAGTCGCACCGCCCCTCTAACTTGAACTTCATGATTTATGAAGACTCACCGGACCAGGAGACACCAAACCCCAGCCCTCTACAGGAAGGCTTTCACCCTCTGGAAGAGGATAAAGAAAACATCTTTGTTTCTCGCTCTGACTTTGATAGCTCCGATGAAGAAGAGGAGGAGACTCACCCCGGCCTCGCTTGGAATGAAGCTTCTATCGGACCTCGTGATGCCTTCGGCCTCCCACTCAATCGCGATATGTCCGATTTCGTCCAGCCTCGCGACACTCCATTCCCCGAGCGTCCCATGCGCCCCGGCCGAGAGGTTCTGCAAACCATCTGGGTTGACGAGACACAAGTCCCCGAGGAAGATGAGCGTTGGCTGCATGATGGTAGTCTGACCGATACCCAGATTCGGGAGATTGAGGATATTGAAACAAGTTACCAACGAGGACAACTAAGCAGAGCCCGCTCTAACCGCCACCAGGCTTTGCGTGATGATGCTCCTGTCCAGGCCCCCACTAACTTCCACAATGATGTTCGTCGCGTCCTTCATTTCCAGCGACGCGAGGGTCAGTCTACTACTCCCGAGGATAGCCCTGTCCCTCGCGAGGAAGACGAGGACGAGTTCCAGCAGGAAGACCAGGACCAGCAGGAGCAGGGCCAGTAATCTGGGAACATATGGCTTGTTGCTCTGAAATTCACTGTGTCTCACATGATCTTCATTCTATCTTGTGATAATTTTCATTCTGTTTGATGCAATCTGCAATTTTCAGATTTGTGCTCTTTTTCGAATATGCTTTCACGATTCACGACATGTATGATTAGCTTATTGATAACCGATGAATCTTATTCTTTCTCAAGCAAAAAGCGCATGTGTAAACATTTGAGATCTAAGCATCGACATGTTTATACCATTGGCCACACAGGTAGTACTAAATAAAAAGAAAATATCACACAAAACTAGAGGATATCAGTCATACCGGGTTTAAACGACCCGCCATTTTGGGGGCATAAGTACGCTTAGGCGTATCATTTTTCGAGATGTACGCAGCGCCTGTCCTATTAAGAGTTTTTAAAGTGTCTTTCTAAATATATTTTTAACCTCTATAGGGACGTCTTTTCAAGATCTGTTTTGAGATGTCTTTTTAGAATAATCAAAAGATAACTCGAAAGATATTTTTTTGCAGGATATCGTGTATCTTGTATAAGTTGATTAGGCCTTATATGATATTGGGCACGATACATGTTGACCAGCGGATAAGTGTGCGTCGCTTCCGCTATGTAAATACACTGAGTGTCCTGTAAAATTTCCTCCACTAAGAATAAATGCTCCTTTTAGACACAAGCAGCTGATCTCAAATTCATCCAGCCCATTTTACGACGCACGCCATGGTCCATAGTCCTTTTTTTGGGCTTTTGTTTTTCGTGTTCTTTTTTTGGTGTGTCTCTCCATCTTCTTGCTCATGCTTCTTCCGAAGATTCCACCTAGCTCCGTTTTTTGGGAGGCGCAGATCGAGTGGACTTTCCTTTGGCAGTGGCTTTGGACGCGGGTTTCGAGGCATTTTTGGAGGGTAAACGAACCGTGTATCCCTTCTTTGGGTCATCAGTGACTTCACCAAACATCTCCAACAGCTCCTTGAGTGTGTTCCGGTCCATGAGAACATTCTGACTCATAACCTCGCCGATCTCCTTAGCTTTCCGCTTCTGGGTCAGATCTATCCAAAGCTCAATAGAACCTTTGACCATGAGCATGATACATTCGACATCTCGCTTTTGCCCAAGACGCCAGAGACGAAAGAATGCCTGTCATTGTACGATTAGGAAACTCGGGTCCTCCAAGTTTTAGTTCACGCGCGTCCACATACCTGGTCTTGGACAGCCTCATTCCACCATAGATCAACCAAGATACATTTGTTGGCCACGGAAAAATCAAGACCGATACCACCCGTTTTGATGGAAGCAATCATGATCTTGGTCTCATTGTCATCCTGGAAGTTGCTCAGATTGATTTCTCTTGACCTATTGGCCATCTGACCTGTCATCTAGTAAAGTCATGTTAGATATGTGCTCTGTCCATTCCATTGTTGTGGAGTACTTACTAGAGAGTATTTCCACCCATTTTCTTCACATAGGTACTGTAAAAGTCTGGTGCTGTTGATGTACTGTGTGAAAATCACGATTTTGGCTGTGCTCTCTTTTTCGAGCCACTCTTTGACTTGAGCCGTAATCGCATCAAATTTGGCGCCAGGCATCGACCTCCCAAATGTTGCTATCCAATCTTGTCCTTGGTCGGTCTCTTCTTCCTCGCAGGTGACATAATCCTCATCAGGGGTTTCGTCTTGCACTTCGTCTTGGCTCCCACTTTCGCTTTCATTGTCGAACGCACTCGGGCTTTCATCGGCCAACAACCATTCCGAGAAAGTAGGGCCATGATGTTTACCCTTTCGTCGTTTCTTGACTCGAGCTACATTTGCCGTTCTTGTCTCTGGTGTGGCTGCTCGCTTTTGCTGGCCCTCCAGTTCAGAAGACTCAGCATCCTCCAGTGGAGGTGTATCTAAATCATCGTAAATTCCGTAGAATGCAGCCTTTTTGATGGGAATTTTGCAAGCACGGCACTGTTGAGTGACATCATCAGTGTTCCCTTCTTGGTCATCGAGTGCGTTGAAGCATTCTTCGCAATAAAGATGTTGACAGTCCGCGATAATTGCCCTCGTCGGAAGCCCCTCACAGCCAGGACAGAACCAGGTGCGATGATCACTCTCGTAGTAGTTCTTTTCCTTTAATAGTGCTTCGATTTTATCCTTGAACTTGGAAACAAGCTTCGCGCAATTTCCAGGTGGCCGTGGTCGAAGACTTTCGCTTTCTGTCCGAGATCGTAGAGAAGCCGTAGGCATATTGGTTCGGTATTTCCCTAAAATACAACACTTCGCAATCCTGCTTGATGGAGACGGATTTCCTGGACTCGTTTTATCTTTCACCCAAGTCTTTAGCTGTGCATCTAGTGTGCTGTTGAAATTGCACACTCGCTTGAGATAATCTTCTGCGGCAAGTGGATGACTGGTGAACATCTGCAGCTTTAGGATCATTGTCAAAATTCACTTGCTCTGGGCTTTTCTTTGAGTAGCTACAATCTTTTTAGCAGCGAATTCAGTCAATTATAATCTTGCGGGGCTTCCAAGCTCACCATTGACTCCCTCAATGCACCTCTCCGTAATCACGTCGTAGATTTGCTTTTCGACTGGGTAGAAATCGACTTGGACCTCTTTCAGACGGAATCTTTTGAGCTCAATAAGGGGTCTTCCCATATGACGGCTCTCGTGGGTCTTGCGATGGATTACGGCGCGAAGCATGTTGATCAAGCGGTCCTTCGCACCACCCGTTCCCTAGATTGGCAAAAAGATTCTTAAACGTGCATTTTCTTTTCGTTTCTTCTCGAACCAGAACAAAACTTACATCGCAAAAAATGGACGTGTGGCATGAAGGAGAGAAGGTATATGTATAGTGAAGTTCGACCTTTTTACCACTTTCGAGTGGTCTTTAGGTCGTCCTTTTTGAAGCCTTTGTAAGATATCTTAATTGTCCTTAGGCTTGACTACACGTCTATTCCTTCATATACTTATTAAGTGCATTTAGGATTTGAGCACTTATGCTATCTTGTCTCTTCTTTATGGACTAAAACCGGGTAACATTGTTTTTTCAAGTCAAATTAGTGTATATGCCTCCTATGAAAAATAATTATGCGCAACCATAAGAATAAATGCCCTTCACAGAGGCCACTGATCAAATCCATCGTTCCGCACGTTTGTTCTTTCCCCTCCCCCCCCTTTTTTTTTCTCTTTTCTTGTTCTTATTCACCTGCCAGGTAGTCCACCTAATCTTCTTCCGCAGATTCCACCTCTTCAATGATCCCATCGATAGCCTGTGTCCAGGTATGGAGATGCTTGTTTTCCTTCGCAGCGAAAACCAAAAATCCACCGTCTGGTTCTTCATGGATCTCCCCGGAGAGACCAAGGATTTCCTTGAGCGAGTCCGTACTGAATATCTGACGGATATTCCATGTCTTTGCTTTCTGCAATTTGATCATCCATGTGTCAATAGATCCTTTGGCCACAATTTGGACGTATTCCACTGCGCGTGGTTGTCCGATGCGGTACAGACGACAGTATGCCTAGTCATTGTTAGCTTCTCAATGGCCTTTCAACTCTTCTAAGGGCTAATTCCCGGCTCCATTACCTGGTCTTGAATTGCCTCATTCCACCAAGGATCCACGAGGATGCACTTATTGGCCATAGTCAAATTGAGACCAACGCCGCCAGTCTTGAGAGAAGTGATCATGATCTTGACGTTTTTCTCCTTGGCAAATTTCTCAATCTTCTTATCACGCGAGGTAGGAGATACCTTACCTGTGATCTAGATTGGCATGTTAGTGATATCACTCGGTAATTCATTTTTTCTGGGACTATACGTACCAGTGCGTATTCCCATTCCTCCTGATCGCACATGAACTGAAGAATCTTCGCAGTCTTCAGGAACTGAACGAAGACAACGATCTTAACGTCCTTGTCTTCTTTCACCCAGTTTGCGACAAGATCCCGAACCGCTGTAGTTTTCGCTGATGGCATGCGATCACCAATGCACGAAACCCAATCGGCCTCGTTGTCACTGGGTTCGTCCCACTCATCTGACAGATCTCGCAATAGAACTTGTTCTTTGAATGATCCTCGCGGTTTGCTGACTTTTTTGGCTGTTTTCTCCGATTTAGACTGCTTTCTTTTTCTTGGTGAGCTCTTCTTGGGCGATCCCTTTGGCGAATCATGGGAGTATCCGGCCTCGTCGATGGATATCTTGCAGGAGCTGCAGACGCGAGTGATGGTATTGGTGTCTCCATTTTGGTCAGGAAGCTCATCGAAGCAGCCTTTGCAGTAGATGTGTTGACAAGATGTGATCACAAATTCATTCTCCTCCTTTACGATGTTGTCGCAACGAGGGCATACCTTGAGCATAAGCTCTTGATATCTTCCCTGGTGTTGATGGATGTACGCCATGTGATCGTAATAAATTTTCCGAAGCTCGTCAAAGTCTCCTGGTGGCCTTGGTCGAAGAGCAACCTTGGCTCCGATGGAGAGAATCAAGCTGATAATCATCTCTGATGGGGTCTCGGCCAAATCTTCTTGCTGTGCCATGGCTTTAAGCTCTTCGATCACACGTTTATTGAGCGCGGCCTCGAGGAACTTTTGGGCGAGGAGCGGGTGGCTCACAAACATTCTCAGCATTGTTATCACAGCCAAGATGCATTTGCTTTGCTTTTGTTTTGTGCCGGCCAAACCTTGCGGGCTCCGTTAGCGCTTGATTCATCTCCGGTATTATCAGACATACCACTGAGCATTGCAACGCCAAGGTCCTGAATCTCCCTATAAAGAAGCTTTTCTGCTGCGCAAAGTTCAACCTCCACGACTCGGTTGTTGATTCCCGGAAGCGTGACGATGGGCTTGCCAAGTATCCGTGTACTGTATGTACTGCGGTGCAGTACTGTTTCAAGAAGTTCATCCAGTCCCTGAGTAGAAGATTAGCTTTGGTTTTCGAAGTAAAGGCTCCAGGAGACTAACATTGGAATGTTTCTTCAAGAAAGTCTCATATTCCATTCTTTCCGACGTAAAGATGAAATGCAAGTATGGGTATAACTCCTCCACGCCGCTGGACCATATAGTCAGTATGAACAATCTCAGTCACTCCAAAGCTTTCTTACTTGTGCAAAGGTGTTCCACTCATAGCCCATTTGAATCTGCCCTCTAACGCTCGAACAGAAATAGAGGTCGCGCAATCTTTGTTCTTGATCAAGTGAGCTTCTACGAAGATGAATTAGATCAATATCCAGAGCAATAGATGTCTCCAGCAATCCAGATACATACCATCAAGAATGATCCGATGCCACTCAATCTTATGGAAAGGTCCAGCCCTGCGAGCGAACTCCTCTTCCCTCCATGCCTCAAACTCTTCGGGAGACTTGATCGTTACTGGTGGCTTTAACTTCGGGTATGAACTGCAGACTTGCTCATATGTGGTGAGCCTGTGATTGCAGTGAGCATGAAACATATAGTGACCGGCTTCAAATCCTGTCTTACACAATAATCTTTTTCTGCATCGTGCTCACAACGTTGCGGTCATCCGTTCGTGCACCCGCATAATACTCGAAAACGCTTTGTCTTATCTTGTCCTCGCAGTGTGTATCGATCTGATCAATCCTATGACACCCGGGTTAATAAACACGTCTAGTATTTTCGAGTCGAGAAGTGAAGCATACCACTGTGCAATCAAGCTCCTCGGGACAATGATCAGTGTCGAATATTTTCTACTACTTTGGAAATTTTCATGGGCGATAATTGCTTGTGAAAAATGTAAGCTTTCTGACTCTGCAAGATGATCCTATATTCGTCGTTCTTACCGAGTGCTGTAAGTGTCTTCCCGAGACCCATCTCATCACAAAGCAATCCTCCATTTGGCTCCACTTCGGATTCTTCGCGGGTGCGCTATGCAGGTCAGCTATCATGTCATAACACAATGAAGACCAATCTTACCATCCATGCAGCAGCTTTGAGCTGTTGCAATTGTTAGTCACATATCAACTTTAGGTTGATGAAGAATTCAAACCTGGTGGTGCTTCAATAAGGTCCTGAGACCCTTAATCTTCCAGTCCATATTCTCAATCGACGCCGAACGTGTGAACTTCCTCGAGGCCTCAAGCAGCGCGCTTGCGTCTTTTTTTGCCTGTGGCTGGTCTTCCGCTGGAAGTTTTGCAACCTCCTCCATAAGCGCTTTTGCCTTGTCCTTTTTTTGGGACACTGGGATGCCTTGGTGGAATCTTGTTGCATTCTCATTTGCAGCACTCAGAATGTTCCTGGTCATCAGACTCTTGACCGTTTCTTTCAGGGTTGCTGGAGCTTTTGCGTTCTGCTTCTTCCCCTTAGGCCGTGCTATTTTTGCCCCTCCCTTGGCTGGCTTCGGAGCTCCCTCCGTTGGTTGGTACTCGTCGTCACTACCGCAAGATCTTTCCTCGTCGGTGTCATCATCTGGCTCCTCATCCAAATCATATTGGGTCAATTCATTATCCGAGTAGTCACTGTCAGAGGGTTCTTCATTCTTGGAATCATCCTGTGGGTGCCCTTCCGCGTCATATTGGCCCAGTTCAATGCTAGAAGATTCCCGAGATGAGCCTCCTGTCGAGTCTCGATCTCTTGGGTATTCCTCGGCTTCTTTGACCGAATCTGGTGCAGAGTCATCCTGACTCCCTGGTTCTGTCGAATTGTCCTGAACCATGCTCGTTTCCACATTTGGCGTGTAGGGTAGAATGCAGACTTCCACGTCTGCCGGACTAGTCAGGTTGTATAGGTCTTCTGGCCCGGTTTCTATCTGCACATCATCAGTGTGATCACGAGTTGGGTCTTCTTTAGCAGGACTTGAAGTCTTTTTTGAGGCCTCCTTAATTGGGTTGGTATTGGTTCCAATGGATTGATCCATTTTGCCTTGAGAACTTGCACGTGAAAATCACAAGATAGAGCAAGGGTAGTGTTAGAGTATCGCGCAGTGAAACAAATGTGAGGCTCAAGAACAAACACAAGTTTGAGGCTGAGTAAACAAAGTTGAAGACAACTTTGGGGTGTGCGAACTGAAGAGGAAAAAGAGTTCGGTGAACGGTTTCAGATATGGAGCAAGAACTAGATTGTAGCAGCGCACATCACAGAAATGGCCCCCGAAGCTTGAGGTGACGAAGATATTGACAATGGTGCCGTCAAAAAAAGGTTGCTTGAAACAGAGAAAGGTGAAGGAACGATAGTTGGAGATCACAAAGTCAGGTCAGTGGGCATATATGGAGAAGGATTGGTGCTAATGAATAGAATGAAGGAATAATAGATACGGATTAGGGAAATCAAGGAAGAGGAGACATGTATTGGGCATAGAGCAGAGATACACTGAGTAAGAGAATGTGGAGACTGTGAATGACAGAGATGGAATAGATGTTGACGGAACAAAGTAGCAGAGGAAGGAAGACTATAAGAAAGATTGTTCGGGGTTGGTGAAGATCAAGGATGTTAAGAGATACGAAGTTTGGGAAATAAAGGTGTTATCCGGTTGACGTTTAGAAAGATCGGGTGGCTGTTTTTGGACACTGCGGGTTTGAAGCTATATGTATGTATGACCTCTGAGTCTAACCTGTAAATTAGAGATATAGTTAGGTATTCGGGTACTTTATAGGTTGAAGTATACGTAGATATGCAACGAGGGTCACTCGACAGGCTTTTCACCAGCATAATCTCTGACCCCTTTTTTTTTAGCTACATCCTCAAGGCAATATTGCATGTCTTTTTCCACGTCTTGTTTGGCATATTTTTCAACATAGTTCTTGATGTCCCTATTAGTCTCCTAACGGGCATGTTTCACATGGTCTCTCAGCTTCAGTCGCAGGAGCCTCATGGTAGGCCTTCAGAAACATATACTTGAACATAGAGTAAGGGACTAAATAGGAGCGAGAGATTGAAGAGGAAAAATCATCCATATCATTCAGAGGTCTAACCAAAAGTGACCGGGTAAATATAATACATCATGCAATAGATACCCAGAATCAAGAATCGTTAAGCATGGTCAAAATTTCCAATTCCATGGCCAAAATCCTCGCAACATGACATTATCGACATCAGGCGTGAACAAGCACCATCGATTGATTAATTTAAAGATTATAGAAAAGAAATGCGAAAGGCCTGGGGTTGTGTAAGCCCCAGACCAATGTTACATGGACAAAATAAAAAGAAAATTGCCCGGGGTAGGGCCAGTCAGTCACGTGGACTGACTGGCTGGGTATCACAGTAGACCGGAAGAAACCGGGCCGACGAGGACATGCTTGTATACGATTCATATAAACAGGGTGCATTCTTCGGCCGGTGAGACATATCGTTGGCTAGATACTCGAACGAGAACTAGATCGAGATCGAGCATGTAGAGAAGGGGTTTAGTAGGCAATCTTCTCCTCGTAGATGGGAGGCTCGCCCTTCTCCTCGTTCCATTTGATCTTGCAGTTCTCGTCGAGGTAAGCGTCCTCGTCCGTGATGGGGATGACACGCATGGTGTGGGCGACTTCCTGGGAGCTGACTCCGAGAGGATCGCGGGGAATCCAGAGAAGAGGAGGCTGCGAGTTAACGACCGGGTGGCAGTAGGCGTCACGCTCAGCCTCGGCGGGGTAAGTGACGATGTCTGTGGAACCGGGGACCAGTTTGCGCATCTGGTGGTAGTTCTGGTACAGGTCGGGGCGCAGGAATTTGGTGAAGATGTTCGGCTTGGGCGCTGTCGACGAGGGCTCAGTGAGACCCTTCTCCGCAGAGTCGACGCTGCCCACGTTGGCGATACCGCTGTCGCGGTGGGGCGAGACGGAGCCGCTGGGGGCGGTCAGGTCGTCGGTCTTGGACTGCTCGTTCAAGCTGCTGAGATTGTTGGCCTTCTCAGCAGCGAGCAGACCCTCCTCCTCGGCCTCAAGATTCTTGGGCAAGTAGTTGAGGAGGGGCTCCATGGCGCTGTTCAGCGAGAGGTGGTACAGGATTACAAAGACCAAGAAGATAATCATCAGAATCAGGGGACCGAGAGCCATCCTGTTGGCACCGGAGCCAATGGCGAACAGACCAATCAGACAAACCATGGACAGGTAGCAGCCGACAGTGAGGTGCTGCAGGGCACGGGTGTAGCACCTACCCTGGGTGTCGATGGTTGCGTTCGACACGTACAACAGGTTGTACCGGTAGGCGAAATAGAACAGGTAGAGACCAATGGTACCGAAGCCCATGACAAGGGGCGCAATGCAGGAGTAGACGATTGCTGTAGCAAAAGTTAGTATCATAATCAAAGAAACCGGTCATGGGTTTTAACATACCAACAACAGTCAACAATGTGAAGGCGGGATAGACAGTGCCCCATCCAAGACCAGCCAAACTCGACCAACGAGTGTACATCTTACGAGGTGTGCTATCCAGCAACCTGCCCAGGACCTTGCTGAGGATCAAACCGACAATTTGGAGAAGAGCACCGGCGCTGAAAGACAATCCCTGTAGAATGATGTAGGAGATGTAGAAGTTGGAGGCGGTAGGAATCTTCTGGGCTAGCAGGGAAGCGGCCGAAGCGGGGTTCTTCACGATGCTCTGGACGACGGCGGTGGCTGATGAGGCAACGGTCACTACCAGGAAGACCTGAACGATTTGGAAAGCGAAGAACCAGTTCTGGACGGTCAATTCAACGGCGGCGAAAGTAGGATCACCTCCCAACTTGGCCATCAGGCGAAGGATGATAGGGACCAGCGCTATAAGGACAGCCATCATGACAGTGGGTAAGAGACCAGTAATGACACCCTTAATCCATGAGGGAACACTGTCGATGAACTTCAGGAAAGGAACAATTTCGGTCAAAGAGTCAATGTTGGAGATAGCGCCAACAACTGCAGTCGGGATAGCCCAGAAGATGATCATAGCACAGACAAAAGAAACGGTGGCAGCGTGGCGACCGAGGCGTTCCCACCACTTGATGCGGAGGTTGGACCAGATGACCTGGGTAGGGTCTAAGCCAATATAGCGAGGGCTCATGTGCAGGGGAAGGTTGTGGGCCACCGACTGGTAGGAAGCCTGGGCATCAGCCTGATGGTAGAACTCAACGAAGACAGAGGAGACGAGCTTGGTTTCTCCAGCACGGTGCTTGGCTTGCAATTCTTCGATTTCGGGAGAGAGACGCTCGATTTCCGAACGAGCCCAGTTGATAGTGTCAACCTTCTTGCCGATAAGCATCTTGAGACGGTGGGTGGGGCGCTTCTTAGCCTCCACCCAGCGAGCAGCGACGGAGCCAGACTCATCATCAAACTGGCCATCGGCAACGTCCGTTTCGGGGTTCTCCAGCGAGCCATCCTTCTTTATAGCCTTGTTGCGCGCCTTGTTCGCAAGCACGATGAGCTTGGTCTCGGCACCCTCGAGCTTCATCGCGGCAGCGTCACGCTCCTTGACTTTCTCCTCGAGCTCCTTGGTATCGGTTGCGATCCACACATTCTTGACCTTGTCGCGACCGAACATGGTGCGCAGCTTGTCCTTGTTTAGGAGGTCCTGGGTAACGGCGGTGAACAAAACGGTGCGAGACGAGATGCGGCTAGCGTATGCGGGAGAGAAAAGGTAGGCCTGGCGCAGGTTAATATAAAACAGGTGCTCGCGGGTGATCATGAAGAAGATGAAGGCGACAAAGATCCAGGCAAGGAAGCAATGCGCGTAGTAACGACCATATTGAGTGTCGGCGATATTCGAAATGCTCAGCATGTTCAGCTGGATCTTGTTACCGCCACCTGTGGCATTAACGGGCCACAAGATGGGGAAAGTGATACAGCAGCCTACAAGCAGCATGACGGAGCAGAGTTTGAGGAAACGAAGCATCAGGTAGGCATCCATCGAGTGATGCTGCAAAACGTAGGTGTCGGGTAGCCGGTACATGGCCTTGATCCAGTCCCATGATCCGGTCGGAGAGTCGGGGGTGCGCTGCCAGGGACGGAGATATCCAATGTAGGTTCGGGGCATGTACATTCTGCGATTGCTTTTGCGCAGGATGATGAAAAGCAACACCATCACAACAAAAGAGATGAGGGCGGGGACTAGGACAGTGATCAAGCCAGACAGGGACGGCGTGGTGTCCTTAATGTCGCTCTATGTCTCGTTAGTAAACAATCCCTCTTCACCAGGTGTGTAGAGCTTACCGCATCGTCCCTGGCACCCAGCCAGTGAACGGCATCGTTAGCCATGTTTGTGGAATTCGTGTATATTCAAATGTCCAAAACACGATTAAGATTCATGGGAAGGATCGGGGGGAAAGGGGGGTTATTATGTGTCCCCGGGTGTGGAAGAGAAAAAGAGATGAAAAGAGAGAAGCTTAAAGTTTACTAGATGACCCATGGGACAACAGGGAGGAGAGGGGCTAGGATCTGCGATCCGACTACGTAATTGGACACTCCTTATATTATGTTTTCCATGTTATTTGGATACATTTCCTATTTGAGCATTTAATTTATTTATTTTTTTTTCTTTTCTGCAATTGAAACCTAATATTACATCTAGGGCTGGCCAAATCCATGGGTGGCAAAAGGGCCATCCACACTTTTTCTCACAGTAGACAAAATCCATGGATATGACCCAGAGATCTTGTCCTCGGAGTTCCCATTGTTCCTTGGTTCACATGAAATCATTTTTCCATTGGAGACGGAGATGTCCGCCACACACCCCAGCCACATCTTGGTACCTCTATGACGATCATGACGAGTTAACAGGGATGTTGATTAAGTCTGTAACTACGCAAGGGATGCTATGAGACACAAACGTCTTGAAAATATTCCTGATAAAATCCTTGCACATATTCGGGTATTGCAGACTCAGAGAATTTATTGTCTGGCCCTTAGAGAATCCAGGGGTATAGTATGTCTCCACAGATCAAAGTCCCAGTCCGGAAGACACGAGGTGTTCTTTATCTTAGTGCTCTTTTTTTTCTTTTTTCTTTTTTTTTTTACTTTCTGCTTTGTTTGCTATTCCCACATCATTGCGGTCTGTCGTGTCATTGCCAATTCCCAAGTGAGACGATCATTGCATGATTTCATACGTGGGTTAGATCCAATAACTGTAGATCGGGTTTTGTGACTACTGTAGGGCGCTAAGGCTGGTGGACTGCACTATTTGACCAGGATCCGTGTGTTCGGCGGGTCACAGATTAGCACCCCCTTCGCGAGTCGAAATCGAAATTAGGATCCATGTGGGTAAAGTTAGCGAGCCCTAAATGTCCCAACTTAAACCTCAGCTGCGCCGCAAGTTTTAGTACGCGCCATAATAGTATATGAGAAAAATTAATTAATTTCTATGTTAAGATTCTCTCCCGAATTATGGAACAGTATCGTATATTGTTACAATATATGTACTCTGTACTCCGTATGTACCTTGGCGTTAAGGTCAAAGCATCACAATCTGATCTCATAAGTTGTGGATAGCTGTGGGTGACGCGGTAGGCCGACGGCTGGTATCTGGTTAGCGTCGGTGGAGATCCCTCGGCGTTACGCATGCGCTACTTAGGCCCGATCTTTGTGGCAAATTTTGATCTTTTTTCCCTATTTTTATTTTTTTCCGATGTACCGAGTATATACTTTTGACGCAAAGAATATCAAATTGTAAAATCGGGGACCTGTAATCCCTTCTCCACTGAGAACTCAATGACGCTTAGACTTATCCTGGTGCTCGGGTCCAGGATTAAATCAAAATTGTCATTGATTATATGCATGTCGAAGCTCCTCTTCAAATGCAGTGACCCCGCGAATAGGTATCTGAAAAGATAAGAAATTCATGAGAATCTCATTAAAATGGAACTGGAGGTCCGGTCGTAGCTGTTTGTGTGCCTTGAGTAGCTCGCCAGTGGACCATCCACGTTCGGGGTCTTGTAAATCGAAATCATGTCCTTCCTCCAGCAGCAACCACAGAAGGGTTTCACAAGCTGGATCACGATCGAGATGGTGCTGTTTGGCCGCCGTACATAGATAGTGAAGGAATCGGTCGGTCTTATCTGGGGACCCCTGGAAATCCCACAGTGCAGCCGTAATATAGATAAGCGCCGCCGTTCGGCTGACCTCTTGGGTATGCGCATCACGGACCACATATACACGCGACTCATACGGCACTTGAGACGGCCGCGGTCCACTAGAAAGCAGGGTAAATAAAGGACTCTCCATCTGGAATGCTTTGAGTCTGTTGGGCGCTTGAAGGAGGTATTCCGGGGAGCTGTGTTGCCGCATGAGGTCTTCGGCTCCGCGGAGAAAGATGAGCAGCCATTGTTGTTCAGCCAAACTGGTCCCCGGGCCTTCTGGCATCATAAGATATCGGATGTAGTGGATAAATACTTCCACGGGCCTGTTGGTTCCTGTTCGTGGTCGGATGGCCTGGACCGCACGGTCAACATATATCTGGGCCAGTTGCTTGTTCCCGAAGCGTCCTTCGTGCAAGGCCATTCCACCCAAAGCCATTGCAAGATCGTCCACTCTGACTAGCGCCGAGCCCGAGGTAGCTTCATCAATGAGTTTCGCGGCTTGACCAGCATGGCATTGAATTTCGGTGCTGTCAGACATATCGTATAGTTGTGCTTTCCACCGTGCGCAGTAGGACAGCACTACTGCCTTGAATGAAAGAGGGTTTCCCATAGCCGTGCGGAAAATCTGGTTTTTCACATGAAGGTTTTGTCCGGACCAATAAGTCAACTTGTTCCTCCAATAGTCGGCCAACTCAATATCAGTGCTGTCGTATTGGATTGGGAGGCTGGCAAACGGATCCCTTCGCGAAGCATCGAGTATCGTGATTGGGGAGCCAATGTATGGTAGCGTGGATGTATGAGGTTCCGACTTCATATTTGAGTATCTGATTTGAAGCTATAAAACACCATAGCGTTAGTATCTAAATCCATCATCCTTTGCAGCTAAGCCTACACCTAGATAGTCTAGCCTTGGCTGTAACCTAGATCCTTGACTAGAGAAAGTGATTCTCATACCGAAGTTTCCCCATTGGGGAAGTTTTGTACAGCTGTCGGGGGCGACTCCAGTCGAGTCTCTTCGACAGTTCCCTCTTTCTTCGGTGGATATGAGCTATGGTCTGGGATTTGCTCTGTCGAGAGTGTGCCCGACATCTTGCGCTTTTTCCTTTTTTCCTGCACATGGTGGCGCATAACATGAGCGCGCTTTTCTTTGGATGACGAGTTCTGATCAACGAAGTAGAAGTGTTGATTCTTGGAGGATTTGTTCTTCGATTCGGCTGCGCGTTGTCGCCTTCCGGATTTGGCGATTTGGGGGGCATGGTCTGAGGCAGATGGTGCTGTTCGAGAAGTTTTAGCTGATTTGTGCATGCATGTTGCGAGTCCTGGGACTTGGCTTGTAAAGGCACTAAGGCACTAGGGGGCATACCCGATGCATCCGTGTCAGGGCCCGACAGCGGGACGGCGCTCGACCTGGTCAGTGTCGATACTAACCGTTCTTCGTTCGCGGACATGTCGAGCGAAAACATAGATTTCCTTTGTCGACACAATGAAGCAGTCAAAACTGCATAACCAACCGATGGTCACCAAGATTCCTCCAGCCAAGGACTCGGGATTTGAAAGAAACCATCGCAAGACAAATAAATCCTATATAGTGTCAGAGTCACGGAGAATATGCACCGGAAGAAAGGGTGTTAAAGAAAGTACGCTAGCACGAAATGGTTCAACTTACGAAGCAATACAATGCGAGGAGGATATAATTCCCTAGGGAATAAGATGATTTCAGATGCTCGAGGGCGGGCACCTCGGGGGGAAGAAGCTCTTATATAAGCGCCAAGTGTAAACCATTTACCCAATTGATAAACCGGCCCCGGGACAATTAATTAAAATTGACTATAAGCATACATATCTCCGAACAAGCATAAACTAGTACGTTATTATTAACCTGTTGTCCTTGTATGTGGTTTTCATAACGTCACACGCATTGATATCATTCGACTTCATAACTTTTAGTACCAAAATTACATGATGTATTTCAAATTGGCTTGAATTATTAATATTTAAAAAGTTGTTATAAACATGAGTATCATACTTGAAATAACCTTGGATTTACGGAGTACACACGGAGTACAGTCATTATTCATAAGTTTTTAACACCTCAGCCCCACACCAGCTTGATTATATAATATTCTGCCGTTCAAAAGTTTCATTCAGGTAAGGTGTACATCAAACCCTCTGGCTTTTGATGAGTACCTGGATAAGGCTACGTATTATCTTCGAAAAATATATCAAAATATGGCCAGAAATGCGATCTAAACTCGAGAAGGATGAAGTCCGCTAGTTCATTCTATATAGGCGGTATAGGCAATAAAGGAAGGCGGTAGGTACGGAGTATATAGCCAGTCACTATACTTCATTTCAAATATATATTACGTTGTACACCGAAGTAGTACCCGGGGAGTGGGATATATCAGAATCAAGACCCCTTTTCACTCGCCTTTAGATGACAAACAAGGATACAAGACCGTGAGCCTCTCGACCAGAAGCCCACTTAAAATCCTTAGCTCTTATATTAGGATTGACAAATAATCCAAGCCAAGTGACGCCAAACTAACCAAACATGTAGTTCTCACGTATACGCTACCCTGTTCGCTCGTTGATAGGGCTAATGTAAAATGAACTTGTTTTGGGGGTTAAGAACCGACAGCTAAGACATGAGGTAAGAAAACCCGAGGGCTGATACGTTTTGCGCCTTGTACGAGCGATAGTGGGAGCGCTAAGCACAACACATAATGTTATTTGCAGCGAAGATGAAGAGAGCCTACTACCTATATGGGTTAGCGTGGGTGGTTACATAAGGAAGCCACTTAACGCGTCGGTGTAGGATCAACTTTTCTTCCGAATACGCGTCCGCGTCGCGCCTTAGTTGCCCAAGGAGACCCGCGAAGGAGACCCACGAAAAACTAAGATAGCAAATTGAGTCTACGATATCGTCTCTCCACATTTCCTTTTTTTCCCCCTCAAGACGTGAGAGCTTAATACACTTTTTTTTCACATTGGCCATTTTCTGGCCATTAGCTCTTTGCCATGTCTTCTCTTTTCGACGCCGTGATCCAGTCCGAGCTAGGTTCTGGGCCCGCTCGTGAGAACCTTCGATCCGACAATCTACCCAGCTCCCGACGCTCAGAGAGCAATGGCCCTATGAGTGATATGAATGCCTTCCCAGATGACCAAGTCGTTGGAGGGGGAAGTTCGACAGTCAGCCGTATGCGCAATCCATATGCTGCTGGGCCCCCGCCGGTGGTCGATGAGGCGGCAGAGAAAGTCCAGCAGGCATTTGAAGAGCTGCTCGAGTCATATATCGACGAACCCTCATCTTCTGCGCCGCCCTCATCAGGAGAAGTTCTTAGCGACAAGTATTATATCGCTCAGATCAAGGGGATGAAGAAATTCGAGCTGTCAACTCTCTATGTTGATTTCACACACATCCTTAATCCTGTCTTGGCAGATGCCATTGCCGGCCAATACTATCGATTCCAGCCATTTCTCACCAAGGGTCTGCACAATCTCATCGCAAAGTACGAGCCAGAATACTTCGTCTCCCACCGAATGACCGCCAGTGCCTCTTCGCGGGCCAGTACCTCCGTCGCCTCAGCATATGCGGGTGTTTCAGACAACCCCGACCTCGAGCGTCAGATTCGCGAGAAGACTCGCCACCAGCAAACTGACAAATTGTTTGCTCTTGCATTTTACAACCTGCCCTTGGTTTCTAGGCTGCGACAACTTCGGACGAATCAGATCGGAAAATTGCTTTCCGTTTCTGGAACTGTCACAAGAACTTCAGAGGTCAGACCGGAATTGTCGCTGGGAACTTTTATCTGTGAAGGTTGCAAGACTGTTGTCCCGAATGTTGAGCAGACTTTCAAATATACGGAGCCAACAGAATGCCCCAATAATACCTGCGGCAACCGCGTGGGATGGCGCCTGGATATCGGAAAGAGTACATTTGTTGATTGGCAAAAGGTCAAGCTCCAGGAATCGTCGCACGAAATCCCGACTGGTAGTATGCCACGCACAATGGATGTTATCTTACGTGGTGAGATGGTTGATCGCGCCAAGGCCGGTGAACGCTGCGTCTTTACGGGCACTTTGATTGTCGTTCCTGATGTCAGTCAATTGGGTCTTCCCGGTGTGCGACCTGAGGCTGTCCGGGATAACAATTCCTTCCGCGGTAACGAAGTTGGTGGTAGCGGAGTCTCCGGATTGAAGTCTCTAGGCGTGCGCGATCTGACTTACCGATTGGCCTTCCTTTCTTGCATGGTTACCCCAGATACAACGACTCCTGGCCAGAAGCCGGAGCAGCAGCTGAGCGGCCAGTCAAATAATATCCTCGCTTCCTTGAACCAGAACCAGGATGATGATCTTGGGGATGAATCAGCCCAAGAAGCTTTCCTGCAAAGTCTTACACCGGCTGAAGTCCAGGATCTCAAGCGACTGGTGCACTCCGATTATATTTACTCCCGGCTTGTGGACTCGATTGCCCCCATGATCTGGGGTCATCGTCAAATCAAGAAAGGTCTGCTTTTGCAGTTGATTGGTGGTGTTGGCAAGTCGACGTCGATCGAGAGCCTGAAACTTCGTGGTGATATCAACGTCTGTATTGTTGGCGACCCGTCGACCAGTAAGAGTCAATTCTTGAAGTAAGTTTTTCCAACTCCCCACACATAGACCTTAGTTACTAACAGGGTTCCTCAGATATGTCTGCTCCTTGCACCCTCGTGCAGTATACACCAGTGGTAAAGCCTCTTCGGCAGCTGGTTTGACCGCCTCGGTGGTCAAGGATCCTGAGACAGGCGAGTTCACCATTGAAGCTGGTGCACTGATGCTTGCGGTATGTTCCCAATGTGGCTCCAATTAAGTATGGATTCTCGCTGACATTGTCCTTATAGAACGGTGGTGGTATTTGTGCCATTGACGAATTCGACAAAATGGATGTCGCCGATCAGGTCGCTATTCACGAAGCTATGGAACAACAGACAATCTCTATTGCCAAGGCTGGTATCCATACTACTCTCAATGCCCGCGCATCCATTCTCGCTGCCGCCAATCCCGTTAACGGTCGCTACGACCCGAAGCAAACCCTTCGGAACAACTTGAACTTTAGCGCCCCTATTATGAGTCGTTTCGATGTGTTCTTTGTCATTCGCGATGATCCAAAGGAGTCTGTTGACCGCAGTTTGGCCGAGCACATTGTCAACGTGCACATGAACCGCGACGAAGCCGTTGAGCCCGAGTTGAGCACAGAACAACTGCAGCGCTACATCCGGTTCGCACGCACATTCCGCCCCGTCTTCACTGAGGAGGCGAAAACACTGCTGGTCGAGAAATACAAGGAGCTGCGCTCCAACGACGCTCAAGGAGGTATTGGCCGCTCTTCATACCGTATCACCGTTCGTCAGCTTGAGTCTTTGATTCGTTTGTCTGAAGCTGTCGCCAAAGCCAACTGTGTTGAGGAGGTCACTCCGAAGTTCGTCATCGAAGCATACGATCTTCTCCGCCAGAGTATCGTGACTGTTGAGAAAGACGATGTCGAGATTGAAGATGATGATATGCCTACTCACACCAACCATGTCGATGACGATCAGGAAATGGCCGATGGTGACAACGAGGGTGACAGCCCTATGCGCGACGTCGCAGAGCCTGCTCAAGCTCCTGCCCAGCCGGAACGCCAGAAGACCAAGATCACTTATGACAAGTACGCCAAGATCCTAAACCAGATCGTCAGGAGGGTGAACGAGGACGAGGTGAACTCGGGTGAAGGTGTCGAGCAAGAAGATCTTGTGCTCTGGTACTTGGAGCAAATCGAGGGTGAACTCAACACCGCAGACGATTACGAGCGTGAGCGCGATTTGGCAGGCAAGGTCTTGAAACGCATGGTCAAGGTTAGTCGCTCTTCCTTTTATGTGGTAATATCTGCAAATTTCTGTCACATGTCACTAACAGACTTATTCTATAGGATAAAATCCTGCTGCGTATCTCCGGATCTGGCCTCACAGATGGAACTGACGACACCCAGCAAAATGACGGCAAGGTCCTTTTCGTCATGCATCCCGATTGTGCCTTCGATGAAATGTGAGACAATACGTTTTGTCTCTTGATTATGTTATTTTTCTTATTTTGTACTGTCTGTCTTCCAGGGCGGGGCTATGTTGAGCATTTTCAATGGGTTAAATACAAGGAAAGGAGCAAGGGGTTATGAGTGATGATATCCGTTTAGTTCTTATGCTGGATAGGACATGAATGATACTAGATTCAATGTCCAAATTACATTCCAATGAAAATAAATAATTTTGCCAATGCCTGTTTATTCTTTTCTGTCCCATTCTCGGCAGGGATCGTGATTGTTCCACCTGTCTGGCTCTATCTATTCTGATATTGGCATCTAGAACCTGTAGAAAACCCCCTCGCAAGCATAACACCACCGAAAAACGAGAGGGGTAAAAAGGACCAGTCCCTTCGGCCTAGTTGTCCAAATTCCCAGATCCCTGACTCGACCAGCCTTATCCCAATAATGTCTAGCTATGACAGACAGCCTTGACAAGGTCATAATGAGCGGTTATACCGCTCAGCTACCTCCTACCGTGATTTCTCGCCGAAAACGAATGCATTCACTCTGAAAAGCTGTATTCATTCGAGAGGATGATCCCACCAGGGCTTCCAGACACACGCATGAAGCTGCAATACCGCACCCGGCATTTGCAAATTCGTGAGTGACGAGTTCTACAATGGGAAGCTACGAACCGATAAGTCTTGTGATAACAGGTGGCAATCTAAAAAGCTCTTCGAATCTTGTCAAGTTCAGTGAGAGCTTGGATATTCGCTTGGGGCCAGGGAAGAAGCAAAGCATATCTCCAAAAGAACTCCTCGCTCGCCCTAATGTCTACCGTGAACGCCTCTTCCAACGCGCCTATTGAACCCCCAAAGACAAGGCCGAAGACACCCCACTGTTTTCAATATATCAAATCTACGAGCACTTATTTCTGAGCGACAGCATCGGTTTGCGAAACGAAATCGAATATTTCTGGTACGCGAAGTGGCCGGTTGCCTCTATTATCTGCGACGGAAAGACGATCCCATGATGTCGTGCGAAGAAATGGGGCAGTACCAAAAGGAGGACAACATATTCAAGTCGATCCCAGAGTGGACGGAGCAGGTGGCACGGCCAGAAGATAGCCTAGTTATTCCACATGATAACGATGAGATTCTTGGGTCGTTCGAGGATGAAAAGGCTAGCGGGCAGCTGGCAGCAAAAAGCATTCTGCATTGGCAACCGCATATTCATTTTATTTGAAGGCTGAACCCATTGGCCTTTATTTTCCGATGAATTATGACCTGATGGATTATTGCTCTCATACATATTTGCGTTCAGTGAAAATCGATACCAATTGCGCTTTTGTCCTCGCTTCTCAGCTCACTTGGTGCAAAGGCAGCGTTGATGACGAGTGTTTCTTCCGAGCGCTCCACGTTTCTCCCCATGGTGAGCTTGCTCCATAGAGTCTGTTGAAGAGCTCCAACTATATCGTAGCCTTTCCATTGCATTTGCACTGCGTTCATAACATCCTTAATTCCATCGTGCTGGATGACAATGACACTGAATGCCCCATAGATATGCCCACAGACAACCCCTTTGGGACTTACTCTTTGTATCTCGCGCAATATATACCCATCCCCTTTAACTTTGATCTTTCCATCTGGTCCTTTCTCGCCATCACAGTCACCATATAGAGCCGGTGGGCCATGCACCACCAGAATATCAGTATCATCGGGGATCTTCCTGGTCCACGCGTCGCGGATCGGATGATACTGAAAGACCCAAAGGCCAAACTCTGGCGTCATTGGGGAGCCGTATATTTTCACCCGGCGCACTTGCTGCTCCCCGGCAGCAGGGACTAGCAGTTCCAATATCATTGGTTCATCTTGCAAATAATGGATCCCAATCCAGTCCAATTGCTTTCGCTTTGCAGCACTGATTCCCTGACGCGCAAAAAATCCCATCTCACTTACTTCATCAAGGATAAGGTCGTGGTTTCCCGCGGTGACAACCTTATGTGTATGTGGCTGAGAAGACAGCCAGTGGAGCTGCGTTTGCGTCAAAGGACCCATGGGCAATCAAGTCGCCCGCGTGGACTAAGATGTCACCGGGTGGCAGAGGAGGGTTTGCATTGTGCGTGTCTGAGATGCATATTATGAGGATTGGAGGGAAGCTTTGGGTACTTGATAAAGAAATCGGCGTTATCGATGGTTTCTGTGAAGTGGACTGGGTTGGTACTCCCAACAGGTCATCCCAGGGCAGCTGTAGTACACGCTCCAGCCATGTTGGTGGTTGTGATAGGCTGTATGGGAAGGGGAGTAGATGGTTGTTCATTTGGGGGGACCTGGATAACGCTTCTAATTATAAGAAGTCACAATACGTTACAAGAAAGCATAATCAACAAAGCAGCTTTGGTAGTTCAGTGGTAGAATACTACTCTTCCATATCATTCTTCGGAGTGTTGTTAAGTAGTGGCCGGGGTTCGATTCCCCGTCAATGCATAAATTTTGATATTTTTGATTCTTTTTCAATAACATCGAGTCAACGCGATCGTTTTTTTGCCTGTTAAACTAAATAAATTTTGTAGAACCCCGTTGAGCGTGACTACCATTTCGAAGTTCTATAAACAATATCAATCCTGGGGGTTTACATAATACTCAGCAAATTTCATACCAACTCCCATGTCCTATGATCATGCTCCGTTCATGATTCAACATATATATATATATATATAGAAGTAAAACAAAACCTCGCTATACTCTAGAGTCTCAGAACTTATAGGAAACTATGGAACTTGACTATCAACTTTAATCTCCCAACCAAGGAAGCCTCATCTTTCATAGCTACATAAGTTATATTCTTCTTTACTTTACTCCATGTATTGTAGACAACTCTTTTGGTCTATTACAAACACCAAATGAGCGATATAATCGCCAGATCGAGAAGTATCCATCAATAACCTGGCGCTCTATAACCGAGGCATGAGCTCACTGTATCTATCATAGTCACCCCAGTCATAACTACCAATAATCTTCCGTACTTACAAAAGTACAGCCTGTGCACATGTGACGTGTACTTTTGTTGAAACCTCATCAATACGTCCTGTTCTCACCAGGTACTCGTATTTGGTCCACCTTGGACACCTTCCACTCCAAGTACGGAGTAAGCTTCTGAGTGGATTTTGCCTGAAAATCACAAAGTTTATGTTGTGTACGTGCAGGTCAACGAAATTTGATTTTATGCCACAATTTGACATCACACTTAGAAGTACCTATTTATTTGAAATTAAAATAATTGAAATGAGAAGAGTCTTCCCTACTAGCATAGAATCCTATGGCCTTGCCTAGGAAGGCAGGAGCCCCCTAGGTATGCGCCTTTGCATCCCTGTGAATTTAGCACCAAATAATATTAAAAGGGCCACTCGAGCGTCATGGAAAGACATCCTTGTTCGAGACTAATTGGCGCCCTCCGGTGGGATACCGCAGTGGCTTTACTTGGCTTACTACACCATTTGGCACCGTCGATAATACCAATTTAAAATACAAATTGTGGGTTGTATTTGTGGTTGCTGTTTTTGATCTCCTAAGGGGTAGGATGTGCTATACGGAGATATGTGTAACATATTATATTTTGCACAGCAGAATCTCATCCAAAAATAATTCTGTAATGGAGTTAAAAAGCTCAAATTTGTTCTGAACCCTCTCTCCTGCATTAAAAATAAACAACAGGAATAATTATCCGCACCCAAAAAGGGAAGGGGTGGGGGCGTACGGGATACATACTGTACAGTATTATAATAATTAGAGTCTCCGCTTTGATATTAAGCATCTTCCTTATATTATATGTTTCTACTATCTCGATTGAATTTAGTCTTTCAATATATAAAGCGTGTTCAAGGTGAGACTGTATTCCAGGGAGGGGCCGAGTGAAGGAGGAATAGAACACAGACTGTACGGAGTATAATAATCAAAGTCTGTAATCAAGGATGTACTTTTGCAGGGAGTATGCATATTCGAGAAGCAAGAACCCTGCATCTGAATTCTGCCAGGTGGAAGCCACTGTATATATTATTATTCCACCTGCAACATCCATGATCGGACCGACAGAATGTGTGTCTAGACCGTGCTGGGGAATATCATGTCCAACATACACCTCACCATACTACGTTGTACTAAAAGACGCCTCCCACCTAGCTTCCGGTGCCACATACTATGCCTTGGTTGAACTCCCTTTTAATAAATGCATACAAAAAAATACGTACATTGTTTTTCTGTTCTAAGCATAAAGTAGATACCTTTACAGAGCAATTTGTCGGATGATATACTTCACCCTCCGTAGGTTGTGCCACACATGCGTCCATGCGTACTACACACATGGTTCCGTGGAGATATATAGCATGACACGTACCGCCACAATTTTGAATACGAAACGAGGAGATTGCCGCATCAACAGTCCGCGTGGATGCCGCCCGTAATCATTGATTCACACGTGGGATACTCCGTACTCCAAAGAGTTGAAGTTTCCCCCTTATGGTCCTCCCGCCCCACTTGTAATCATTGTCTCCACGCTAAGACTATGTTAGACTGTTGAACTGGGAAGGTTGGGTATCAATCACTCAATGGCCCCCGGACCCCACAACGGAGCAGCCCCATTGTTCCTTGTGGGCAAGTTTTTTTTGCTTGGCGAATCATTGAACCAAACTACACGCATCCCGTTGCCTTGCCGTGCCGTGACAGGGAACAGCAACGGCCATGCACATTGTGACATTGCCAAGCTGCGTATGCCTGGGATTATTGCAGGGAAGCCAAGACCAACAATTGTACATTTCTAATTATTGGCAAAACTTGGATCAATCGGTCATGGGAGGCTGGAGCCGTCACGCCTCCGACTTCGTACAATTCCTTTGTATGTTGTAGAAAGACCCTATATGCAAGGTTGACAATGAAGCCGGAAAATCCATGAAATGTCAAATTCCTGCCATAAATATTTACGGAGAATGGGTGTGATAAACGCAGGACGGGCAAGGACAGAAGCAAAAACATAAATAGCAGTAAAAACGCCGATTCCAACGCCCTGCTCCCCTGGGAATGAGTTATGAGCTGATGCAAGAGACAGACAGGAGATAAATACTCCAAACACTAACGGCAAGATCGGAAAATGTGCTCAAAGACAGTAGGAAGTAAAAAAATCGCAAATAAGGGAATGAATAGAGTAACTGGTATGTGCGCCCCCGTAACTGTAAATCAAATCGCAACCAAAGATGCCGAAAGGCCAAAAAAGGAAAAAACGCCAATCAAAGAGAAAGAAATGAGACTTTCAACAATTCAAAGGTATCAACTGGCTGTAATGGTTTTGCAAGGGTTTCAACACACGCTAAATCGCTAATATGAGGTCAAGTGTTGGCTGTGCCAGTGTTTGTGTTTACACTCGGATCCGAGAGGATCGGAATGCAGATAGGTCAATCGACTCAGCCGAGATAGATGAGTTATCGTCGACTTCAATGGTACCTGCCATGGTCATGGAGGGCTTGTTCGCAGCAATGGCAGCAACTCTGGCGAGTCGCGCCGCAGAGGGGCTAGGGGCCGGTTTGGGATGTCCCTCTTCTGCGGTCCCTTCTTGTTGTTTTTGTTCGTGTTCTTCTTGCTGTTTCTTTTCTGCCATGATACGGTCGACCTCGTTGATAGCCGCCTCGAGTAGCATCTTGAACTTCTCTTCCACGCCGTCCAGTTCCGTTCCACAGTCGCCAGATCGAAGGACTTGGTAAGCTGCCGTCTCGCAAAGTGAATGGGCAAGTTCCAGTTGCTTGTCGGCAAAGTCAAAAGGTGAGTCTTTCCGTGCGCTGGTCCCCGAGATACCGACCAGTCCAGATGTAGTCCGGGTGCTGTGAACACAAGAAAGTGGGCCTGTCTGTCCCAGTGCACTGGACATATTTAAATTCATGCTTTTGCTTAACAGGCCCGCGCGCAGCCCAGTACGCGGCATCAGTGCCATCTGGCTTCGTCTGATGTTGTTCCTGGCAATCCCAATATCCCGTACAATTGCTTCAAGCGTCTGCTGTGTATGGCCATCGTATTCGATGATGACATTGTGCCGTGTGCTTACCAAGGCGTGTTCTTCAGTGGACTCGACTGAGGGGGCCTCATCGGTAGTGCGCTTGCGACCTGAACGTTGACCTTGCTCGGGCGCATCCTGTGTATTCACGGGTTCTGGGCTGGGACTCTTTCTTTGTGCGATCGGAACGAGATCATCGACATGAATGGAGCAAACGGAACTGTTCTTCCGTCGGCGAGGCTTGAAGTTTGCGTGGCGTCTGTAAGCCTCCGAGTATTCATTGTGTTTTTTATGAGTGTGTGTGGCAAGATCTGAAACGCGAGTGATCCATGCAGGAATATTGTCTTTCATGTGGGTGAATGTCCCCAGAGCATCCATCGATGCCATGGCCATAACAAATGTTGAATCTCTCAGTCCGCGCTTGCAGTCGAAATCCAATCAAAGTATTATATGTGAGTATTTCGGGTGGTCGTCTCGTCGTAAATCGTGGGCCCGACCGTAAGGGTAGAGATAAAGTAGATGAAAGAGAAGGACTTTCTTAACCCCTCAAGCGTTGGAAGATCAGCAATGCAAGTGACGGTGAAGTAGGAGAGGGGAAAAGAAAAGAACCTTGGAGAGAAATTGAAGATGTGGTATTGGTATGGTAAATACTTTGTTTGGTGGGATGTACCGACATTATAAATTTATATGGGGCTAGGCAGTTTTGGTACGGAAACCCCTGTATTTTGATAGTCCTAGGGCCGCATTCAAAATTATATGTGATTGGGCCGCTTATCCTATTACTGAAGCGGTGAAATAGGATGCATGTGTCAGTTGCCTGGGACTCCGTACACTACTTTTAACTGTATGTTGTATGTAGTTTGATCATGATCATCTAAAAAAACATAGTTGACCAGTACATACGGAGTATATAGTAAGAATATCCAAACATTCCAAGCCACCCATTCCTCAATTTAAGTCTCCCAACCGAAATATGAAGAATCCTAAAGATTGAATTGTATGTTATACAGAAAAGAGAACTCTGTATAATATAGGAACGGGTACCTTTCCTAAGTGAGGTTTGACACGTAACGGCTCGGGGACCAGCCGGGGATTCGGGGACCATAAGGAATTACGAGTGAAAGTCAAATACTAAAAAAGGGGGAGCCGGACGATCCCGCGGAACTCCCGGGAGAGTCCGTGGTTGGGCCCCGGAGGCCCCACCGCATGATAAACGGCCGTGGTTGGCTGGTGTAAATCGAGGGCATATTGGTATTGTAAACTTCCTCTATTAGGTACCTCGTATCAGATCCCCGTCCAGACTCGACAACTCTCAAACATTTCCAGTTTGAAGTCTCTAGGTCGAGAAGGCTCACACGTGATGTACATAAATCTTGAAGGATTCTAGTGTCCAAGGTTGGGGGCAAATCATTGAAGCCTACAACATATACGTCGAATTTACAGGGCTTGATGTTTACAGGGCTTGATGTTTACAGGGCTTGATGTTTACAGGGCTTGATGTTTACAGGGCTTGATGTTTACAGGGGACATTTACAGGGGACGATTCGACTTTGAAAATCCGTTGAGGTGTCAATGGAAACGAAAACAGAACAAACCCATGGCCGATATCTCACGTGGCTTGGAAGGATTTCCTCGGATGAAAACTAAGTACTGGTTTTCATCCCCCACTAGAGCAACATCTCAACTGATCGGAAATATCCACCCCCAAAGCATCAGAACCAAATCAGGACCAAGGCGTTGGAAAGGTGCGATGATGAACGTTAACAAAACTTAACGACTAGTGGCGGACCAAGTCTGAATCCAGCCCTCGACAGTACGCTGGATATTCTGGGCAGAGGCCATGGTAGCGCGGTGAGCCTCATCAAAGGTCTGCATGTTCCTCTGAAGTTCCTCGAGGTTGGTCTCGAGCTCACGGGCCCAGACACGGTGGACGGACATGGTGGACGCAGCCTGAAGAGAATCGGCGGGGAAGTCAGGGATCCCGTTCTGGGACTTGGCGGGCTTGGCACGGCAACTACGCCTGGTGGATTTCTTGACTGGCTTCTGCTCGGCCTCGGAGAGCACAGAAGAAAGCTCGTCGCTGGAGTCCGCGGGAGCGGGGCTCGCCTCCTACACCATATATTAGCTTGGTGAAGCTAAAGAAATGTCAGAGGTCTATGTCACGTACCTTGGGCTTGGTCTCGGCGATCTCGGTGGCCTTGCGGCGTCCGCGGGTGGCAGCGCCGGGGGCAGCAGGAGCGGCAGGGGCAGGACTGGGAGCAGGAGTTGGAACAGCAGGATCGGAGGGGGGAGACATGCTGGCTGGGATGACTTCAGCCTCGGCGATTGTCACAGGTTGGTTACGGTGGATGCACCGCTTCTTTTTGGCCTTACAGTCAGCACAGGCAGGGTTGTCGTTAGGCATTTCGGTGTCAGACACTGTTTGAACGCGCCGGTTGTCAGTAATTATGTTGAGATAAGGCGAGTGAAAAAATGAGGTTTGAGGGGAGTCACTTTTGCTAATAAGATGGGGACAAAAGAGAGGTGAAAGCTATTTGTCGTGGGTGTGACGCGGATTAAGCGCAGCGGGCGAGTTGCGACGAGTTGGCAGAAGTGAAGGTTCTTTCAGGCATGCGACAACCATAAAGCAAAACGACAAACCGACAGCCCAAGCAAATTCGGAAAGCCCAGTCACTCGACGCATCTTTGAATAACGACCCCACGGTAACCACCAACACTTTGCTTGCAACTTTTTTTTAAGGATGTTCCATTAAAGCCTATAGATACAGAGCCTTACAGCTCAAGATGAGAACATCCAGTATAGGTAGGTCCATATCTTGCAAATATCAAAATAAGGTAGCGGTGACACATTATTTGGATACGAGTTGATCCAAATATGTACAGAACAAGCGCCTTAGCAGTATTGGTAGAATCACGGCCATACCTCAATTTCATCCCACTGAGAACCATCGTCTCCGCCAATCAATGTCCAGTTCCATCGTTTACCATCCTCTTGATCGGTAAGATCTAAACGCTCGACCTGCTCGGGACGAATGACGACAACTCGAAAATTTGCCCTTGCAACAGGATCATGGAGGTCCAAAACTTTTTGACCTAGCTTGAGATCCAATTGGCTGGAAGTTGAGGATCTAGGTTGCCCAGGGGGAGGGTTTCGGAAAGAACCTAGATTCCCAGTCAGCATGAGCTGGTCATGACAGGCAACATGGCTTTTTGATCTGGTATAACGAGAATGTAGAATAAAACACTTGCACTCAATAACCAATATCATGACAACGTACCTCTTGCGACAGGGGAGTGGTTCGCAAAGTACTTAGTGACAGCCTTTTGCCATGTCCACTTTGCAATATCGCTGTCAGTATCCCCTTTCACCCTCAATGCCTTTCTGATCTCAGTTCGGGATGTCTTCTCTTCCTGTGCATCTTCTCCACGTGGGTCTCCAATTGCATATGCCGTTCCCTTGATGCGCCACTGAGTCATGAGACCCTTCAACCAGAACACAACTTCAATTGCATGACCCGAGGACTCCAGTTGAGGAAGCTTCTCCATTCGAGCATCAGTGGTAAATGATAGCATATCGCTTTCGAATACGGGTGGATTACCACCACCTTCCACCTGCTGATCCATAGCTTCCTGGCCCTTAGAATGGAGCTCAAGTTCTGGGAAGAAACCACGACAGCCGCAAGTCCGCAGGCGAGGTACAGGACGTTGTTGAGCATCGTAGCCAATAGTCGCAATTGTGAATTCATATCCTGGTGTTTGTTTGAGTTGGGAGTCAAGGAGATCGCGCCATGGGGCACGCTGTGGGTTGTTTGACGGTGTGTTCATAGTGCCTGACTTTGTTGAGAGACCCAAAGAATTGATGGGAGATCCTCCACTGTCTATTTTAATTGCACTGAGGCGCCGGAGGGCCACCTGCAGAGAGCTTTGATGGCTGACAGCAGCGGAAGCTGGAACCATATGTTAGTATGAAGCTGGTGGCCTCTCTCGCAAACACTGATCGGATTGGTGGGGGTACGACTAATTTCAATATGGCATTCAGCCTGCATGAAAATTTAAGGAGTAAATGTTGGGTTGTACGAAGCGAGTAGACTTGGAGATAAGCGTAAAAAGAAGAGTGACATGGACCACGGTTGATGTTGATGACATCACGTTTTGATGGTCCGTGCGTAAATCTGAGAGACTGGCCAATCGCCAACCAAAAAAAAACCAGGCCACAATGGAATGCATTTGACAGAAGTTGCAATGCATAAATTTCAAAGGGCATGCACCTGGAAACAATTGGCAAATGCAAGCCAATTTGATGTGACATTGGCTGTCAATCGGCGGGTCTGTTTACCCAAGATCTACTCAATAAACAGATCGGTCAGGCAGTATTCGACAGCACAAAATGTCCCTTGCGAGATTCCAGCAGGCCAACTAGAATCTAAAACCCATCCATTAGGATGGGAACGAATTCAGGCTCAAGTTGAGCCTTATTTCGGTAACAGTTGGAGCTTTGCCAGCGAGAAGGAGAAAAAGGGGTTCCTTGGTCTTGGGTTCTCCCGCGCCTTTAGTCACTTCTTCCCATTAACGCTAGATGATCGCATCGATGTGACATGCAAGATGCTTTACTTGTCTTTACTCATTGACGGTGAGACCCTAGGCCGGAAGTTGGGTTTGGACATCGATTGACTTTCAAGATAGATCAACTTGAAAAAATGAGTTTTACACAAATGCTGTCGTATCGGGACCGGGTCATGAAAATTGCTCTTGGGACAGCGAGCCCCGATCGACGCATCTGTCTTGAGTGGATGCTTCACGATACTGTCACGGCCATGCGTAGTATGGACGAGCTTCTAGCAAATGATGTTGCCCAGGGATTTTGTCAACTTGTGCAGGCCCAGACATCCCAGGAGAGGTCCACAATAAAAACCCTCGGAGCGTACCTCAAATTTAGGGAGATAGACGTGGGTAGACCGTATGTATTGTCGCTGCTGTTCATTTTCGGAGATTGCTAGACACTGACGGCCATTTAGACTCTACACAGCTCTAATTAGATTCGGTGCCAAGTTCCGTCTCACTACCGCTGAACTCAAAAAGACCACTGCTTTGGAGAGCACCGCATTTAGGCATGTCAGTGCTATGAATGATATCTATAGCTGGGAGCGAGAATGGAAAGTATACCAGGCGAACCCAACCGATGGTGCCCAGCCATTCTCCGCCATCTACATTTTTGCCAACGAAACAGGATTATCATATACAGCCTGCAAGCGGTTGATGTATAGCTACTGTCGGGAATTGGAGCTCGCTTTCAAGCAATCCAGCGATGAAATTCGCACGGAAAGCCCGAGACATGAATTGGAAATGTACATCAAAGGGCTAGAATATTTTATGTCCGGCATTGAGCTATGGAGTCAGTGGACTCCACGATATCGACACTGAGGCGTCATCTACCTTGACACGGCTCTATTAGTAACCAGATCCTTCGCGGTTATCTATATGAACATTTGAATAAGAGATTGGCCGAGCTGTATTTTCTCTCTACGTACCAAGAAGGACATCCAAAAAGCACAGGGAATCATAGAATGAGTAATTCCAAGGCCATAAAAAGGCACAGAATCACATACAGTGGTCAATATGTTTTATCAGAACTGGCAGCAGCAGCTTGCGATAGGTTTGGCTTCTTGCTTTACTTGATATTAGACATTCCAAAAACACATCACGTTTTTTGGGTAGACGAAAATATCTTAATAACAACAGTAAAAAGATAGCAGAACTTTGGGTTTTGGTCCACCTCTCCACTCTGCCATATTCAAAGCTCATACGGCTGTCGATATGCCAATCCGCGATAGAGATCAATAAGGGGGTGGGTACGGCAGTTTCCAACCGCCAGTGAGCCATGACCTATTTCTCCCATAGTAATAATCTTATATTCTATAGAATTCAAGTATGGTCAGAATCGTCGACTAATTCTGCGGCCTTGTGTAGTCTTTTCAGTAGTCTTGGATATTGTTTTTGGATGATTTCTTAAAAGATATTTTCTCCCTCCTAGTTTCTGTAGGTAGATAACTTTTCTATATGGAACTAGGCAAACTTTAAGTACGAGTTTAACCGTGCAAAAGTGATCGAAGGCGAATATCAAGAGGAAACCCTGAGTGTTTGGCATGATGCAAAATTTTCAAATGAGAGCATGCTACGCGGTCACTACAGGTTCCAACCTCACTGGAGACCAGATATGGGCATAGTGCACAACAAAACCTCCATTATATCGCAAGAGAGAATAGACACGATTCAAGGGTTCTTTCCCGCTCTCTTCACGGGTCGCATGTAGGCCAATGGGCTTGGAAAGATTATTACGTCTAACATAAATTCTATTTACCCTAGTTGGGATGTGAAACCGGCCATCTCATCCACGGCCTCGAACATTACCGGCTGCACCGTGGAGACTGTGGCCGCAGCAATGTCCAAATCATTCCGAAACACTGCGTTTGCCACGCAGGAAAATTCAAATATCACCGGCAAGACAATGACCGGGAAGACACACGTCTCTACATATTGGGAGTGGATCTTCCGGCTCTGGTGTGGTTCTTGGGACTTTTGACCTTGGTGGGCGTGATATGGAAGACTCGGCCAACATGGAAGAATGATGTGATGCCCTTGCTAACCATATATGAAAAATGGTCATAAAAATGGCAAAACTGAGCAGAAGGTATCAGATAAGCAGAAAGTGAGATTATTCGAAACCGAAGGCAAAATGCGGCCTGGGAATTAGCATACATTGAGAAAGATGATATTCACAAGTTTACCAGTTTAGAATGATAGAAATATATGAAACATACAAATCTCCGAGATGAAGACCAATTAAAGTAGTAATGCTGCTCTAACATTTTAGACCCAGAAAAGCTCATTTATTTTATATCGAAACTGTCCCTAAAGCTTTTGAGTCTGACAATTACTACTTATAGACTCAAAAAAGGGAGAGAAATAAAAAGAAAAGAATTCTAATAAAGCCTGTATAAATGAGGTGAGTCCGGAGTCCATCGGCATGCCGAGACCCATTCTGAAACAAAATAAGATCGGCATGCCCTTATTAATTCTTCCTGACTAAAAATGAGTAAGAACGTTTAAACGTTAGCCACAGGGGATCTAGAGCTAATTTAGAGGGTCTTCTCATTTCGGCCAATCCAGTCCGGCTTTGGTCTATGGAACGGATTGATGATGGGTTCTTCATTTTCCTAATGGGTATATATCGCATGTTGAGATTAGTCTACGGAGTAATGTAACAAAGACTTCCGACATCTCTCCGAATCAAAAGTGGATCGCGATGCTTGCAAATCATATTGTGACCCCGAAGTATAAATTATCTGTGAAGAAGCTTGTTAGGAAAATTAAAAAAATCTGTTATATCCCTAGGGCTATTTTCATTTGTTTCTCCCAGCGACAGAATTATATCAATCATGCGTCTCATCGGCCTTGCACTGCTTCCACTAGCAGCCGCAGTTCCTCATGCCTCGCACTCGGCCTACGACTACATTATCGTCGGAGGTGGCACCAGTGGCCTCGTTGTTGCAAACCGATTGTCCGAGCAAAAGAATGCCACCGTCCTTGTGATCGAAGCCGGCGGCTCCGTATATAACAACCCAAATGTGACCGACACTCTCGGATATGGTAAAGCATTCAATACAGACATTGACTGGGCCTATAAAACGACAGACCAAGAATATGCTGGCGGAACCGCACAAACGGTGCGTGCTGGAAAGGCACTCGGAGGAACGTCGACCATCAACGGCATGGTCTACCTCCGTGCCCAAGCAGCCCAGATCGATGCGTGGGAGACCGTCGGAAATAAGGGCTGGAACTGGAAGACCATGCTCCCTTACTACAAGAAGAGTGAGCAATTGCAAGATCCGGCACAGTACCCATTCTTGGATGGATCGGGCGTTGCCTTTGATCCGGCCTACCACGGCTTTACTGGGCCCTTGAAGGTCGGTTGGTCTCCAGCACAGTTGAACGATGGTCTCGCCCAGAAAATGAACGCTACCTACCAGAACCTTGAGGTTCCTGTTAAGTACAACCGGGACCCCAATGGCGGAGATATGGTTGGATACAGCCTGTACCCCTTGACGGTTGATTCCGAGCTCAACATCCGTGAGGATGCTGCTCGTGCCTACTATTATCCTTACCATAACAGAACCAATCTCCACGTCTGGCTTCACACACACGCCAACAAGATCACTTGGAAGGATGGCCACAACGCTGCCGCAAGTGGTGTCGAAGTCACTCTTTCCAACGGCACAACCACTGTGGTGAAGGCTACCCGCGAAGTAATTCTCGCTGCTGGTGCGCTGAAGTCTCCCGTTCTGCTCGAGCTTTCTGGCGTCGGAAACCCAGAGTAAGCATAATACCACGCGGTTCGACATTTGATCGAAGGCTGACTAAAGATCCCCCACTAGCATTCTTTCCAAGTACAAAATTGCCACCAAGATTAACCTGCCAACTGTCGGTGAAAATCTGCAGGATCAAATGAACAACGGGCTCCAGTTCGATTCAAAGAAAAGCTACTACAACAAGAGTGCCGACTACGTCTCCTACCCCTCAGCAGCCCAGCTCTTCCCCAACTCTACAGCTGTCGGAGCCGAGCTTCTTCGCAAGCTCCCCGCTTATGCAGCCCAGGTTGCATCCGCCAATGGCAACATTACCAAAGCCCGCGACTTATACCACTTCTTTAAGATCCAGTGGAATCTGATCTTTAAGTATGGTATTCCTGTCGCGGAGATCTTGCTAGAGCCCTCCGGACCCATGTACGATACTGAATACTGGGGGTCTGTTCCGTTTTCTCGCGGTAGCGTTCATCTCTCTTCTGCAGACCCCACGGCGGTGGCTACCATTGACCCCAAGTACTTCATGTTGGACTTTGATTTCCACGCTCAGGTGCAGGCGGCGAGATTTATTCGTGAGGTCTTCAAGACTAAGCCACTTGCTGATATGGCTGGCGCTGAAACCAGCCCTGGTCTTTCGACTGTTGCTGCCGATGCTGATGACGAGGGCTGGACTGATTTCATCAAGGGTAACTGTAAGTTTATTTCTTACTTTGCTGAGAGGTTCTTGGAGGGAACTCAATGACTGACATTTGGATAGACCGATCAAATTTCCACCCGATTAGCACAGCTGCCATGATGCCCAAGGAGATTGGTGGTGTCGTTGACTCATCGCTGAAGGTTTACGGAACCTCAAATGTTCGTGTTGTCGATGCTTCCGTCTTGCCTTTCCAGGTCTGTGGTCACCTTCAGAGCACCGTGTATGCGGTCGCTGAGCGTGCGGCCGATATCATCAAGGGGCGGCTGTAAGGTGGCATCGTGGCTCCAACGGAAATAATATATGCATGCATGTTGTTGCGACTATCTATATTGTGAATACGAATCATCGACAGTTTATGCAGCCTCTGTTCAGGTTTTGGGTCCATCGCGCCAACCTGGTTTTCCCCGGCAGAAGGTTAACCAGCTACCATCAACATTTAGTATATACCCAGGTAGAGTATCTCACCTGAAAGGGAGAGTTTAGAGTTGCTATGAAAACGCATAGAGATGAGCCCTCGCCCCCTCTCATCACCAATGAGCACGATCCCATATGACTATTACCGGCCATGCCATGATAACCAAGAGCCTCGCTTGCTAGTCTTAAGTCTGTGTCATTCCACTCTGGCTTCTAGGCATCCTTTTGCCCCCTAGTCCTACCTTATCTAACTGGGCTTCTGTTGTCGTATAGGTCTGCCACTTTCTAACCCCTCAGCTAGAGTAAAAGCATAACATGGTTCTTTATGCGAATTATCTGATATCGTAAAGAAATTTAATAGTCTGCGCGACGTCGGAGGATATATTTCCTACACGGTGAGCGGTATAAGGCCTTGTTTATATATGCTTAAGCGCTGAGCTTATGGTATATGGCTAATATCCAAAATAATGAATGGAAAGAAGTACGTGGCTTTCATTTTAATGAGGGAGAGCATGGGAATTCGTAGGGCTCCTGCGGCTAACTGAATTTAGAAAACCCACTGGTAATCGATAGAGAACAGATCCTTGCTCGATTCCTAAGTCTGGTTAATCTTGAAAAGCGCACTTTTACTTGTGTATTCTCTTTTTGTCCTTCACCTAGACACAAAGACTAAACTAGGTGTGGTGTGCTTCCCTCGATTGAGCTTGATACATGGTGTGCGCTCTTCTAGATCAATTGCCAGACCCCAACATACACCAATGACCGTGATATATCTGAGCCTTTCCTTAAAACATGGCCTAAACTGATATTTGTCTACGGTAAAGTAGACTCGGACATCCCGTATCGACTACTGAATTTGGAGGAAGAACATTGTTGGATAGAGCGACGAGCCCCACGAGAAAAGGAGGACTACCACGTATCGTTGGCTCGAGGATATGAAATTACTTAGCGACAGGCACCGAGAAGGAGAAGAGATTATTGAAAAGAATTAGCAGCGAAAGAAGTCTAAGATTGAGTAGTACAGCTAAACTTTGAATTGAGCTCTGTATCTGTAACTGGCGGTTCTCTAATTACGATAATAAATTAATAACAGCTTAAGCTGTGAATAGGCAACTAAGAGTGCTGTCCGCGAACCAGGCCTTATCTTTCCTCCAGCCGTGGACGATCAAATCTCTTCCCACCGTAATAACCTCCTTAATTTGCTTTTCAGTGCCCTATCCAGAGACTCTACTGCCGAAGTAAATCAGATACACACTAACGTGAATCACGGTGCGAAATGCTATGTTATTATCGAGGTGCCTATATCCCTTTAAGAACCCTTGAAACATCTATAGTCCGCCGTCTATATTCTTAAACAGCTTTATTTTATATAGCATAGTAATTATTTGACCTAAGTCTAATACGCGGCTTCTAATCTACGATATTTCCTAATCGGTAACGAATATAGTCGTCTTAGATTAGTGAGTGAAAGGAACGTTTAGAAGAAGTACACTAGAAATAACGTTAGTAATCTAGCTTAATCTAAATAAAGGTTAGATCGAAGAAAGTATACTATTAATCAGTAGGGTATAATCCACCTAGAACTTTAAGTTCTTTTTCACTTAATTAGCGCTAAGCTCTTTTATAAGCTGCTCCTCGGCCATCTAAAGGTAAAACGATCTCAGCTAAGATTCGGATAAGTCATAAGAAACCTCTAAGTGTAGGAAGTTCTTTAGGTCGATTGAATTTAGAAGATCTTCCACCACCTAGGTGTCTATGGTCCGATTAAAGCCTAATAGGCGCGGTGATCTAACGTTTATTTTACCAGTTACATATATCGCTAGGCCATCGAGAGCTCGTAGAATGGCTGCCTCGAAGTGCTAATTTACTAGCAGTATGACTCGGAGGAGAATCATTTAATAGAGTGCAACTAACTCATCGCGTGATATCGATTCTAAAATCCGAGTTAGAAGCTGAGTGGTCCTTCGTGTGCTTGATGATAATAGCTTGTCCACTTGAGGAAAGTATGCCCCGATAGACAAAGTTGGCCGTACCTCCGGATAGGCGTGTGAGCGAGGAGCAAGCGAGGGGAGTAGGGAAAAGTTGCTGCGCAATTTCATACCCTGTTTGATCGTGGTTATTTGTAGTCATGTTGTATGGCTTGAGTGGGAGTTGTAAAACAGTCAAGCTGTTCACACGAGTATTTCCTGTACGGGCCAAAATGCACCAGTACATATACGGTCCTCGCAGTTATAGCATTCATCTCACGAAGACGAGCGACAAAACACGGAGTATATCATCCGTGACTGAATTATTATTAGATACCAAATAATGAGTTCCAATACGTCCGATGGCCGCTTGGATGGTATGATTACCTAGTGGCTGCTAGTGCCCTAACTTACAAAGTAAAGTTGACTATGTTCTTGTCCCTCTTGCCGATAACATCGATTTTTTTTTTTAGCGATTGCTAGATATAGAGAATGGATAGCTTTGAGTAGAATGAGTAGTATTTCAATTTAACAGCTAGTGCTCTAGCAAGACGTGGTCACACAAGGAGAGTGAGATGACATAAGTGACCTTCAATAACACGAAGTAATGTTGAAGTCCAACAAACAGTGAGAAACAGCCACAGTCAACATTGAGTGAATTGACCATAAAAGCCAAAAACGACACCATATCTGCTACCACCACTCGATTCAAGCGGTGGGTCTGATTGTTGTCGTACGCTATAAAGCATTGGAGTACATATGAGCTTCTGATTGTCTTTTTGTATATATATCATCGGACAAACTCACCTGGTGTAGCGCCTATGATGAAACCGAGCCATATGCATTCATTTGCCACCCAGAGAAGTCAAGACACGCGTTCTTCTTGAACTTGTCACTCCCACCATCTGCCCACCAATCTGCAGATGCCGATGAGGCAGCACCGCAACCACCTAGAAGGAAAAATGTTGCTCTCTGACGATGAGCTCCATACTCCAAGACTCGAAAGGACTTCGTTGGGAAAATATTGGTGTTCCTACAGGTGTTATCCCACACATTGACTTCTTTGGCCTCGCCAGAGCAGTTGCGGCCTTTAAAGGCGCGGATCTTGTAGGAAACGGCCCCAGAGCTGAGACAGAAGAGGGTGAGGACCTTTCCAAGATACATGGTGTCTTTTTAGAGAATATAAAGGTTGATAAGGTGGATAATTGACTGGTTAAGAAGTGTCGAATTCAACTGGGTTAAAGTATGAGCTCTAACAACTATCAGAAGGGGTGCCTTTTTATAAGTAGCGGCAGAGCAAGCCATGTAGAGAGAGTCTCCTTGGCATAAACTGATTTGGCCTTGGCGTTGGTCGCCTTGCGACTACGCCAAGAATGCGTATATGATATAGGATATAGAAGTCAGCTTGATGGGGTCTGACCCCGCGCTCAGCCGCGTACTACTCCGTACTTGTGACAAATTCCTAGAAATCATCCAATTGGGTACAGAGCAGTGAATGTATTCCTTTTAGACAAAGCGAGAATGTCTTAAATATAGAAGACAAAAATCAGGCCCGCAGGATCTGACCCCGCGCTAAGCCGCGTATACCACTCCTAACAAATTCCTAGCAACACCGAGATGGCTACGGACTAAAGTGCATATTGCGTACAGTAATATTCGAAATCAGATTTACCTCTGCACTGTTTGACCTTCAGTCCCGAACCCTAGCTTGAAACACGCTGTAGTCTCTTAAACAAATGGTTCGTATCAAAGGTGGCTCATTAACAATATTAAGGGGTATTTAGCCGTTATATTCTAAAAGACTCCAGAAAATACCCTAAAAAAGACCGATAGAAAGACGGCAACAAAGTGATTTTTATAGTAGCGTTAGACTTTCTCTATAGGATGTCCGAGTGATTTAGATATTGTAGGTTGGAGTAGGGCATATGTCGAGTTTATAAAACTATCCCAAACGGAGAAATAATCTCATGCTTGTAAGGGCTTGATATATAGGTTGGCGCGATGGACCCAAAAACCTGCCGTAGACGACGCAAGATTTGAGTAATTCGATATATTTTGCTGAAGGTGATGGCGTAGACGTTATATTGAATTTAACACTCCAATGCATTTTTGGATACTTTTACCTTTTGCGTACTCTGGGTTTCTCAAGCTAAAAATACGAAGGACCTGTGACTCCCCGAAAGACCTTCAGTTCAAGATCTAGGATTGGTACAAAGGAAGCATTTGGATTAGAATTCGGCAATTATATAGCAAATTAATACAAATACCATATCAAACTCCGAGAATAGTACTTTTCAAGCAAATATAAACAATCGACTACCACACATATCGAAATTGTCGGTCTTCTTTATCAGTGAGATCTGTCTGTGGCAACCCATTTTCGTCCAGTTTAATCTCTTGATCCACACCAAGAACACTTGAACTGGCAGCCTGTTCATCGCGCTGCTTATTGTCCCATATGCACAAGAAGCGGAATAAGATCACCACCACAAAAAGCAGACACCATGTCACAATGGATGTTATCACGCCTTCCGTATAACGAGGGCTGTGAGTCCATAGTTGAGGGGAGGCAATGCAGGCAGCACAGTAACCGATGAAAAACATGCCGTTCACAACAGCGCGTTTTGTATTTCCCTTGAAATTCGACGCCGCAAGTGAGAGAAGTGGTGTCATGGAGGCGGTAATGCATGAAGACTGCGAAAAGTGGGTTAACAACAGGATAATAGCGCAGTTAATGGAGATACATACCAGCCATGAGGCAACAATAAGACCCCACTTAGCGGTCACATCCAACTTCATCAGGAAGACAGTCCCAATCAGAGGTGGAATGATAAGAACAAGAACGACCAGCGTTCGCTGATTAGGGAAGATAAACACTAGACCAGCACCGATCCACAGGAAAGCAACCTGCACAGCTCCCGATGGAGCCGTATAGAGCATGGTCTCAAGGTTATTATAACCGATTGACTTGATCACAAGAGACGCAAAAGTCAAAACCGGTGACTGCATGCATACCAAGACACCAAACCAAAAGACAACCCACGCCTTGGGATCCATGAGTGTCTCTTTGAGCTGGGGAACAGAAAAGGAGACTTTGTCACCACCATCTCGGTCTTGTGCCATGCGTAACGACAGGACTTCTCTCTCGCGGGCATTTAAGAACCATGCATCTTTAGGCCCGTTCGGCATAAGGAGAAAGAATGCCACGCCTGCAGCAGAAGTTATCGCGCCACAGATTATGAATAGCACACGCCAGGGGGCGATTGGAAGTGAGGTGTTTTTGCCAATGCCATACATTAGGCAGCAGCCGATAACTTGCGCCAGACCATTCATGGAGATCCATAGTGCTGTACGGAGATTGTGCTCTTTCTTTCGGTACCAGATACTGGTGATCGTGACAAAGGCAGGCGAGACAGCGCCTTCGCTGAAGCCGAGAAGGAAGCGCACCGTGGCAAATCCGGCGAAGTTGTTCGGCGCTGCGAGGCACATGCATACAATTCCCCAGACAATTCTGAATTAGTAGTTAGCACATAATAGGAGTAGATATGGTAGCTCCACAATAGCAAACATACACTGTTGCGCCGACGAATTTAGTCAATGGGAGCCGGCTCATGAGATAGATGAATGGATACTCGGCGACCAGTTGGCCAACATAGAAGATTGAGCTCGACCATGAAAACTGCGAACTGGTCATGTTGAGGTCTTGAATAAGACCGAAGACACCAGCATAGCTCAGACTCTGCTTGTCGAGGTATTGCAGGAAAAAGACGAAACACATCTATAGAAGTATGCGTCGTTAGCCTGAAAAAAGAACCCGGGAGATAGCTTGAACTCCTTACAAAAGGCAAAATGACGAAGTCAATTTTGCGTAGGACTACCTTCTCTTCCTCCGCGGTATAGCTTCCACGAAGCTCAAGTATTTCGCCGCTCGTTCGATCGACATTATCGCTGCTCGCAGCTCGCTTCTCCAAGTTGTCCATCAATGCGGGTGGACTTGACGCCCCTTGCTATACTAATGAAATTGTTTAGATTTGGGCAAGCTCAGACTTGGCAACAAAACAGCAAGAAAGGGAGGTTCAATTTTTCAAGGAAAGCTGATCTGCCCCGGATTTCGCAGCGGCTATATAGAAGATGGCTTATCTCCCAAGTGGATAATATGTGGGGAACTGCACCGGCCCGACGGCGTCGGGAATCTGTCGGCCAAGTTGCCGACCAATTTGCCGTCTCCCAACTGGACTTCTTTCTACTTTTTGATTAAATATTTAAAGTCTCGCTATCTTGGCTTACTTGGTATTCTCTCATATATCTCACAAGCCCACTATGCCACAAACCCTCCCCGGCTCAGATATCAAGCCATGGACTCGCCTCACACCACGGGGCTATAAGTTCACCAACGCCAACATCGTCGATGTCGAATCAGGCACAATCAAACAAAACACAACCCTTATAACCACTGAAGGTAAAATTACCTACATCGGCCCAGAATCATCCATACCAACTTCGCCAATCAACCTCGAAGCGATAGACTGCCAAGGCAAATACCTCTGCCCCGGTCTGTTCGACGCCCATGTACATCTATGTGCAGTCCCAGGATTCAGCGACTTATCCAAAGCCTTTGGTAACCCAAATGATGTCCATCTCTTGCGTCAGCCCTACACAGCCTCGCAGATGCTGCATCGTGGCTTTACCAGCATCCGCGACTGTGGCGGTGCCCAGCTCGCCCTGAAGGAGGCAATCGAAGACGGTGTCTTCCCTGGCCCGCGAGTCTTCATTGCAGGTCATGCCCTCTCGCAATTCGGTGGACACGGCGATTTGCGTGGCCCGCATGAGGCTACGGAATGCTGCGGCGGTACCCACAGCAATAATCACCTAGGCCGCCTGTGCAACGGCGTGCCTGAGTGCATGGCTGCTGTTCGTGAGGAGATTCGCTGCGGCGCAGACTTCATCAAGATTATGGGATCCGGTGGTGTGGCTTCGCCAACGGATAAGTTGGAGCATCTCCAGTTTACAGCGGCCGAGATTCAGGCTATGGTAGAATGTGCCGATAATGCTGGGACCTTTGTCACCGCTCATGCATATACAGTCAAGGCTATCCGGCATTGTATCAGCAATGGTGTCCGTGGTATTGAGCATGGAAATTTCGTCGATCCACCCACCGCCAAGTTGATGGCTGAGAAGGGGGTCTACTTGACCCCTACGCTTGTCACGTATGCTCAGATGGCTTCCGAGCGGTGGAAGCATTACTTGCCTATCGAGTCGCAGACAAAGAATTTAATCGTGTTCAAGTCTGGCCTTGAGGCTTTGAGGATTGCCTCGGAGGCTGGTGTGACTATGTGCTATGGCTCTGATTTGCTGGGTCCACTGGGCTCTGCGCAGACCCACGAATTTGCACTGCGGGCGCAGGTTTTGTCGTCGCTCGAGATCTTACGTAGCGCAACTGTTAATCCGGCGAAGATGATGGGATGCGCGGATGAGCTGGGTCAAATCAAGGAAGGTTTCCATGCTGACGTTGTGATTCTAAACAAGAATCCGCTTGAGGATGTGACTGTCTTTGATAGGCCTGACGCACATGTGCTTGGTGTGATGAAGGATGGTCGCGTCTATAAAAGCAGATGGGATGCGTTGCTAGAGGATGGCCAAATTCCCGTGAGAGTACAATGATTATTTGGTCTAACAGCTGTCCGTTTCTTGCTCGTGTTGTGATCGTCACGATAGAAATTAATATATCCGAGTCAAAAATAGTGCTGCTTTCTTCCTCCATACCGTCCTTGATGTTTATGTAAGCCCCGAGAAGTCTAGGACATCAAGCCCAGTCAAACCCATGAGAAAAGTTGGATCATCACTCTGGAGTCCCGACAGAAAGTCGTACTCTGTAGACTGGAACCCCCGCAGCGTCGTTGATCCATGTGCTAGATTTTGTGGGATTGAGATTTCCGAGATGTACTGTTCACCGGTACTCCTCCAGTCGGACGTATTCTCGTTTGACTGTGGGTGCAGTACAGTATGTGAGAACGGCACACCGGGCTCTATCTCATGAACTGCTATTTGTTCCAGTGTCCGTGAGCGTTCCAATCTAGTAAGCCATTCGGCCCATTGGTTGTAATCAGATGCGGAAGCCGAAGCTTCTACATCCTGCGTTTCGTTGGCTGTAGAGGACGCTTGATGGAGTTTCTGCGTGGCCTCGTTTGTTATCGACCGTACGGCTTCGACAAACTTCACCCCCAGTTTTGCTGTCATGTTCCCAGCCGCCATTTTCCGAAGGCAATCTAGACCAAATGTAACTCGAGCATTGTATCCTGAGTCGCGTTCCGTAATTCCAGCCACTAGTGTCACGATCGTCGCAATACTGCAACCCTGAAAGTCCGTGAATGAGAAATGAGTGATGTTGCGGGTTTGTGTCAGGTTCTCGAATAGCAGGAGAAGCTTTCTGCCTGCCTTTGCACAATATCGAGATTGTCGCATAGTAGCCTCGCTTGGGTCAGGAGGGCGCGATGTCGGAAGCATATGACAGCGAAGGCTCGTTCGGGCAACGGTTACGAGGGCGACTTTTGTCATGGTTATCCACGCATAGTAATAATTTAAATAGAGATGGAAGATCGTGCGGTATCTTGAGTCTTTCGGGTCCATGCTGTCAAGCCTGAAGTCTAGTGGTAAGGACTTCTTCCACTGTCGAAGATCAGAAGCTAGATATTCGGCTTCTGACTGCTGTTCTGCTTCGGTGACAGCGCCACTAGAATAATATGTGAGTTTGTATTGCTCTATAGGATTTGACGCAACATACCACGGTTCGGCAATTCGATCGAGGATCTTGATCAGGCGAGTGTACGCCATCTGGAATTGAACATTGTTGTATCTTTGTAGGCGATCCAGTTCTGGGAGAGGCGATGGATGTGGCACTTTGACCACATTGATACCGATAGAGCGAGGCCTGCTTAGTTTGACAGTGCTGCACCTGAAAGCGGTTAGTGAGGTTGATCTTGACGATGGTCCTGCCACCAACCTCTCGAGGGAATATATAGACCACCATAACCGACACCGGATCTCTCTCTCCCGATCATCAACTGCTTGATCCTCTGGGTTTAGATGGAGATCAAATGCCAGTGCTTTCCGCAATGCCAAGCCCATGTAGATATAGGATGACCCAATGGCACTTGCTGGCATTAGATAGACGCCTAACAGGAAAGGCGCTTGAATGGATCGGAGGCAGGGTCGATCAATCAAGTCGGGGATAAGCGTTTTAGCGTGAGTATAGAACACTTGGCCCAAATCATCATTATCCCAATGTATGCCGAGTGCATATTCATCTGGTCTTTCTAGTGGCGCCCATTGACTGCCTAGTGCGAATGTTGCCAATACAAGACAGACAAAGCTCAAATCAGACCTCAACGGCGAGGTGGTGTCTACGTAAAACTGGTCAATCTCGGACAATATTTGGCCCTGGTCAAAATAGAAGAATGTATCTGTTGCATGTTTAATGCACACCGAAAGCAAAAAGTTGGCGATGGGGCGTGGGGGAAATGCGTCAATTGCTGCATGTAAACGCGCCATCTCAGATGGATGAAGTGCTTTTGGTCGTGTCATATGCTTGAATTCGTTAGTTCGCATGAGCTGAGAGTCAAGATATCGATATCACTCACGGCTTGCATGGCGACCATGTCTTTTTCTTCAGGGCCAGTATTTGGATCTAGCGAGAAAGCCTCCCTCAGGCGGGAGAGGATGTTTGGCCATGGTGCTCTTTTGGATTGACCTGCAACAACATGTTCGGCGAGCCTCTGAGACAAAACTGATGCCGGAGAAAGTGGATCATTATGATTCACACTATCTGGCAGTCGTTGTGATTGGCTGTTGCTTGATGCACTGACTACTCCAGGTTCGGCGAGGTCACTAGATGCAGAATCCTGAATAGAAGCCGATCGCTCCCTGGTCCCGTTAGAAAGGTATTTTCTCAAAAATGAATTCACTACCTTCCAAATTTGCAGACCAAGCCACTCGCAAAGCATCGTTGACATCTTCCCGGGGTCACCTCCACACACTTGCTTTTCCTGGCCTTGCAGCGATCGCACCTGGGGCTAGTTAGTGAACATGCCTGCCCGAGGTTGGATAATCATACGCTCTGGGTGCCCTTTTGCGATCTTCGTCGGCAACCCGTCTTCTTTTTCGTTTCGCAGAGTCCATAATTTCGACAGCCGATGAGCGGAAAAGAGGAAAAGGACAATTTCCCGAACCTCGGCAATTTGGTCTTATCTACCCCCACAATATCTGAGATTAAGAATATCCGGCCCCACTATTCTTTTACAAAATTACGGAACCTCGAGGGTCCCATATGCAACTTTTTCAAAAACCTCACGTTTACTTTGACCATAAACCACAACACTAACCATGCCTAAACCCAATGAAGAAATAGAGAAATAGAGTAAACTCTCGACTCTCCCTCTCTGAGTAATCCAAGCCTAATATCGCGAAAACTGAGCGAGAATTCGCAGTCCCCGTGGATCGACTACGCCAGCGATAGAAAGGTGGAAAATCGCCTTAACGATAATCTGATGGCGGGAAGCTTACTCCTACATAGGGGGCTTTATGCGAGTATATTAATTGCTTCAACACGGCCGGAGCCTCGATAAATCGGTGGTTAAAAGGTGGTTTAAGGCTGCGACATGGCCTGTAGAAATCTGCCTATAGGTTTAGGATGTGGTTCAAATACAGTGTTAAACCCTCTTGCATATGATAGGAACGGGACGGACATGACTAAACAATATATGGCTGCAGTCCGTGGGACCATGTATTACCCACGTGACTAGATCCAACATTCGACACCTCTCTCTAACAGGGCCCCCTTTCTTCCCTACCGGCCCCAACCAAGCACTGCCCCTTTCATTTGAGATGCTCGATTTGACGCTAACCTTACAATAACTGTCGCCCTTGAGCAGAACCACTGGTGCGATTTTGGCCCCAGCGGTATCTCGTGGTCATGTCGTGTCGATACTTCTACTTCCAATGAATAAGTTGTTCACCATGCTACGAAGCTATCTAGGTCTCCTTCTGCCAGTGCGCCTTTGTCTTTTAATTCCAACGGCCTTCGTATCCTGCATAGTTCTGGCACAGTCTGGATGCCATGTTGCGGCCGTCCGCCCCATCTAAGGTTACATTGTATAGTTCTAGCATGGCTGATATAGGCCAATAGCGAAAATACTTCACCATAGCCTCGGGACATGCTACATCTAATGGCCAATACCAGACTGCGACTGCGAAAGCCATTACCCACATTTATTGAATCGCACCTGGGCTGATGACGGAGATGCCCACGGCTAGTTTAGTAGTCCATGTGGAGCCGAAGACCCTTGCGTTCAATACTCTGCATGTTTCTTGAGCATCATTGACATATGTGGTTACTTTAAGGCGTCCACTGATATATTTTCGGAAAATTCCCAGATCGACTCTACTACTATGGGTGGCCTAAAATACATAGCACATTCAAAGCATATAAATACTCACCTGAGCATCTCTAATCAGATTGGTATTGCAACCCGTTCATCTTCCACAAACATCGAAAAACCTTACTCAACTAGCAAATATGAAAGTCTTCACACCAATCTTTGTGTTAATGGCATTCGCTACCTCCCAGGTTATTGCTGCACCTGCAGGTAAGCCCCTGTCTCACTTTCAATCACGCCCATTATGAGGCTATATTAATCAGTTACAGTCGAGGCTGCAGACCTGGAGACGCGCGCCGACTATTGCGTTGATATCAAAGTATGCCACGGCTACAACTACGAGGGCGGCTGCTATAAAGAATGTAGGAGGCCCGGTCAGGCTTACGATATCAAAAAAGCATATCGGAAAAATGCCGGCTCGTTCAAAATTGGGACCAAAGGTTATAACTGCCAGATTGGATCGTGAGTTACCACCCAGGTCTGCTGAACATAGAAGCTAATCTATGCCAAGTACCGATCAAGGCACGGACCCAGTGGACTACCCTGGGATCAAGAGATTCAAGGATGGATGGATCAACAACATTGAAGGATATCAGTGCAACAAAGTCTAAGGTATGACAGATGCTGCCGAGGGGCTTGGAGTGTCAACTGGCGAGGAAATGCTGGTAGATGAGTTGGCGGAAGTTCAAATTGAGTATACTCTGGCTGCTAGTGTGGGGTCCACATTCCAATATGTATCTCTGACAGAGAATATCATGATTCCCCGTGGAAAGCTGGCACGTCCACTAGGAAGTAATCGCGTAGAATCAATTCCAATATGGACTAAAATCCTTTGAAGGTAAGCCTTGGAAGCGTTAGGCCAATAAATTCATTTGTCCTTGATGGCGCTTAACATCGCTACCCACGTCAGCTCTTCGGCTCAGTCGCACCACCGGATGTGAGGGCAGACCGCGTAACAAATACCTCCCCTCCACCTGTCATCAGTCAAATTAAAAACCCGACCATGCGTCTCATTCGCCCTTGGAGGTAGCTATCGAACTCTGCGGAACTATTTCAGCCTGGTTCAAGTTTCCTTACAAAGAATGGAATCGGTCTAGTATTCGTGCTCCTTGCCCTAAGCCGCCCGAGCGAGCGGACTTGCTATTGGGAAAACCAAGGTAAATAACTAGGAGTGGAATCTGGAGACATGCGTAGCAAGGTTTACGAGGTCGATTTGGGGGTTGGGGTGGGAGATGAGAAGAGAACTGGAGAGGCATGAGATCAAGAGACGGGGGATAAAGAGCATCTTATAAGCGCCCGACCGGGTAGGGCAAAGAGGGCATCTGGATGGCACTGTAGAGGGGAGCTATTTTCGGCGTCGTTTGGTCGCAGGTGGAATTCGAGGGAATGGCTGTTAAACGAGTGCCAAACACCGTTTCTGGCGTCAAAGGCTGCCGTTTCTGGCGTCGATTTCACAAGTCCTCATATTCTACAGCAATACAGAGAGTTCAATACCATTGATTGGACCCATACATTCCACAAGATCATGACAATGATGTAGACGCTCTGAGGAATTTGGTATAGCTAGGTCCCGTGATGTAATATTGAACTCTTGCAACAATCCATTCAGTTAACCAACAACCCAATCAAGTTTTTGCCGGTCATCCCAGATGACTGCCACCATATAGCCATCATATGGTTCGTCTTTATGGCCTGTGACAGACTTAAATGTCCCCGAGCTAATGTGTTCTGCATAATGGACTCCATCCTCCGTCGTGCGCAATGATACTACTGCACACTCTTTGTTTGATGTCTTTGGATAACCTTCTCGGTCGCGGGCCACAATAATCCCATAAGTCCCATTTGACTCGAAAATACAGGGGGTTTCAGTTTTCAGGTGACAGACATCTTTTATCTTGCCGCTTTCAATATTGTGGTCATCGGCCCACTGATTCCAAGCCGGTGTACCGTCGGAGTTGATGGAAAATGCATCACGATCGAGATCAAACACCATATCAGATGGGAACAGCCATGACGGATAAGATGTGATATGAAGTCCTCGGGGTGTAATCTTTCCGGCTCCGGCCGAGAGATAACCGAGCTTGTTGGTAAATTGACACACTTTCAGCGCCCAGCGCATTCCATCTTCTTCAAACCGCGGCCCGTGCTGGAACACCACGTCTGCGGGAAAGTCGTCAATTAGGCTGTAGAACTTCCGCATTCGTTCATCGGACCCTTTGACCGAGAGAATTTCCTTCAAGTCGAGATTGAGGATACCCGCTAAAATGATTGGGCGATCGGCTGCCTTGCTGGTAGCTCGGGTGGCTACATTAAACCAGTTCGACGCGATTAGACCACTTTTGGAATGGTCGCGTTCATAGATAGGAGCAACAACGAAGTCGACGAAACGATTGAATTTGGATGTGGACTCAACGGTCAGTTGAAAGAACGAGAACCAAACACCAATGGCGAACGTGGTAATCCTCTCCTGCATGAGTGGGAGTTTGCCTCCGTCAAGCTTTGTCAGGAGCTCGTCGGCAATGGTGGAAATGTTAACTACCTTGTCAGAGAACAGCACGTACAGCCGGCTCTTGGCGGCCAGTCCTTCTTGAAGCGTCCATAACCGTCGAATCCAGCCCGAACAGTACAATATCCTCAGCAGAAACTCTAGGTGAGTTGCAGAGCTAGCGTCCACGTTCTTCATCTCCGAATCAATGATCATCGTCCGGTAAGCTATAATCGGTTAAGCCGCCATCCAATAACGTCGAGTAGTCTGCTCATAGCTTGCACTAACCATCTATGTATAATTCACGAATGCGCTGAATTGCCAGGCTCCGAACATCAGGCTGATGGGGTATGCATAATGTATCAATCCACAGAAGTACTGAATCGTCTCTGCGCAGAACTTGGTTGCTCAGTAAATGGGCAAGTCGACCGGTACTAGTGTGTAGTGATCCAAATGGGCCATTCGAATAGCGAGGGACGTATTCGTCGCCCGTGAGGACAGATTTTGCCTGCTCATACAGGGCCTTCAATTGGCAGTGTGGGAGACTATTGCCCTCTGTGTTACCCAAGCCATCGGACCACACATGCGAGATGGCTAGGTATTGCTTGCCGATGCGCTTTCTCACAATCTCAATCTCGAACTTCTCGTTACCGAGATCATCCTCACCACAAGGCGTGATCATCAGCAGGGGTACCCCTCCATCCTGGAGAATTGTATGCAGCTGCTCGATGTTTGCCTGGAGGTGCGAACAGGTGCAGTTTTCTTGCACGTGTCGAGTGACATAGTCGCTCTCATCGACGTTGTTTGCCACACATTCCGTCTTCGTACAGCCAAAATGAGATTTGTCCCTGTTCCAATTGGCCTTGACACGCCTTAACTGAAGCAGATACACCGCGGTGTCCAGTCCACCACCGGTCCAGCGACACTTCTCTGCCTCCAATGGGCACCATCCCGCTGCAATCATTTGTTTAGTCTCAGTGTCTCTGGCCGAAAGCCAATTTTGAACACTAGCGGTCTGCATCTGAAAACCGTCTCGCTTGACTGCAACATTCCAGAGAACATTGCAGACCAGCCGAATGGCCACCACCATCTTCTCTCGCACACAAACATCGGCGTATGCGCTAAGGTTAACGCAGACTGTCTTGACAATGTAAACCGCTCGCTCGCCAAGTTTCCTCCTCTTCCATTCCTTGGCGTTGCCGATATATTTATGGAGATGCTTTGTCGTTAGATACTGACGAGAGTCTCCTTCCCTGCGTAGGAGAAAATCGGACTGATCCAGCTGGTCCCCAAACACATAGTGGAGCATACCAAAGTAGAGCCAGCACTCTATTTGGGAGTGGAATTTCGACGGCATTAATATGACAGGCCAGTGTGTTTCAAATCCTGTTTCCAATCTCCAGCCAGCGCGAATCGGGAACTGGTCCCAGTCACTTCCATCATATAGCGAGCTCTTGTACTCGACCAAATAAGGGCATGGGGGTTCGCCAGGAAAGAACAAATGCTCCGCCATTGTGATTAAGGGAGTTTGACAGTTGCACTTTTTTTTTTTTCAGTCAGAAGAAGCCCCGCGTCAGCATACTTGCCCCAAGACGCTAGTCTCATAGTGGTTGGTCAGTTCCCATGCCAAGAAATGCTCGTATTTGCTCTCGTTCGTTTGCTGCTCGGCTGCTTTCCTTACCTTACTAGGCTTCATGTTTCTAATCTTCGTATTCGGCTGTTGCTCGAGTATGTATCTTCCGCAGTAAATGCTAGGCAAGATAGAAGTAGTTTTGTGGTTTATGTTATGCTTCCTACTGTGTGACATTCTAAGACCTGGACACAATGGTATTCTGCTGACAATAAATCTTGGAACTGGAAGGTGTGCGCAGTCGCGTATAATCGTCCAGAAGAGAAGAATGCAGCAGTTTGAAGATGGAAAGCAAAGCAAAGCCTTCGGGTACAATGAATGTATACAATGACGGTTCTTTGACCTTGTCTTGGATCAAAGTAGATAAATATCAAATCGTCATACGACGAGAGAGGCCATCGGCGGGATAGAACCTAGTGGAAAACTGCCACATGTTGCGGTGCTGTACGGCCATTTTCAACCAGCCTGCGTCCTGCGCATCTGTTTGCTAAACTCCTTTTCTTTCGCTGCCCGTAGTAGCTGGCGTCGAACATCCGGTTCATTGCTGGACCACCATTTTTCCTCCCAGGGTTGTAGGCCGCCGCCTCCGGGGAAGAACTCTGGGAGTAGAGCTCGACCGGCCCCTTTGAAGTCCAACTCGAGCTCCATCAATGTATGCATTACCTTGAATTCGGCGAAGACCATTGGTATTGGACTTCCTTCGTTCCCTGAGTTCGAGCGCATAGCCAGTCGAATCGGAATCCCTAACATCGCCGGCTGACGCGGAGCCCCGGCGGCAATGAGATTTTGCAGCATGCCAGCGCCACCCACCGCGAGTAGATACCACGCATGTCCCTGGATCCCCGTGCTAGTGAGGAGAAGCATGAGCCACAGCACGGCTAGCAGGAACGTCATCATGCGCGTGGTATTGCTGGGGCTCATCAGTTGCATCCATCGACCCCTACGCGCCTGCCCCTCCCCGTCGTCCAACAACTGTCCCCCAGCCATGTCTTCCAAATCCAACCCACCCTTTGCCCCCAGCACCACAACCACATGCTGCGTGCCATTACCAAGCGTCAAGGCAACATCCTTGCGCCTCTCTAAAGTTCGGCACGCCCATTTTTCCTTCCGCCACTGTGGCAGCGCACCAGACGCGTAGGACAGGATGGTCCCGGCCACGGTCACCAGGAAGATACTCCAGTCTCCGTCCAGGCCAAACGGTATCGCGCTGATACCTAGTTGAATCACTGTCACGACAATTCCCAACCAATACACCCAGTCATAACCAGGTTTTGCCACAGGATGAGGCCCGTCCAGTGCCCATTCGTAAACACTAACGCATAGGCGCGCCTGGTAGGGGCTCACAAATTTGCGAGGGTTGAGATAGGTTTCTGCAGTTGCCGCGACCTTCCCTGGCATCTCCGTGTCCGCAATCCCGGCTTCCTCGTCCTGGTACAAGACCGGGTGGCTTTGCAATCGTTGGATCACTTCTGCCGGCATCCAGTATTCGTAATTCTGAAACACCCGCCCTAAAGTCCAGGACCGGTTGAACCGCATATACCCCGTGCCTATGTTGATTACCCGGAGCGAAGAGTCAGGGGCAGGAGGCATCAGGCGGTCCTCGCTTTGGGCAGCGAGTAGCGCCGAGATAGCGTACGACACCCATCCGAAAGAGAAGGTGACGGGAGTGATATAGCCGCCAGAGACGGCTGCCAGAGCGACGCCAATGACATCCCCGCCAATAATCAAGAGGATTGAGAATAAGTCTGATGGATTAACCCACTGTGCGCGAAACGTGGACGCTGCTTCATCCATACTAGAAATGTTGACTACGGTTCATAACAGGGAGAAAGACTTTACCTTCTGGGGCTCTGGGGCTGAACTTCGCTTACATCCGATCGGACCTCTAGCAACGGAATAGAATACGAGAATATCCACAATTCAGCGCGGGATGATACCTTGTCACGTGGGAACGGCCCGAGCCCACAAAGGCGGTGAAAGTATTCTCTCCCAAAGTTCTTTTTCTTGGAAGGTTGAAGGCTTTAAATAATCCCGATGTAGCTTTCGAGGTTGCTCCAGATGCTATAAGCACGTAAAGTATGTGTTTTCCTTTTTGCGATATATCTCGCTCTTCCGGTGTTATAGTAGAAAAAAGAGAATCATTAGCTATAGGCCAGGGAGGAATAATAACATGTAGACCCCATGTAACTATAATATAAGCCATTATAAGGCATAAACTGTCGAGTAGACGACTTATCTATACAAAAGGAACATGAAGCCACCTGCGGGCGGAATTGCGATTTGCTTAGTCATAGGAACCAAAGCCACCCGTGGACAATTTCATGTCAAATTGTACTATCAACAAAATTTGACTGTCTCGCCATACTTCTTGTCCACATTCTGAATCGACGTTCGAACTGTATACATCGCAAGAATGCCAATCACCAAGAATTTCACGCTCCCAAGCTCAGTGAAGGAGCTGGCACTAAGCCCCGCCTCGAAATTATTCATTGCCTTCATATCTGGACCAGATCCAATTACCAAGCAACCTTGGTGCCCAGACGTACGGGATGCCTTGCCACATATCAACGAGGCATTTTCCGGAGACGATGCGCCAGAATTAGCTATGATCGAGGTTGGACAAAAGCCTGAGTAAGTCACGCCGTGTCTGAAGCTGCAATGTTTTGTTTCCAAATTATATTAAAAACGGGCTCTGTCGTGCATTGAGCTGATATTTATCAGGTGGAATAACCCTCAGAATGTCTACCGAACAATGTGGGGAACCAAGAACATTCCCGCGCTGGTGCGCTATCAGCAAGTCAACGGGGAAGTCACTGAGACAGGAAGATTGGTGGAAGGAGAAATTCTCAACAGGCAAAGACTACTGGCCTTCATCGTTTAATTATATCATCTTGTCATCATGTACCAACTCCTTGCTCTGTTCAACCCAATTTGCGCTCTATATCTTTAAGGTGCTGGTCCGTTTGTTCTCTATCAGACCCAAATGCCAGCTGCAATATCACACGAACATGGATCTTATCACCCTCTGAAACCTCTCGAGGTGTTGAGAAACAGACGCAACGAAGAATCATACACACCTCGAGGATTTCCTAAACCTTGAATCCACCAGGCATAAGAGTCTGGAAAACACCCCGAGGGTCATACTTCTTCGCAATGTCAATGAGCTTCTGATGGTTCTCCACCCCATAGCCAGGGAAAATAGACTGGAAGCCAGCAGCATCACCAATATAGTTAAAGGTGTCGTAGAGACCGGCTTTCTGGGTTGCATTGTTGATTTTATAGGTAGTCTCTTCGACCCAGGAAGCGACGATTTCATCATAAGCCGACCCAATCCACTCAACCACCTCTGCGTAGCAGAGATAGACCTGCGAGGAATCCAGACCGAGGGCGTTTCCGCCGTGAGCCTCAGAGGCCTTTATCCAGTCTACGCCAATAGGTTGCCAGTCCAGCTGGATAGTGGAGATGTTGGCGATAGGGACCTGCGCGTACAGCTTAGGGAGCTCGTTGAAGAAGGTTTGGTTGATGATACTGATGCCGCTGAGAAGCTCCTTGTGGCTTGTGCCCTTAATGGTTCCGGCAACGAACACGTCACTAAGGCTGGTTAGCTATCGTTTCACAGCCCTCTGAGTGGGGGATTGTACCTGATGCCATCAACTACCATTGCGCCTGTCTCAGCGGCAAATTCGGCGACCGTCTTGAAGTCAAGCGTGCTGCTGATAGCCGGAATATCGGTGAACGGCTTGAAAATATCGGGGTAGCTGATGCTGTCGCTGTCGTAGAACAGAATCACCGAGGCGAGAGTAGTCTCGCCGGTCACAAGGGCTGGTACAATATGCGTTTTGGGATCGTAGATGTCGGACGCGTAAGTAGCAGCAGCCTAGCGAAACGAGTTAGTGGCGAATCATAGAGCAACCAAGGACATCAATAGGACATACCGCCAGGAACTCGTTGATATACTCAGAGGACACAGTGTGAGCACCAGCCCAGACCTTGGGCGATTTGATAGTCTCCAGGTCGAACCGAGTGACGATGCCGAAGTTACTGCTTCCACCCTTCAAGGCCCAGAACAGATCAGAATAGCTCGTCTTGTTAACTTCCACTATTGAACCATCGGCAAGGACAATCTCGTAGTTGACAATGGTATCACAGCCGAAGCCAACCTGATTGCCGTAAAAGTTAATCCCGCCAGCGAGGAGCAGTCCTGGCACACCGACAGGACCGAGACGACCTCCGGCAGCGGTCAGTCCGAACTTCTGCAAGTATTCATAGACATCGCTCCATCTAAACAGAGGTAAGTAAAACCGCCCATCACTAGTGCGAACTAGGAAAAAAGAAACTAACCGGTGAGAAGGACCAATGGACACAATGGACTGATCCCCCGACAACCCTAAGGTAGTCAAATTCGACATAACAATCAAGACACCATCATTGATATTGTTCGAACCCTGCGACCGTCAGAATGGAGTTCAACATATTAACTTTAAGATCAAAACCCACCCGGATACCCATGTGTCCACCGCCCCGAACAGCAAAGCGAGCATTGACATGAGCCAGCGCTACAATGCCGTCAGCGAGCTGTGTGCTGGACTGCGGTCGAAACACACATCCAGGGGCCATCAGTTCCGTGTTCGACCAAAAGTTCGCCGCCTCGTACTCGTACACGCCGCCGCCGGCGAAGAACAGCGAATCCCCAAGTAGCGCCTGCAGCGCCTTGCAGCCGGTCGAGACATTGGGCGATACAGTAGCGGCTGTTAGTGCGACTACACCAACTACCGAGAGCACGGTTGATGCTACACGCATGGTCAATGGGTATACCTGAATAGTGTACGGAGTATACAACTTCTGAACCCTGGTCAAACTAGGGGGTTCTTCTGGTCAACGGATGGCAGAAAAACACAGGGAAAGTATTGGCTAGAATGGCAGATAATAGCTGTATTAACGTATTTCACAAGCGGCCCGGCCATACAAACGGCCCGGCCACCGCAGAACACATAGTAAATGCGGTAAATTACAAACTTACTATCGTAACAGCTAGATATGGTCTATGGGGACTTTATAAGATCATGTTCTGCGGTAGCCGGGCCGCTTGTGAATTACGTTATTGGGGCATTAGATATGGGTCTGGTTCTGAAGCTTTCTCTAGCTTCTCTTCTTGCCGGGTTAGATTAGATTTTTCAGGTGGAGACTTCACGATTTCATCCACTTGGTCTTGGTGGAGTGAAACCAATTTGCGGAAATTGGGATCGACGTTGCAGCTGTTACAAAGAGATATGTATAGAATTACCCAATAATTCTGTCATAGTCCATGCAAACTATATAATGCCATTCAGTGCGCATGTCAAGATTGCCCAGGGTGCAGTAGTCTATTACAGCCACTGCAGATTTTCCCATGAATGTTACTTTAGAAGAGTAAGCTAAAACTAGAACATAGATGTTACGTAGCTTGGAGGCTCTAGAAGATCAGTTTAAGATAGTCCCTACACGAATTTCTGGTTATGTTTTTAATGGTCAAAAGTGTATTAATATTCTCTTTTCGGGACAATCTGGGTATAAAGAGCTAGCTTCTAGTAATTGCTGTAAACCATCTAGATGCCATTGTTTAAAACCATAGAAGACATGATTTCCTTATTCTCAATAATCAGAATGCGTTTGTCACTGCAACTTTCTAACAACTGATAAGTGGCCAATATTTTAGGAGAAAGGGCTTTAAGACATCCCCCTTGCGTCTTTTGACAAAGTTGATATGTTCGATTTCGGGGGACCGCCAGGAGGTGTCTCAGACGCTTCCGTAGGGCAGGGAAGAGTGTGCTCATCTCACCTATTGGGGTAGCAGGTGGTACACGGTTTCAGTTGTTGATAAAAGCTTGAGATCAGTGTCCAGTTATTATGTTAGGTGTATTTCTTACTCGGTCACTGAGGATGTGTTTAACCTGAAATCTATGGCACCGGCCCCGAGATGAGATTTAAGGGTAGTGATACAGACGGGGGAGGGAGAGAAAGAAGAAAGCCGTGAGGGCTCAAATAATGGGACATAAGAGTAGTCGCTAGCGCATGTGGCTGCCCCTTAACGACATAGGACTTTGATAATCTGATCTATGTAGCTCAAGATGATATAAGGGATGTTGTATGTGAGATACTGTTTTGGTTACTGGCGAAGGGAAGGAAGAGAAAGAAGAATAATTATTGTTCAATCTAGCAAACAAGCTGCTCAGTCTGCAAGCAAACAATGGGAGATGAGATCATCCAACAGATACCACTACGATGCTCTTCTTGGATATCTTTCTAGATGTCTTTTTGTATATACTCTTCTATTTCGGTGTTGTAGGTAGAAAAATACTTGCTTTATTGGTTGTTGTCATAACTGGTATAGGCTAGTGCTTCGTAAACATTCATCTTTTGCACTACAATCGATAGACAGCAGAACCCTGGAATGCATTGGTGCTCTCTATTCATAGGGTATCTTTTATACTGCTCAAGTACTGGACTATAGATGATGCCAAGCCATTTGGCCAAAAAAGGGAAATTTATACGCAAGAATAGCAACCACGTATGTATGTATATATATATATATATATTGTTTAAGAGCTTCTTCAGCACTGCCCGCCATGGTGGGCTTAGAATATTTCCAACAGATCGAGTAGACTAGACCTTATAGGCCAGAATGTGCCTATCTTGATCATACTCGGTGACAGTATAGTACTCCTTGCGAACAAGATTGTAGCTCATATCCTCATTTCCAGCTGAGAACCACCCCGTGTGTTCTGTGGCTGTCTTCCCTTCTTCCCAAATAAAAAGATCGCCTTTCTTGGGAGCTCTGCCAGTACTGCGCGAGATGTAAAACTTGCTGTCGTATGAAACAGCACCCTGTACATTGGGTATATTGACACAGTACGCCCAGCTTGCGGTAGCGATGCCATCATTGGTCTGCAGCCGCCGGGTATCCGCATCCAGATTGTATTTTACATAACGGATAGGAACTGGCGTCTTATTGGGGTCCTCAAAAGTTTCCCCGTCTCTCACAAACTCACCCACCATAAGGGTGTCTGGCGAGTCGCTCCGGTCAAGGGAAATCCAAGAGAAGCGGAAGGGAGAAGCGTCGCCGGCTATCCAATTATAATGGCTTTCAATGGTATCAGTCTTTGGTCGAAGGGAGGATAATGAAACAGGCTCACCGCATTTGAGGAAGCACATATCGGTACTCATCCGCAGAATACCCTTTTCCATCTTTCGTTTTTCCGACACCAGCTGCAATATCAACCTCCCAGATATTGTCTAGGTCAAACGCACGGATACCCTTGTTGGTATCGACAACATACAACACATTGCCGTACCAAGCAATACCACCCGCATGAATACTGATGGATTCGAAGTCATCGTCGGCTGTAGGATATACCAGCATCACATGGCGATACTTGTTTGTTTTGCGATCAATAAAGCTGACCCGTACACTTTCTCCCTTGCGATACCAACTGACAATCCACACCTCGTGGTCATTCCAAGTCCCCTTCCCGAAAGCATCGGCAGAGCTCGTGATCCCCTGCGGAATCCACTCCGTCGTCTTATCGTCGCCTGAGTTCCAAGCCCATGATTCGGCGGGAGGGCCATCCCCATTGCTGAGAGGGGGCGAACGTTTTATTAAATCGCGGTTTGCGGATTGAAGAACCGCAGTGACGCTTGTGATCTTACCCTTTGAACCGAAGTACTTTGCCAGCGCAGGTAGGTGAGGAGTGTCGATTTCTTCAAGGGTGAAATCTTTTCCGTCAAGAGTTGTCTTGCTCTGGCAGTAACGAGGGTCTACCGCGAAGGCGATGGAGAAGAGAGAAAGAAAAGTCAAGAATGATGTATACCGCATGATGGGACTGTTAGTACTCCGTACCAAGGGGGGCTTTTTGACGAGAAATGTTGAGGGTGTACAGCTTCTAGGGATGCAATCTATAGCGTGTTAGAGGATTGAATGCAACCAAAAATTGGCCACACCTATCTTTCCCCTCACATTTAGATTAGGATCGTCATGGAATGTGAAAGTTGATAGGCCTAGATAGAGTAGCTAAACCTTTGCTGCATGCTGAAAATAGCTCTCATGAAAGGCCCGCTCCAATCAACACGGGATAAAGCTCGGGCCAAACTGAAGAAATCAATCAGAGGCTCGTATTTTTCTGCATTATTGCAGGCAGGCTCCTGGTTTTTTCCCAAAGTTGCGACTCTCCGGGCACACGTGTCAGCACTATATCTCTTGGCTTGATGCCGCTGCAACGTCAGCCCCACCCACAAGAGGTTGAAACTCATTGTCCTGGATATCTCATTTATTCGCAACTTTTTACGGTATGATGTTTCCTCTAGCGGAGGAACCCTATCGCCAACATATGAAGGATCATCAAGCGCGCCACCGACCTATGAGGCAACATCAAACACAAATTCTGCAATCAGAAAGCCTGCGTCTAGAATTGCTACTATGAGTTGTATAGTGAAAGAATGTTTCGTTATATAATAGTTGTAAGAGAAGAGTGGGAGAAGACTCAGCGATCCTAGGCTGTAATGTAGGAAATGGGGCTAGAAACTCCAATAGCGTACAGTAGGTAGGTTTAATATATGGTTGATATATAGTAGTAAACCACCCTCAACATGTGGAGATCAAGTTGTATATACAAAGCTTCGTTTTGTAGGCTTACCCGGAATAGACTGATAATTTACATACCGGGAGAGGTTTAAAACACAAGTCTAGATTCAGGCCAAATTCAGTCAATAGGGCATTAAATGAGCGTATACGATTCTAAGCACCATGCCCCTTAATGTAATTTCCCATCGGATCTGCAGGATACGAGCTATATCCCGTTTTATCCCTTCGCACCGGTTGCAAGAATGAAGTCGTATTGCACAGCCCCTGCCTGCCAAGCCCTCTCTATGATGCTATTCCCGATCTAAGAATAGTATCAGAATGATACTTCACACAAGCTACCTGGAAGCTTGTGGAGTCGACGTCAAAAATAAGCTTCACTTGACTCGTATACTGTACGGGTCGCTGATTCTACCCCCAATGGGAAATAATATTGCCCCCATATTGTTCGTGTTGTCGAAAGAATGCACTATTTTATACGAACTTCGCGAGCGTTATTTCCCTAATAGTTGTATGGTGAAACATTTCCCCAGTCAATTGTATTTATAGCTTCATTTCCTCGAAGTTTGGAGAGGATACAAATCCATAGTCCCTCCTTGCCTATTTTCTTCCCAGAGACTTCTTCATTAGTAGTGTAACCGCACAATAATGCATTTCAAATCCTTCCTCTCTCTTTCCATTGCAGCTCCCTTCGCAGCAGCCTACCATCTAGCTGTTACCGACCAGCACTCCAAGACCGTTCGGGTCTTCCCACGAGATTCTCCCAAATGGAACAAAGACGCCATCTACTGGTCCTTCACTGCCGACCTGAACCCATGGCCTTGGCAAAAGGACGTTTGGGCCGACCTTTCTGATGTCAAACTCCGCAAGACAGCTGACCGGGGCATGGTTGCCCTTGTTACCGCCTCAGGGGGCAAAGTTGGCATGATCGATATCAAATCGGGGGAGAAATCCACTACGATAGACGATGTCATCTGGTCAGCAACACCTGGTGGCAACCCGCATTCCCTCGAAAGAATCCCATATCTGGGAGCATTTGTTGCCGCAAGCTCGGCCTCCCATAAGCTGACGCTGTATGTTCCAACCGATGCGTCAGATGTCAACAATTTGAAAAAGATAAAGAAGAGCCATGAGTATACTGTTAGAAAAGCCCACGGGGTGCTTTGGCATGGTGGCCAGTTGTGGGCCATTGGGGAAAATTACCTTCACAGGTATGATGTGGTGGGAAAGGGGAAGGACATCGAACTGAAGAGGGATGGCAAACCAATACCTTTGCCCAAGGTGAAAGGCAGGGCGAGCAATGGTCACGATCTTTCTGCCAGTTACAAGGATGATGACATCCTGTTGTTGACCCATACCGCTGCTGCGTATAAATACAACACAACCAGCAATGACTTTGAGGGCCTCATGAACGTTGATAAGCTCAAGTCTCTGGTTCAGCATCCTTCTGGGGAGTATGCCTGGGTGCGCGGGGCAAAGGATGAGATGGGGCAATATGTGTCGTTTAGTGATGAGAGCGCACCCAAGACGGTGACGGACAAGAGAGGGTGGGATGATGCTGAATTCTACAAGGCGAGGATCTTTGATCCTGGGTATGAATGATTCCTTATGGTATCGACTTGGCTTATATACCTGAGGTTGAGGCAAAAATTCAGTGGTTCATTTGACATCATTTAGATTTTGTTACATTATTGATAGGATAGTACATCTTTGACTCGTAAATATCCTAGACGCAGGTTTCGGGCATGAGGATGAAAACGATGGAAGATGGTGATGGCGAGAGTTGACAGAGAACTTCAACTAGTAGAATGTGATCCTCGTAACACAGTCGGAATCTTGACTTCCCATGGCCACATCGCCTTCCCCTGCCCCGGTGGAAAACGGCAGGATCATCATTGTCAATATATGCCCGGGTTACAGCAAATTGATATAAAATACATAAGAGTGCGCGTACAGAGCGAAGATAGTTCTCCGTGATGTAGCTGGAAAAATATGCTTCAACCCGGACTTGCGCTGAATCCAATTCTATAAAAACACCATGTGAAACACATCGCTCGATAGATGTTTATAAGAGGTTCTGGCTCTACTGTAGGACCTGATGTACAGTGCCCGAAACCGTTTAGGTGTCTTCGATGTACAACGTGGTGTACGTTGTACTGCAGCCCTTACATGTGAGGACTTTCAGCGAGGACTTTCAACGAAGGGCATTGTGTAAATCGAGGACTTACTGGGCTTCCAGCATAGTTATTCTATCGAAGTTCTTCTACTTCTGGTAGAATGTAGCCTTGTGAACTTCATATATGAAATAACTAATTTGGGTTTAATTAGTTACAGAGTTACTCAATCCAAGGTTATCTCATAGGTAATGACTCTGCAATGCAAATGCAGAGCTCCCGTCTATTATTTTTTAGCGAACCTTGAAATCGCTTGGAGACGGGCTCATGGACCCTAACGGCGTGGATCATTACAGTCTTGTTATTGCTTCTCGGGGTTCAGTCAATGTATACCGTAACAGAGCTAGTTATTTCCAATTGGTTCGGCAGATCCCACCCCCAAGCTCGGTATATTGTAGACAGTCAGATCATCTGCTGCATGTAGGCCTAGATGCTTGCTCTTAAGTTGCTAAACCATCCTCCTACAGACTTGATAGCGGGATGATAGACCTGAGAAACTGATATTTTCGGTTGAAGGACCGAGAAACTAGCTTTTAGATTCGATACGCTCACAATTTATAGCAAGGATCTTTTTCTAATCCTAAACCAGGGCACAAGTGTAAATGAATACCCAGACACGATACACACTAAACCCCACCCAGCCAGAAAAACATAACCCCGCAGAAAACTGAGCCCTAGAGAAGAAAAGGAAGACAATAAAACGTGATTGTATGTTCATGATCCACAACACAACCTCTGAAAGAGAGATCCCAAGTCTCGTCTCTCAGATCTGCATGGCCTCATCACCATCGGCATCTGCTCCACCGGGTATCCGTCCCTCGTTAAGCTCTTTCTCCAACTTTGTGATCTCCTGCAGACTCTTCGCCTCGCGAATCAGCTTCTCAACGCGCTGGCGCTCCTTGTCGGTGAGTTGTACCCGCACGCCCTTTTCGGCGGGGGTGCGTTCAGTGGGGGTAGAGACGTCGAAAGTGCGGGACTTGACACCCATAATCTTGGATGCGAGGGATGAGGGTTCCTCATAGGTACCGAAAAGCTCTTTAGCTGTAGCACGCTCGGCGTTGGTTACTTTCTGGAAGTCAAGGAAGCGGACGGAAGGAATACGCCAGATAGCCCAGTAGCGATAGTTCTGCAGGAACTAGTTAGCACAGCTTCCAACGGAGTCCAGACTATACATCATATATAGCCAGATCTAACGAATATGTGGGTGAAGAGTTAGACAAACCTCTTTGCGTGTGACCGGGTTTTGGAGGAGGGTCAAGTGCGTCAGCCGTTGCAAGGTCCGCAGCGGATCTAGGTCGGCAAGTTCGGACACATTGTTCGCAGTCAGGACAAGAGTCGTCAGATTAGGCACCGAAGTTGCAAACGCCGGTTGGATGTGATTGATACGGTTGCGGGCGAGGAGGAGTGTGCGGAGGCGAGGAAAGTGGGGGAAGTTTCCCAGGGAGGAGATGTCATTATCGGTGAAGTCGATCGCGTCTTGATCCTAGGAGCTGTCAACATTGGATTCGCAGGATACCTGAGCTGACTGCAGACTGAGAAATTGGCCTAGCAGTAGCACGAAGAGACATGTCAGAGACAAATCTGCCTCGAGGATTGGCTGAGAGAAACACAGCACTTACTTTGGCAATACCCAAGTTCTCAATTGCGGGGATCTTGTGACCTATACGACCACACAAAAGACGATATCAATCCAGCTCTTAATCAAAAGTGTAGTACCTGTTCTTTTCAGGCAGGTGTATAGTGGGTGAACGCACCTCGGAGATCCAGCTCGCGATCTGTGAGCGGATTGATGTATGTTAGGGAACTTTGAATAAGTTCAACGTTCAAGCGCATAATGGCGGTGGCTGTTGCCGAGGGTACGGTAAGGATGTGATGGTGAGTTTTATGGCGACGGCATAGGTGTAGTACTGTGGAAGAATATTGGACGAGCTTGTTGAATCAATGTAGTGGATCGGAAGCTAGTTGCGCCAGTTTCTCTCTATCATTTTTGCCAGGCGGTGATAAACTTGGCACGTGATATTCCATTGCTTGGAATTTCTGGCGTCTACGTAGCTGATGTAACTAACTGCTTATCATTTGGTGCTCATTGGCAATAAGATGTACGATTTAAATGCAGAGCAGTCCTTGACAATGTATTAATCTATACCCAAAAAACATTCTCAACCGCTAATGGTACACACCTCATTACGTGTAAATCACCTGCCTGAGATCGAAAGCACCGCAACCAACCAACAAAAAGGTACTCCAGAGCACAGGGTTAAAATATGATATGAAGAATCGAAAGCAGCCTGCCACACGCAACTTGATAAAAAGACGAACTCCCTTTGCATATTTAAAAGAAGAAAAAAAAAACCAGGACAGTGCCGAAATGAATCGACGCACGCCAGTCAAACAATTAAACTCCAAGTGAAAATGCGATGCAGTGTAGGTGATTATGCATAATTCGGATCAGGTAAATATGTCGCGTTAGTCGTCGGCCAAGGGTGTCATGTTGGGTGATTTTTGGTGAGATCTTGTTGGGCTGCCAGCTCTTGATCGACGGCCATTGGTTGTGGGGCCTAGGGCAATGGGAGCCAGGTGGTCCCTGCTCTCCGTCCTGACTACCAAGCCTGCTCGATCCATAGCGATGCCGGAGCCACCACCACCACTGATGCCAAGACCAATCGTCCCGGTCGAACTGTTATCTAACGCGTATTTGAAACTGGGGGTGTTGCTGTTGTTGCTCCCCAGCTTGACGCTCGCTTCGGTGGTCCCAGTCTAGCCGAGTCTGCCTCGGAAAGACGTCCACCATCCTCGCTCCCGTCGGACTCGATGGCACCAAGCTCGTAATCTTGAGCACCGTCCTCGAGGACTCGCTCGTAAGAGGCGGTGCTTCGACCGATGAATGGCAGCATCGACTTTAGCCCCTTTCGTTTCTTCGGGTGATTGGGGTGCGATGGCCCGCCGCGGCGTAACACGTTACTCACGCGGTTGAAGATCCGCGATCGACGGCTGCGTCCGCATAAGAAGAAGCCAGCCATGAAAACAATGAGCATGAAGAGGACGAATCCTGGGATCCGGCGAGGGGAATCACCATCGAATAGTGCGTCGTGCCAGTGCTCACTGTGGAAACTGTCTGAATCCGGCAGTAGTTGAACACTGGGATACTGGAAGTCGGACGGGACACCAGGGACGTTGCTGCCGAAGCCTACTGGAAGACCTTGTTCTTCGATCTCTAAAGGCACCTGAGAAGATGCATATAAAACGATCTTGCCCAAAGTCCAACTCACTTCGGTCGAGTCAATCTTGTTGACTGCCTGGAAAGCATCGAGGTAGCCCTTTTCTTTTCCATGGGACAAGACTTCTTTAGTACCGTTGTGCGAAGAGCCAGTCGTATCCTCCAAGCCCACGCGAGGCACTCCAATGCCATCATGTAGCATATTGATGATCCATGACGCCTTGAAACATACTTCGTAGGCCTTTTGGTGATCAACCTTCTTTCCCCATTTGTGCTGTTCAAGGCCATGCTCAATGGAGGCCCAGTCTTGAGAGCAAAACGTTTGGACCCGTTGTTGATACGTGTTGAAGTCGTATGCTTTGTCTTTATATCCCATTTCGAAAATCTCGTGAGTGGTGTGCCAGTACTCGCTGATCCCGATAAAATGGTTAACGTCGAAGTCGATAGCTGGAACGTGGATACCGTTTAGCAGACACGGTTCATCCGCACACGGAGCATCCTTGTCCAGCAATGGGAACGTCTGACGGAGACATTCATCGAATTTGCCTGTACCTAGCAGATAGGTTTCTGTCTCGCTCGCCGGTGCGACTTTGCCATCAAGTGTAGTCCGTAATCCACTGGGAAGACAAGGGTCAGGCAACTCTACAATATCTGGCCCAGTTGCCGTCTGTAGAGCGTCCAGGTAACGTCGTCGGGCTTCATGCACGCCGAACTCCAACCACGAAGTGACAAACACTCGGTGCTCTTGGATCGATCCATCAATGTTCCGCAATCGCAACAATTTAAGGTCTTCAGCGTGCTTCTCTGTCTCCGTAGTATTCGGAGCGAACGCAATTTGGGCCGATGCGCCACCCATATCGAGGAATCCGTAGGTGTTGTGTCCCTTTCCATGGTCATGTTTCTCCGGGGCATCAAAGGATCCCATTAGGTAGTTTGTCGCAATCCATCCATAGAGTCCCTCGGTCACACCGGGAATTACCTGAATGTGAACATCACAGTCTGGAAGCAAAAAATCAGAGTTGTCACGAGCATAAGAACAGATCCGATCCAGAAGCAATTGTCGTTCGAGGTTTCCCAGCAGTCGCATGCCTGCAGTGGCCAGGAGAAAGATGGGAGTATCCTTGGCATCCTCGACAGGAATGATTGCCTTGGCGTGGTCTAATAGTTGAGCGAGATGGTCTGATCCAACTAATTCGGGTCTATTGGCGAATGAAGAAACACCTTTTGCGCGGCTGCGTTAGTGACGGGTTGTTGGTAAGTTGGGATTCGCTGGAGCAGGGCTCACCAGGGTGAATCTTCTTCGTCCATTCCTCCTTGGTTTTGATTTCCGGTAGCGATTTCAACTCCTCCACATCGGCGTTCTTTCGTGCAGCGGCATTTCGTAGCCATCGGTAAACATGTACGCGAGTCCCCTATACGATGGATTAGTGATATGCCGAAATTCTTGAACCAGGTCGACATACAGACGAGCCCGCGTCCAGGACGACACCATAACGCCCTAATAGAAAGGTTAATTCGGCGGCGCATCATGAAAGTTGAAGGACAGCATACATTTGCCCATTTGGACTTTTGATTATTCGCAGATCATGACAAACTTGTCAAAGGGACAATATTTGTCAAATCAAAGTGGCAAGAATAGGTAAACGAATGACAAATGAAGAAGACTTGAGAGAGAAGAGAGAGGAGAGGAGCCAGAGATAAGGAGGCCAAAAGCGGCCTGGACGCGACGACTCCGGGGCGGTACGAAACATGACAAGCCCTGTGACATTTAAACGGTAAAATGGGCCCAGATTACCCTGCATTAGGAAAAGTGGGGTAATTTAAGGGTAATATAACCGTCCATGACCAAATTCTTTTTTTTTTTTTTTTTCAATATATCGAGTAACATTGAATATTTCTGTACGGGGATATAATGTACTACACTTTTCTGTCTCACGACCATTTCAATATTAACCTAGACGCTCTCAATTTCATCGGATATATATTCCAGCCTCATGGAATGAGGGCTTATGTCGAGGCATACGTCAGCCTCCCTTCCCCGGGCTTGGAAACGGGAGATTCGTTGCGTCACTGTCTTGGCCAAGACTTTTTCATTTTTCTGTGGGCCACAAGGGTCTATGATACATACAAAATAAAATGCCTTGTACAAAATAGGTCATATGTTATCACGTTTACCAAATTGCAAGTCGTAAGCTTTCAATGTTCTTAGAAATCTCTAGCTAAAACATTATGGAAGAGAAATGACATGAAAAAAAAGCACAGAACATTAGAAAGATTCAAGATTATGAATCCGAGGTTACATGTTCTACGATTCGAAGTCACGAGTCGTAACCCTGTCACTTCTTCGTTTCCTGAGAACCAACCACCACAGGGACCTGCCCATCAAGCACGCTCGATGAAGACCCGCATAGATCGTCGAGGAGGGCCCGCTCACCAATATGCTCATCAATAAACTGCGTGCGGTCCAAGCCAATCATTTCCGCCTCCTCATGCACCCGCAACTGCATCCCCGGGATGAACTTGAGAATGTAAAGTAGGATACACGAAACAAGGAAAGAATATGCCGAAATAGCACACACCTCAGCCAATTGTTTCCCAACTTGCACTCCATTGCCGTCAATGCCCCCTCTGGCTTCGGTCACGCCATCCAACGCGGCAATAGACTGCGTCGCAAAGATCCCGGTAAGGAACGCCCCCACCATCCCGCCGATACCGTGCAGCTTGAATACATCCATCCCCTCGTCGATGTGTAACCACTCGTTGATGTCTTGGAGGAGGGCGCAGACAATGCTTGTGAGGAACCCGATAAGGGCAGCAAGCCACACGGACACAAAGCCGGCGGCTGGCGTGATGCCAACTAGCCCTGCGATTGCCCCTTCGCACGCTCCTACTACCGAGAACTTCCCCCGGTGCTTGATATAGTCGACCAGCACCCATCCTAGTACTCCTGTGCAAGCCGCGGTGTTGGTATTAAATGCCGCTAGCATTGCCCGTACGCTAGCATTAAGAGTCGAGCCACCCTAAGAAATAACTGTCAGTGGGTTCAGACACAAGGACACAGGTGCGACAGACGTTGAACCCAAACCATCCAAACCAAATCAAGGTCGTCCCCAAGAAGACCAAGGTGGTGTTGTGAGGTTTCACATGTGAAGGCTGGTCGATATTCTTGCGCTTCCCCAGAACAAAGGCATAAGCCAATGCCGACCACCCAGAGGCGATGTGAACTGGACCGCCACCGGCAAAATCAAGCGATGGGAGATTATACAACCACCCGTTGCTATTCCAGGTCCAACAAGCTAGTGGACAGTAGACGACGGTCGCCCAGCAGAAGCTGAAGATCAGCGAGGGGATCATGTTGCCTCGCTCGAATGCTCCGCCGACAACGATCATTACCTACCACATATTAACTTTGATTCCACATGTGTTGTCAGGCGTTGCTTACCGTGCACGCGCAGAATAGAAGCTGATAAAAGCAGAATACAATTTCTGGGAGATCGGCTGAGCCAGGCGATGGTGCTACCATCACACCTCTTAGGCCAAAGTTCGTAAGGGTTCCAATGAATGGACTTGCATCCCGGGCATAGGCCAACGAGTAACCCCAGAATATCCATTGGAACGTTACTCTGGTGGAATCTTTCGTGTCAGCACGACGTACGCTTGGTTTCTGAAGGCGTCAACATACACAGCCACAACCATAAACGCCTGGAAGAGTAATGCCAGCGCTGACTTTCTCCGTGCAAGCCCACTATAGAGAAGACCAATCCCGGGGATAATCAACCAAACAATGAATGAGCAAATGATGATGTAGGTATAGTTCCACTCAACGCCTGTATATTGAGCATTTACGTTGACCTTGAGTGGATCTCCACCTGTTGGGGTAGACGCATTGTACACTGGCTATAGTATATGGCTGTGTCAGCTGTTTGGAAATATGGTTCCGATCATACTAGACTTACAGCATCGGCCATGATGAGAGCTAGAATGGATCGCAATCCTAAATCCTTGGTTCGGGTCCACAGCACATATATCCTCTAGTAGAGTGGACCCTCACATAACTCATAATAGCTAGAAAAAGGCCCCCAAGCCTCTTATCTATGTCATAACAAGAGCCAAGACTTTATTACAACAATGGGGAGCTTTGGATCTATAGTAGTTGCCCCCAGTTCATGGGAAATCCCCGACCCCCTCAATTTCTATGACTGTCAGATCAATTATTCATGATAAGAGAACTCGATTCAATCTGATCTAAGATAAGGATGCGAGTAAATGTGTTTCATAGAGTTTCAAGCATCCAATTACGACTTGTTCTCATGCTGACCCCGGATCTTACAACCTTCTAGGGCTTAGGCTCTTGTTATCGAACACCTATCTTATCTAGATGGTCTTGGCACATAGATGTTTACACATGTTTACACATGTCTTGGACTTGCAATAAAACATCCCGAAAATTAATAGGGAGTGAGAGTATTAGATTAAAGGCGAGGAGGTGCCAGCCCACAAGGTGTCCAGGTAGTATAAATGCCCCCACAGCCCCATCTTTCTACATTCTTTCCAGTCAATACAGAAATCAGCACCCCAACTGCTAACTACGCCATTGCCAAAACTAGTCTTCTGCACGGCCCAGTTTGGGTCGAAGGTCTCGCCCCAAAACCCAACCCAGACCCAGTAACTAGGGCCCCAGAAACCCCAGTTTAGGCCCGAGAGATCAACGGTAAAATTCACACTGACGTTTGGGAATTGAGCCAAGAATGCTTTGGCAAGAGGGAAGCCCTGATTATGTTCTACACTTAAGCATTAGCACCGATGCCACTCGTCTGGTGGGTCACATATATACCATCTCCACCGTAGGCCACCTGAAGGACTCCATTTTCCTTCTGCGCAGCCGCATAAATATTGGACAAGCTTCATGAATCAATATGAGCAGGGGAGTGCGCTGCGGCCAGAACAAGGGCCGAAAATGCAAGGCAGGACTCGAGTAGTTTCATCATTCTCAGTCGCAGCCTGGGCGAAATATCGTGTGGTTTTCTGACAGTCTATTAGTCGAGGTTGGGTAGAAATGTGTACTGCTTAAAGCACATGATATTTATAGTCCTTTTGGTCAGGAGTGAGTAAATAACAATAACTAGTTAACCAATAAATTAAGTCGTTTAAACCCATTGATAGGCAACTATAGTAGAAGCGAGGCTACGGCTAAAGCAATCAAGAAGCGTTAGGAGTCTTACTCGAAATTACTGATCCACGATATGATCCTGGAAGATAGTTCGGTACTTTTCGGCCTTTCGATAGCGGCCTACGAATCAGTAGGTAGCAAATACTGGTAACTTCCGACTTACAGCTGCGCCGAATGTGAAATCGATAAACACCGGTATGGCATTATGATGCACAAGGAGCGTAGTGCTGACAAGTGTTCTCTACTTGAACATATATATCTTGTTGTATATTTGAGGTTGATTCATAGATAACAGCCACCTATTCCTGTAGGCTATTGATTTCTTGTAGTCGAGTCAATAATTAGGCATACATGCTGTTAATTCCCCATGCTTTGAGAGATTTCATAACCACAACAGATTCATTCAGCATCTTTGATCTCCCTCTCATCGTCATGATATTACAGAGACCCGGAAGCTTGATACAACTGGAACCGTTCTCAATCCAGTTGTGCAGCTCAATGGAGTCCAAAGCTTTCAGGTCTAGTACCACCGAAGGAATAGGCAACTGAGCCGGAAATTGTCTTTCCAGTCGATCAGAAACTGTAGAATAAACCCAGAGAAGAAGCACTGCTCTCAGGAGAGAGACTGGTATACTGAAATGGGTACAACGATTGGATCCGACTGTTTTAAGGATACGGGCAGCAAAAAGCACCCCTATACGTCCTTGATTGGGAAATTTTGCTCATTGATCCGCCATCCCTTCCCAGAAGCCGTTTTGTAATTTTCCGTATATTATTTTGAAAGCCACAGATAGAAGGTTGGAGACTGGCGCATGAAAACTCATCAATGCAGTCATAGCCATGATCTTATGGATAATGGCGGCTTTCAACTCGGAGACTGAGTATATGTCACATCTGTCCTCTGTTTGGCTTAGGAGTTTCTCGAGCGTTCTCGCGGCAGCCTGCCTATCATCTACTGAGAATCCCGGAATACCGGCCGACTGCCATCTAGCGTCCACAATGCATGCCAGATATTGAAGAACGGCCTGCTTTCCAAGGGTTCCGGTCTGAACCCAGCTTGCTCTCCAACTGGGACTTGCAGCCACTTGACAGAGAGTTGGATCTACTGACAATTTTGTCTTGTACTTATGTGGCGAAAATTTGTTAGAATCTAAGTCAAGAAAACACTCAAAAATACATCATGTTTCCGCAAGTTACCAGAAGTCAGGAGTTTTTTCACTTTATCTTGTTTGTCAACCATGAGGGCCCGGCCTCAGAAGGACCGACCTCGCTCGTTCCCAGGTCTACTCTTCATTCCACGATAAATCAGATTTTCAAACCATGTCATGTTACAATTTAGTTAGCTGCTATGCTCGAACAAGAAGCCGATAAAGCTTGAAAAGGCTAGAAAAGGACAGAAAGAAAGGACAGAATGCTTCATTCACTCTGGGAAGCTATAGATCTATATAGATAGAAGCAGGTTGCTAAGCCGGGAGACCTAAGCAGGACTGCATAGCTATCAACTGGAGGTTCACAGGAGGCCGAAAACATGGGAAGGCATCGGTCCGATGCGTTCGGTAGGATGCATGTCTTGACAGAAGTGAGCAAGTCCGGCGTCGGTAACGAAAAGCAGAAGAAAAAGCTGAAGGCCCGTCCCCCGGAGAATACGTACCCGAGAGCCGTTACCGCCGCGTGACTTTTGTGGAAGAGATGCCTGCTACAATAGGTTATGTTGTTAATTAATGGACCTTTTGATTAAGCTGAATGCACTTGGATTAATACAAATGGGGCAATCAAGTGACTAGATCCTGAAGATACCTCTCCTAATTGGATGTAGACTTGTACGAGAAATAGTACGTGAATGAACTGGTAGATTCCAAGTAGCAATGCATGATTGAATCAGAAGAGCTAAATGCATGTGGTAAAGACCGTCCTTATATACCTAATCCTTCCTGTCAGCCGATGGGATCCCTATCCCATCGTGGGATGTGCTGCACCTATCCTATCACAGTCTTGGATGGCCTGATCACTGAGGGTTACGCCTCGCGTGATGCATTCAGTAAATGCCATGTTCTTATGGCGTAGAATCAGCATATGTTCCTGGACGGCCGATTCTGGCCTGCTGATCACCGCCACGTGGTGATGTAGGGTATATGTCGGGATGGCGAGTGTGAGGCCACAAGTGGCGCAGGCGGTGAGCGTGTACAACGGTTCCTGGGAACCGTTGGCTGACAGTGCTCAAAAGTAAAAAGGTGCGGGCTAAGTGGGTCCGTAACACCCCAATGCCATTTAATTCTCCTTCTTAGACACTGATGACCCTATCGTCCTGGCAACAAGCGGAAGAGGCCAGGCAAACTGGCCAGTCGGGTCCTCGTGTACCTCACCAGCCGTAAGCATGTCGATAACCACCACGGCAATATATCCACCAATGGCCGTGAAGACATGCCACCTATATAAATCGTCAGAGGGTGTAGTCTCGTAGGCAAGGAAATGAATTTATATCGACTTACCATCCGTGAAATTCAAATAGGAAAGCCAAGGGAAGGCCGATGGAGTGTCGGATGGAGATCAAATGTCTACAGGTGAACTCATCGACGAGCCAGATCATGTATCCAAAAAGAAAGCAGACTGGAATTTGGTCATTAGGATGGATTCGGCAGTGTAGAAAGGTCAAGTGTGTCGGCAATGGTGACTGATATGTAAGAGAGGCACCTACACACTCCAAAACGAGTCACGTTCCTAACATTCTTCCGAATCACGGCATCTGGAATTTGTCGCGGGATGACTCTCATTGTACAGATCACAATTAGAAGAACTCCCGATCCAAAGGTCACCGCATGGAGAAGGAACTCATCCAGGACCATATGCGCAACCATGACGACGGTGAACTCGATGAAGAGGATGATGCCCATGAGTCGGGTGTACTGCTCGCTCTTCTGGAAAGTGAGCAGACGGTGCACGAGCGGCGTAGTGAGAAGGTGCATTGATAATTCATCCGCTGGAAAGATAAATCGAGAAAGGATGTCAAGTTAGCGCCAGGCCGATATGAGGACATGCAGAACGTACACATTTGCGTGTGATATTTCAGGGTCATGTGGTACCCGGCGGAGCAGACACCCACGCCCATCAAACCGAAGAAGGGAATTGAACGACCCACTGTCGCTTGGCCATTTTTGATGATCCTCAATAGACCGTGAATACCAAGAACGACTAGGTAGGCGAGATGGATTAGTTGATTTGAAGGCAAGATGTTTTTGGCATACCCGGTGGATTTCGAACGCACTGTATACAAGGCTACTGAGGGTGTTAATGAACTCCGCGACGTATCTGGTGATCACATAGTCCTTAAAGAGCCAATCACATCTAAGATTAGCATTTGCAGGAGAGAATCCGCCGGGAAATTCTGAGACCGTGCTGGTATACCTCTTCACAGAAGCTGGGATAGGTGAGTTACGGACAAGCACTAGGATCTGCGGCCGATCAAAACATACTTCAAATAGGATGTCTGGGGGCCCCAGAAGGGGGTTCTGGTGGCAAGATCCATCAGGAATGCCGTGCAGGTGGAATTATATGTGTTGGGAGCTAAAACCAAGGTGGATCAAAGAAAGAAAAAAACAAAATGACATGAATATCGGCAGAAAACGAGCTGGATGGGTGGGAGGGCGTTCTTTTGAATCGATCAATCCCCTTGACCCAAGTCAGCTTAGGTGGCCACAGGCCGGTCTTGGCATGAATTCGGGACTGAGTTTTCTATGCCCGGCCCCACTATCCCTTCGGCCCCACCTCTTCCCGTTGTGGGTGCCATTGATCACATTTTAGTACAGTGAACTCTCCATGGCACGCCCAGAGATAACACACACTGGGTTCTAGCACCAAACTCCCGTGGACGGACCCACTTTTCCCCTTTTAACCTTATACAGTATATTACCCCATGGGGCCCCTTGTAGTACCAATTAATACTACCAAGTTGCCGCCCCCTGAAAATGCATCACAACGCTGCATTCTTTGGTTTAATGATTGTGGGGGGCATTTGGCTCCTCTTCCCATCGTTCTTGACTTCTGTCACCCTGTTGTTTGAAGATGCTTCGGTGGATCTCATCCCTGCGAGTGAACTCACCGTCGATAACGGCAGCAGTAGGCCAATAATCCCCCAAATTCTCCACCAAACCTATAAGAATAAGACAATTCCAGATTCGTGGAAAGATGCCCAGCAACGCTGTATCAATCTGCACCCAGACTATGAATATATCGTAGGTACCTCATCCATCCGCTCCGAACACAGTTGATGCGCGTCGCAGTTGTGGACTAATCGGACCGCCCATGATTTCATCGCCACCCACTATCCCTAGTTTCTCGATATTTTCGAACATTGTCCATATCCAATCCAACGCACAGATACCATCACATACTTTATCCTCTCGCATCTAGGCGGGATGGATATACATGACATGGACGACGTAGGCCTCCCCCACTCCCTTTTCTTCTTTCGATAACCGATGAGAGAATCCCCTTGACTAACCCTCTTGGCCGCGCAACAGGGCTGTAGCCGCCAACTGGACCCCCTCCTGACCTTTCCCACCTGGGTTCGCCGCACCACCCCCACCGGCATCTCCAACGATGCCATGGGCTCCATCCCACAACATCCATTCTTCCTAAAAGTGATCGAGTGTCTGTAGTCCTATGACCGCTCCTGGCTGTTTCCATATATTACTATCATGTCCTTGACGGGGCCACTATTTTTGTCCATCATATGGAAGTAGTATATGCGTCGGTCTTGACCACTGGACGAGGTGAGTCGAGTGCGAGTCCTGATGCCCGAGGGGTATATGTATCATCCGCGGAGCTTTCTTACCCATCATTTAGGAAACAGCCGGCACCGAGACGACGCGAAGATAATATTCTAGGTGTTTGGGTAGTAACCCCATGGTTCGGGCTATATGGAGGACGAGGAATACCCGCTTTAGGGTTCTTCCACTGAGAGGGATGATTGAGAAAATGAGGGAGCTCTACCGAGAGAATGTTCATCAAGCTTCCCTATATTTACAATAGTGCACTGTTATAATTGCCGGAGAGGCAAATCTTCAAAACCAATAGGAAGCTGTCGGTGCGCCGTATGGCCGATAACGCCGCGGAGCGTAATGCTGCCGACTCTCCGAACCACGTGCCAGATTAGCTAGTCGATAACCCGACGAATGAATTTGGCCATTCCTTTCAACTCCCTCTTCCCCCCTTGTAGGAAGATTATAGAGATGTCTCAATTTGGCCAGCTCATACATGGGCACCACCCGACAAACAATCACGGAGCCCATGAAGCGGGTAATCACCGTGACGCTATCTCGGACGGAGATGAACACCATGCTGGAGAAGACGAGAGTGCCACACATGACATGGGCCGCAGTAAAGAGGGAGAGGATCCAGGAAAGGAGTACGTAGAGCGGGGTTTCCTTTTTGAGCTCAATTTCCGGCGGAGGTCGATTCAAGGTGTAGCCGACGAAAAAGGTCTTTAGCTGATCGCAGGAGGACGAGAAGCACGGGATTCGATATTGCTCGATGCAGGTGTGGCCAGACCAGTGTACACGAAGACGGAGCGCCCAGGCGGCGATCATGTGGCCAATGGGGCTGAAGAAACACCACAGGAGGATGATGTACCCGAAGTTGGGGGCGAATGAAAGCACAACATTCTGACCGAGTTGGTAGCCTAGCGTACCGACGTTGGTGGTGGCAGCAAATACGAGTGCTTACTCGAGAAATGTGATGAGAAGTTCGATGTGAAAGGTGAAGAACATGGGAGCGAGACGGCCAGGGTGGTCTTTCAGGACCGCTGGGGGATCTCGATACTCGAAGGCTCGGAGGGTAACCACGGCAGGCGACCCGACGGTTCCCAATCACGGCTAACACAGGGGTCTCATCGACCTCGGATCCCAGGGTGGCTAGAATCATGAGAGCCAGGCCTAGGAGCACGCTGGCGCTTGCCATGTTGTTCTTCATGTATTCAGGGCAAGCGCCCATCACGCAGTTTATCAGCGGCGCGGTGAGCGCCGCGGTGCTGCCGGATCCAATCCAGCGGGAGATTTCGTACCAGTAGGTGCGGTTTTTCTGTGCCGTGAGGTAGAAATGGTACTCTGAGGAACAATTTTCCCGAATGATGCGTTCAAAGATGAAGCCGAACTCTGGATACCAGTGTTAGAACTGGCCCCGTGCCCCCTGATACATGGGCAATCTGAAGGGAAAAAAGGAGAAGTAGGCTGAAGGTAGATGGCCCAGGGAATCTTCGCATGGTGTTGAAGTTTGAGCCTGGACGTCTTAACCAGGAACGGGTTGGTTCTGTCAAGAAAGAAAGAAAGGACGGTCTTGCCTGAGCCTGGAGTGGTGCTTATATTGCGAGGACATGGGAACCGGCTGCACCAGGACCAATCCCCCTCATTACTAACTGCGTATAATTGGTATAAATTGTCAGTATTACCTGCACCTCGGTGTCTCTCGATGAAAGCCAATGAGGGTTCCACTAATTACAACCCATCTATATATGTCGAAAGTCATATAGATACGCATGATACTTTGCACAGACAATTCAGACGACACTGTTTGCAGTTTGCTTTAGTCGACCTTTGCCGCACCATATACATATTTTACTGGAAAGTGCTCAAACGACCGCTATTCTACAAATTTGAGTGACCAAACAGAAGTGACAGACAGATCGTTTGGCTCCTATGAAATACAGAGTGTGCAATAATGAATGCCATTAACGTAACCCGCGGTTAAACAGATCACACGGTGAAGCGGGAAAATGTCAGGTTTAACACGAGATTTCAAAGAAAACGTGTACAAAAACGAGGACCTTTGGTGACTGCATACCATGTTACAATATCGTGGATATTCCACTATCTCGCAGACTATCAAAATCCTTTAATTCCCCCGCCCATCTACCCGAAGTTGTGTATCCCACATGTTACGTGATACGGGAGTAAACAATCGAGCTTCGATGGATATTCCTTGTGCAGCTAGGAGGCATTAAACGTTCCGTGCCGTTTAGTAAATCTCTGGGATTGTTTCATCGATTTAATATCGAGGGCGACCCATCAACATCCGAGGTTGGAGCGGAAGAGGCGGCTCCTCCAATTTTTGACACTATGGACGGCACTGTTCGGCAACAAGTCAACCTGTGTGATGATTCAGAAGTTGCCAACCGTTGCTTTCAATACTTGGATCAGTTTGCTTCTCAAGGACTTCGGACACTACTGTATGGCCATCGTTTCCTCGATGACCAGACGTATTCTGAATAAAAGCGACGCTATACTGGTGTTCAGCCCGGGACCACTGACCGGACAGAAGCCATAGACGAAGTCAGCCAGCAGCTCGAACACCAGATGGAGCTGACGGGGGCAATCTCTATTAAAGATAAGCTTCAAAAAGGAGTCCCTGAGGCCATCGATACACTACGCAGAGCAAATATCAAGCTTTGGATACTAACAGGCGACAAACGCGAGACGGCAGTCAGCATTGGACATTCCTGCCGCCTTCTGCTTTCTCATCCAATTATGATTAGTCTCGATGAAAGTAACTTCCGTCTGCATCTGGCTGATGTGACAGAAAAGGTATCCAAGGGACAAATCCTGAGCTTTTCCATCGTCGTTGAAGGCTCAGCACTGTCTTCATTCGAGTATGACGGGCTTTCCGTGGACAACTTCTTTAGACTTGTAATTCTTGCCGATACGGTAATATGTTGCCGTGCGAGTCCTAAACAAAAGGCGTTCCTCGTGAAGACAATCCGCAGATATTCCCGAAACACTACAACTCTCGCGATCGGCGACGGTGCGAATGACATTGGCATGATACAGGAGGCCAACGTAGGTATTGGAATAGCAGACAAGGAAGGGCTGCAGGCCGCCAGAGTGTCTGATTATTTAATAGCGGAATTCCGCTTCCTCGTAAAACTTCTCCTCGTTTATGGACGATGGAACTATATCCGGATCTGCAAGTTTACTCTGGCCACGTTCTGGAAAGAAGTGGTCTTCTACACAACACAAACCTTGTACCAACGTCCCAATGGGTACACCGGAGCCAGTCTGTATGAGCCCTGGGACCTCGGTCTCGGTTGTTCTTCTTGGAGTACCCACGAAGGATCTCTCGGCTTCTACGCTTCTTGCCTTTCCCGAGCTCTATGCGACCGGCCAGCAGCATAGATGCTTCAATATCACAATCTACCTAGGCTGGACCTTGATGGCCCTCTGCGATGCCACCATAATCTACTTCATCATCTATAACCTGTACAAAGATACAGGAACCGACATATTCTCCTTTGGCCTACCCACCTACTCAGCGTGTGTCATTGTCGTCAACCTAAAGCTTCAATTCCTCGAGGTCTACAACAAAACTATCACCTGCGCGGCTTCTTTTTTGGTGGCTATCGGGGGTTGCTTCCTATAGAATATTGTTTTGTCCTTCTATCGATTCGAGTCAGGTCAAGGCATCTATCATGTCCGATGGAACTTCGTGCATGAGTCCAGTGAGAACATGTTGTTCTGGCATGGTTTGGTGCTGGCGGTGCTCAGCGTCTGCCTGTTCGAGATCGCGGTCGCAACCTTTCGGGCTTGGCTTTTCCCCACGGACGTCGATCTCTTCCAGAGATATGAATGGCGACGAAGGAACCATCTTTCGACCGATTAAATTTATGTTGGAATAAGCAAGTATTTGAACTAAGATAACACTCTCATGCCATTAAATAACTCGAGTTGATCATTTTGAGGGTCTATTTCACAGGGGTCTAGTTATTGGGTACATTTGATGGGTTAGACAAGATGATTTGGTAGGAATTGATGAGACAACAGCTTTAGGGACAAAACAAATATGTAGGGAATGCTAGATTAACCACCCTTCAGTGGGCGGTCAAGAGCTGGACGTCCAAGGGCGTGGAAAGGTAGTCGTTTCTGGCCTCACAAGCGGTCATGGTGTCAATCCCACAGGCCCTCATATTCTGTAACTGTGTATGATTCTGATATATAAGTGGTCGCGTAGAGGGTCTGTTATTATTGACGGATATATAGATAGAACCTGGGAATGCATAAACAGGTTTTGTGAGCAATTTATTTCTAGACCATTTAGATTCAATTTCAGCCCTATAATGTCCACGGGTTGTTCCCCACATGAGGCTGAGTACAGAATGGGAGAGACGAGAATAGAAAGGGATGTGGCTAGGGCGCTTACAATAAACTTATACATGTAGGATGTATATGTAGATATACATATACCGTATACCTAATACCTACATCTAGGATATAGAGAGAATTTGCACAGCCACAGGGCCTTGTCTGAGGCTCCGTGAAAAGTGGACTTTCCTGTTTCTGCGTCTCTGCGTTTTTCTGCTTCGAACAAGGCTGACAGGCCGGGGTTTTGTTAATAATCTTAGAAGTCATAAGTGGGATGCGCCCGGCGCTTGTTCACCCCTCTCCGACTGATCGGCCCCCATCACCTCTTTTTTTTTTTCCCTTCTCCTTCACTCTTCGAATTTCTGATTTCCAAATTTAAAAACTATTTGGGACTTCGCCTATCCAAGCCTTGTTGCTCCATATCAAGGGTACCAGGTCACACACTTGGGCAACCACCTGGGTAATATAATCAACCTGCTTGTATAGATTATACACCCTACTCGATGCTTTTTCTAATCAGTTTGATCTGATACCTCCCGTTCCCGCGGTCAATCTGAGGCTAATTGACCGCCATTGTGAATATGTCGCGCGCCTCCCCACTCAGCGCTCAGGGGCAATCGCCAGATGCGACCCAAGATCGCTATGCTCCCGATCCTTACCTGTCAGCCGCATCCGATCCGGAGGAAATCTACTTTCGGGCCAGTGCCATTCGACTAACGCCATCGCGGGGGAGTCCTGGGCACAGTACGGGACCTGGCTCGTCCCCTCATGAGGACGCTCGGATCGACTCCACAATTCAGGGTTACTTGGACCCGAGAGCAAAGGATCACACGGACCCAAGCGCTTGTACCTCGCCTATTTCTGATACAAGTGTCTTTGTGGAACCAAAAGATATCGAACTGGGTAGTGGTTCGACCTGGCAGAATGAGGACCTATCGTACAGGATTGGGGAACCCAATGTGCCCATCGACCCGGCATGGGGCTCGTCCATGGCACCGAATGTCTTTCAGTGGACGAGCTCGGACCACAATCCGAATTTGAATCCATCATCCACCCCGACAAGTCTAGAACCTCATGGCAATCCTAGCATACAGCAATCAATTACCACATCGTACCAGTCTGGCCTCGGTGTCCTTGATGCAAGCACCGAACCAGCTAGACTCGGCGTTTTGCCGAACGGAGAGTTGAGCGAGGAGCTGGCGTCGGGCGCAACCAGGGGAAGAAGCCCCGTCTTCAAAATTACAACCTTCTCTCGAGGCGATTCGCCCAAGGAACGCAGCATGTCACCGCAAAGACGTCTCGGCTCCTTTGCACACCTATCTGCTAATCCGAGCGAGCTGGAAGACGAAGACGATGGCGATCGTCACTCGGTCTCTTCTGCTCCCGTGAAGCGATCCGAGGACGGCGGGTGGATTCCAAACTCATCGACTCACCTAGCTGGCGTTGACCCAAAGTCTCGTGGAGACGAACTGGTGTCAAGTCCTAATGACGTCTTTGTTCAGCGACAAAGGGATGAGAAAAACGAGGGCATCTCCCACTGGTCTGTCTCTGTGAGCGCAGCCAATAGTGACGCCGGGGACTCGCCTAGTCCACCGCGTCCACGCCCACACCATGTTTCCAGGAGACTTCGAGCGAGGAGTACCGGGGATCACCCTTTGAAACAAGAAGACTATTTCAATCTAAAATCTCGTACCGGAGATGGATTCCCTGGACCCGGAGTATTGGTTCATGAAAGCAGCGAAGACCTCAGCGAAGATGAAGCAAGCATTGGCACTTACTCCGACGAGCCCTCGGCCGATGTAGATGAGCCTGGCAGATATCATCGCAGCACCCCCGAGGTCTATTCATCACTCTCCCCGACCAGCGCAGAGGAAAGTATCTGTCTTTACCCCTGGCATGACCCCCCTCGCGATGCGACACCCAGATCGCAAGCGATGCAGCCGGACAGCTCTACCGACGCTATGATAGCTTTTAATAGACGTGTGCGAGATCTCGAAACGGCATCGCTCGCGGCAACAATTGATAACAATAGCATTATCAATGTTGTCACATCGCTCGACAATTTTTCCTTTACCGAACAACCCAAGAAACGCACCAGTCTGTTTAAGCGTCAATTTTTGCAGGCATCGTCAATTCTGAAGCGCCAAGCATCTGACCTCTCCATCGGTCAATCTAATAGCTACCCTGGCCTTCCGCAGCGTGATACAGGGGACTCACCGGCAAAACCGAGTAACTCACCACGAAATGGGTTCTTGCGTCGTCATCCGCGGTCGCCAAGCTTGAGCAACGCACTTCTTTCAATGACCAGCCAAATTGTCGCTGTCGGGGGTAGCCAGCCTGTCCAAGCAGTGTCGCCTGCACCCTCGCCGAATCAAGAGAGGAATTCTTTGAACGTTCAATTCAAGGGCCGAGTTCGAAGCAGAAGCGAGATTCCCCGACCAAGTAGCCCCGGGCTAATAAATCTCATGACCGCTCATGGTGGTCCACCAGTTCCAAACATCACATCGCCTCGAGCCAGTTCAGACGCCGACCAAACACCCAGAAGTACACCTCTGGGCCCTGACACTGGAAGCGCCGACGATGAGAACGATGCTGACACCGGCAATAACAAAGGCGTCGTGATGGATTTCCCTGCTATTCAGAGTCTGCCAGTGCCAACAATCGAAGGGTTCAGATCGCAGATCATGCAATTGAATCCAAGGCTTGAGCCAGCTTTGATTCACCGTCTAGCACATGAGCAAAACCGTCGATACAAGATTTTGGTTGGTTTGCAGCAGAAGCATTCTATTGCAACTGCCAACCACACTTGTAAATCTGGCAACTATTGTACTGTTCAGGGTGGGCAGCCCACTCTGTTGCAAGACTATAAGGGCTCCAACGATCCGGAGGCAGGGCAGATCCAGTTCCAAGTGACCAACTTTAGTTACGGACACGAGAAGCAGTATGCTCCGGACGATGGTACGGGGCCGGCAGCACAGTTCCCTCCGGGTGTGCCGCTTCCGCCGGTCAGTCGTCTTCCCGCCCGGTTTGAGTGCCCAATTTGCTTCGAAGTCAAAACCTTCCAAAAACCTTCCGACTGGTCCAAACATGTTCAGGAAGATGTGCAGCCGTTTACTTGCACATTCCCCCACTGCACCGAGCCTAAGTCATTCAAGCGCAAAGCAGACTGGGTTCGCCACGAGAACGAGAAGCACCGGCACCTGGAGTGGTGGACCTGCGCATTCCCCGAGTGCAACCACAAATGCTACCGGAAGGACAATTTCGTTCAGCATTTGGTTCGGGAACACAAAATGCCAGAGCCCAAGATCAAAAAGACGGGCAAAGCATCTAACACTGCAGAGGCTGAGACTGTGCCGAATAGCCGAAGGGAGCAGGAGCTTGAGCGATTATGGCAAATGGTCGAGAAATGTCGGCATGACACCGCCCAAGGCCCCCAGGAGGAGCCATGCCGCTTCTGCGGGAATGTCTGTAACGAGTGGAGAAAGTTGTCAGTCCACCTTGGCAAACACCTGGAGCAATTAGCCCTGCCCGTTTTACGATTAGCGAAGCCGAGCACCGCAACCCATGTCGCCTACCCCAGCCAAGTGGAGCCGATCCGCGGATCGTCAGCAACTTATCCCTCTGTCGCGCCATATCACCATGGACGCGAAGTACTCGAAACGGCCTCCACCCATCTGCAGCCGCAATATGCGATCCGAAACACTAGCACTCCCGCCAACCCTGCGTTCTCAATCAACAACGTTCCGCTGACAAATTACTCTACCATCTCCGGCGGCGAACTTTCACAGGAGCCCGAGTCCATCACGGACTCTCTTACCCCTGATCAGTTCCCGGCGTACACGCACTCGACAGGCCAATTTGGCCAAATGACACTCCACCCAGCACAAGCCCAGGCCTATCCCCTGCATCAGAACTCGGTGACGTACCCACCGCCTTATAATACCGTTCCCAGATCGAGATCCCCCGAGGGAGATCCCATGCTGCAGAACTCGTATCCTCTCGCTCAGTGTCTCCCTCCCTCTCTATACCCTGTAGACGGGAGTTACCCGGCTTACCAACCTATGGAGTCCAACATCCCCTACACTTCTGCAACTTACTCTTCTGGATGTCCCTCCCAAATGTGATGATAGATACGATGCTCCCTTGGGATCGCCTTTTGACCCTTCTTTTTTTCAATTTTTTTCCACTGCTTATTCCCCTTCTTCGTTCTATTGTTCTATTGTCAATTCTTTCACATCAGCTGCATCGGAATAGATGGAGGTGATCACTAGGAGGAATTCCTATACCTATCTTTTTTTTTCTATCAGGAGAGCTATGCAAGCAGGTCCTAATCTTATGCATTTCTGGAATGATGGCTATGATGATAATTTAACATGCTCCCTTTTTTTTTTAAAAAAAAAAAATAAGCGTATGCAGTATCTACATATTTCAGCTCAGGAATTTTGTTTCAGACTAAACGGCGATGTGCATAGCATATGAGAGATCAGAATTATGTTTTGGCTTTTCCTCTTACGTACTAGGCTGTTCCCACCTACACATGGTTCCATGGTTCATAACATAAAAGTCCACATGTAAAGATGGTAATCTGAGACAGAGAGTAGATATCAGGTCAAGATATACGGAGTAAATTCAGCTCGTTTCAAACCCCCCTTGGCTTCTAAACTCGAAACTGCATAACATGCTATCGCGTATAAAAGTGCGCTTTTATTATCCATCCCTTGCGCGAACATGGCCTGTGTCGCCGATCAGCTATGCCGATCGTCTGTCCTGTCACAGCCCAATCTGGTCCTTACTTCCTTGCAGCCCCTCCTCTCCTTTGAAGGTAAATCGTAAGATCTTCATGAGGGGCTGGAGTTGTCTTGCATGCCTCGTGCAGGACTAACGACATTATCTGTGTGGGTGTGTGATACGTGTATACTACCTATCTATCTGAGATTGTGTTAGCGGGCTGAACCAACCCCGGGAATCCAGGAGATGACGGGGTACCCGCAGCCGATCGTGAACCGGACGAGGCTTGGTCAAGGGAATATGATCTTGAGCCGTTATTGAATGTTAACTATCAGCCGCATGTTTATGGAATATATTCACAATTTAGCGCTGTTTAAAGAGTATTTGCCCGGGTGAAGATGTCGGGCTGTGGGCTGTGCAATCAAGGGATGACATGTTGCATTCCACGCTGGCAACACGCGAGGGTGAACTTTGTCTTAGCTTTTACTTCTTTGGATTTCTGTATTGCTTTTTTCTTCCTTTTCTTTTTTAGATTATATCCTTTTTGAGCATACTTCCAATGCAGTTTCGGTTAACACATTCCAACCCTTGAATTGTCTATCGCGTGGTGAAGTCAACCGGCTCGGGGCGAGGGTGTGGAGATTGCGTGTCTCTCGCGTGTAGGGTTTGGCATTTGCATGCGTGAACCTTTTAATACTGTGCCCCTCCCATCTGACTGGTTATTTTCCCTCGACTTTACGAACATTATCACTTTCTTTATATTACATTATTATATAGCTATGGAGGTTCGTGCCCTGCTTACATGACCCCGCGGCTGTCAATCTAACTCTACTCTACCAGGAAACACAGCTGGGCTGGAATGACTCCACAGATATCCTTCAAGGCATCATGGTTGGAAACGAAGGACACGATCTGTCTGAACCTAAATCCTCAACTCTCCCCTTCGACGCCGCAAACCCACTACTAGACCTCCAACTCGGATCACTCGATCCAACTCTTCACCACTCACTCTTAAGCCAGTGGCCTTCACACTCCCGAGACCTATACTACTCCCAGTATACTCACTCCCGTCTGACAGGCGACCAAGATGCCTGGAATCCGCTGCTGGTCACCGGTGTCCCAGCCACCTCGTCCATCCCACATATGAACATGCCTGCCCAGATGCCTGATCAGGACTGCTGCTTCTCGCAACAGTATAGCGAGCCTTCTGAGAGCGGGAGCCAATATATGGATAGCTATCACTCTGCTGATTCCGGGTACGGTGGGGCTAGCTGTGCGACGCAATCTGTTGTTGCTTCTTCGTACAACATGGATTCATCGAGCCCACAGATGGACATGACAGACAATATGTCCGCTGAGTTAGGGCCTTCGTTTGACCATCCTAAGTATGGATCTGTGTCTGAGGCATCGTACACATCGGAGTTTATGGGCTCGCCATCGCAGCTGGTTGATGCCTCAATGCGATGCGAGCATCCATCGTGCAAGTGGGTTGGGAAATGCCCCTCGGACAAGAGGTATGTCCTGTTATTTGAAATTTTTAGCATTCTGATGATAGGAAACTAACTTTCACAGGAAACACGAGGCTCGCCACAAGAAGTTGTTCAAATGCGACGTGCCAAATTGCCCGCGGAAGGACGGGTTTGGCACCATCAATGATCTTGCCCGTCATAAGAAGTGCGTTCACAATAAAGAGCCCGAGCGTGGGCCCAAGATGATGTACATGTGTTTCGGGACAAACTGCCCGCGTCCTAACAAGAGGTGGCCGCGCTTGGATAATTTCAAGCAACACCTGAACCGGATGCATCATGAAGAGGATGGGGACACACTCCTGAAAAGGTAAGTTTAAAAATGACAGATCCAATGTTCCAACCACTAATTTCTGAACAGGTCCATGGATTGGTATGAAAAAGTCATTCTCCGCCGTCCAGAACAGAGCCTCGACAACCGTAGCCCAAGAGATAATTCGGCATTCGAAGCGCAGGAAGACGAGATGTCCGTCCAGTCAACCCCCGATATCGAGCCAGAATATGGTTCCAGGTCGCAACAGGACACCGATATCTTCACATTTGGTGCTGCCACGCCGAGACCCTCTCAATATGGTATGCCGTCTCTCGTAGACTCTGTACCTTCTCAATTCCCCGCTTTTACCTCTCTGGGGTTGTCCACGAGTCAAACCTCACCCACTGAACGAGGGATCACAAGGCCCGATGGATCAGTTACAGACGCAGCTGATAATTTAATCAACGCCATGACGAAAATGATGAACAGTCGCGGGCGGAGATTAAGTCAGAATACCGACGAGGGGATCGACCTCGAGACTGACGCAGCTCAACTTTCCCAGCCTCAGCGGCAGATGCTGCAAAAGGTGCTCTCGGTGGCCTTGGAACGATTATCTGACGACAACGAAGCCACCGCACAAGATCCTGATAGCAAGAAACACGGCTGGTTCCAATGTGACGCGTGCCCAAAGCAAACCCGGCTCCGCTGTGAAATGAAGTAAGCCACCTCCAAACCCCTCCGTATTCTGATCACGGTATTAACCATGAACGTCATCAGGAAGCACCAAAAGCGTCACGAACGACCCTACGGCTGTACATTTCCTCACTGCGCCAAGTCATTTGGCAGCAAAGCCGATTGGAAGCGCCACGAGAGCTCCCAGCATCTCAGTGTGCCAAGTTGGTTCTGCACAGAACATGATATGCAAACAGGCGCCTCATGCGAACGACTGTTCTATCGACCCGAGACATACACCCACCACCTGCACCAGCATGGGGTCCATGAATATCAAGTGGCAGCTTCGACTGGCAATAATCGGCTCGATCTAGCAGGCCAGTCGCATTTCTGGTGTGGGTTCTGTAACTGCAGAGTCCCGCTAAGGAATCATGGCCCCGAGGCCTCAGATGAGAGGTTCAATCATATTGATATTGAGCATTTCAAAAAAGGAGAGAGAGGTCAGGACTGGCGATTCCCGTCTTCTTCGCTTGATCGAGACGAGATGGATCAGACCAAGCATATTGCCGTACAGACTTTTGACCATAGTCGGAAAACTGCAGCGACTGGCGAGCGGAAGCGCAAGTATTCTGCGGCGTGAGATGCTAGGTTTTTGAGTATTGACATCCTGGTGTCGTAATATAATAAGAATATTCTGCAATGTTTGGTTTATTTAGATCATCAAAACAATGTATCTCCAATCCTGGAAGTGTCATGGCATTATTCAAAGCCACAATATAATATGGTACAGGTTATCTCAAGTGTTCTCAAGATCAGATTCATTTCTGGGTGCTAGTCAACTCCCGGGCCTCTTTCTCTAACACGGCCACTTTCTCTGTGGGAAAGGTGAGCGACATGCATGATGGGGTAATGCATTAACTTTTGTTGATCTCACCATTCTTTGCCACCTTGATCTCATCCATCTCCAATTTCAACCAGGTCCAATAGAGGACTTGATAGACGAACACGCCCCCCAAGAAGACCTTGGCAAAGGGGCCAGTAAAGGTTCGATATTGGTTCATCTAGGTAGGGAATCAGAATATTCCAATTTAACATTACAAAAAAAAAACCTGTACATACCCCTTCCTTATATGCACTTGGCTTCTGAGATGAGTTGGATATGGCTTGTGTGGAAGTGAAAGTGCGTCTGCTCATGGGAGCTCGAGCGGATTGAAAAGCCATCGCAGCTGCTGTAAGCCGACGAGCTGAGTGTGAAAACATATTGTGATTCAAAGCAGTTAATGCCTTCTTTTTCGTTGATTTCCAGGGACACGAGCTAGGTGATGTTGAAGTTCGCGTTCCATTTCGGGTATGGCGGCTTGGCGTTGATCCCTCAGGTGTCAATTTATTGGCTTTCTCATAATACATCGAAAATAAGTCGAGATAGAAGCTAAGTACATCTTTTCAACTGCCACATGCTTACTCAAAATGGACCTGAAAGCATTGCACCACAGAAGAGAAGGGCAACATTAGAGATGCGCTGAGAGTGACTCTCGAGAGCCCAGATACGAAAGATTATCTTCTCACCTTGTCGCGCGCTTGTTAAGGGATAACAACGTTGAGCATGTCGATCTGGCGCCAAAGCGATTCAAATGGAGAAAAATTATCGGAAAGATCTAGATGGCTACTCGTGAAATGATGCTTTTGATACTATTGCTTAGAGTTGGAGATGCAACGGTTGAGCTATAGAGCTATAGACACTATAGATAACAGAATTCATTGCTATTCCAAGAATTATTATTCCCGCAAAAAGCAGTTTGATATCAAGATGGCAAACGCCAGAGGCCTTGTCAAGGTAGATATTGGAGACACTAACCTATGAAAGATGTTAGTGAAAGCTTCTTACGGCTTTCATAGCCTCTTCGGTACGACATGGATGAGATTTCATCAATAAAGATGTCATTATATCAAAGCTGGAGATACAGTATAAGACAAATTGAACTAGAAAGGTGGCAGTATATATTCTTGATTGGCTTGCATGTCCTGGAGTTTAGATCTTCAAGGCAGCACGAGCCACCGCTGAGTCAGCGGCACATGATATCAGGTCCAGTCGAGAGCGTCGCAGAAAAAAAGGCAACGGAAAGGAAAAAACAAAGGGCCCTATTCTCGTCTTCTTCATGTCCCAAATTGCCCTCTGACACCTCCTGTCATCATTGTATCGTGTCATCCCCCCACCTTCATCAATCCTGAATATTGCCGTATTGGGCCATCAAAATGATCGAAAGAATCCATTTAACCAATTCGGGAGTAGAATGAAGCACTATCATAGCTCGATTCATGGGGGCCTTGATTCATGGGCTGAAGGGTGCCAATGGCTATTGAAGCAATTCCCCCCATTGAGAGATGGCACGTGCGCTTTGTTGACTAATGGGGTGCGCCACAATAGGTGGCTGATCCATTCAGGCAGTCAGCCCCATTGAGCGCGAGTCCTTTCCGCCCTTCTTCCCTGAAGTCTTTGTTCCTCGAGTTCCCATCGTCTTCTACTTTCTTTTACTTTCAACAATTCTTCCCGTGTACTGCGGTTTTGTCCTGGTGGCTGATAGCGTTCCAACCCTTTTGTTTTCCCACGCGTTCCCGAGTCCGTGAGACCCTTCCACCTTTGCCCCAATTGCGCTCCACCACCGTGCCGTCTCCGGTAACATTGATCAGCGATTGTCGGGAAGAAAGTGTCAAGGTTGCTGCTGTGACAGGCATATTCTTTCCCTTTGATCGAGTGGTCCAGCTGTTGCTGGCGACAACTGAACCATTCGTAAGTGTTGTCCCTCCTGCCCGCATCGCGCAACGCCGACGGCCCGCCATTTATCTCTTTGTATCTTGCTCGTTATCTTGGGCCTTCGACCCCTCTCACCGTGTCCTCGTTGAACTCCCCAGATTGGAGCAATTTGTGCTGACTTTTGTGGTTTCAAAAGTGATCCCCTAATCACCAAAACTGCGCCATGGCTCGTGGCGCAAAGCGTACTCTGGACGAGGTCGCCATCAAGTCCGACTCCGATGACGAGGACTACAGCGACCACGCTCGCTATTCGCGTTCGACCGGCCGGAAGTCGAAGGCAAGCCCCAAGAAAAAGTCGCGGCCGGCCCCAAAGAAGAGACGACGCAGCTCAGACGACGGTCTCACTTCAGAGGATGAAGACCTGTCTGAGGATTTTGACTTCGATGAGGTGGAAGAAGAATCGGAGGAGGAAGTTGAGCGCAATGTCAGAGGAACGGCGCGTCGACGGACCACCCAGAGCCGTCGCCCGCACTACGGGGAACCCGATTCGGACGAAGAGCTGATCAACGATGATGGTGAAGATGAGACTGGAGATCCTTCCCCACGCAAGAGCGCCGTCATCAAGTTGAAGCTCCCGCCCAATTACTTGGCTTTCTCTAAACGTGTAACCCGCCGTACCCGTGATGCTTCAGAGGATATCTACGCCCTTACCAACTCTGGTCGTCACATACACACCGTTGGGCGAGGTACACATACTCCAGAAGCCGAAATTCCAACACCGTCTCGCCGTATTGCGAGAGTCGACCGCATGGCCAAGCGCACGATCATTGATGAAGAGGATGAAGACGCCGAAGAGCATGAGGATGTCGAGCGTGTCATCAACGAAACGACTATTCAGGGCTCGCAAATGGAAATAGTGGAAAGTGACGTTCCTCAAGGCGGCGGTGAAGGTGATACATTGCCAGTGAATGATGGAAACCACGACCCAATTGACGAGGAAATGCCGGATGAAGACGTCGTTCCTGAATCAGAAAATGGCGATGCAAAGAATGATCATTTCGAAGACACCGAGGAACTCCCAACAACTCGGCGACGAAGCAGGCTCTCACACGAACAAGGTCCGGAGGAGACTGCCACGCAAGACGCGGAGACGAATGAAGAAGCACAACTACGTCGATCCAGTCGTAAGCAGCCATCCCGAAGCTCACAGCGCAAAAACAAAAATGAAGAAAGTGATTTCGAGCCAGAGGAGGAGCCGTCGAATGATGAGGAGGAAGACTCTGAGCCTGAATCGCGTGCATCTCCCCGCAAAGAAATCCAAGCTCGCGAGGAAGCCGAGGATAGCTCTGCCAGTCGGCGCCCTGGCCTACGCCAACGGCCTTCTCGAACCCGCGCACCCTCAGAGGAGGCAGAAGAACTTGCTGAAGAACTGGAAGACCTTACTGGTCGTGCCCGTCGCCGTGCGAAGCAAGCAGTCGTGTACGAGAAACCGCGTCGCAACCGAAAGGACGTTGATTATCGCATCATTCGGCCTGAAATGCACCAACCTAATGAAGACACCGATAACGAAGTGACCGGCTCTCCATCCCGGCGTGGTCGCGGAGGTGGAGGCTGGCAGCGAACTTTGTTCTCCACATTAGGTCCATTCGGCGGCGGTGGTAATTCAGCAATTCTCGGTATTCCTGGTGGCCCTACTGCGGTCGGCGGAGCTGACAGCGATAGCAGTGATGATGAAGGTGCCCAACAGCCAAATCGCACTGGTCTTGCTCCTGGTGTTGGAGTTGCAGCTACTCACAACCAGTCGGCTGACCCTGCTCAGAATTCGTCCGGCACGCCTGCAAACCTCGGCAAGTTCAATAACAAGCAGGCTTTGGCTGACGCAGATCCCCTTGGAGTTGACATGAATGTCAACTTTGACCATGTTGGTGGTTTGCAAGGGCACATCGACCAATTGAAAGAGATGGTTTCTTTGCCGCTCCTGTACCCAGAAATTTTCCAGCGTTTTAAAATCACTCCTCCTCGTGGTGTTTTGTTCCACGGTCCTCCTGGTACCGGAAAGACGCTTATGGCTCGAGCTCTTGCCAACAGCGTTAGCTCAGAAGGACGCAAAGTCACATTCTACATGAGAAAGGGTGCGGATGCATTGAGCAAATGGGTCGGTGAGGCTGAGCGACAACTTCGGCTTCTTTTCGAGGAAGCTCGCAAGAATCAGCCTAGCATTATCTTCTTTGATGAAATTGACGGTAAGACAAACCCTTCTGAACGCATCGTTTGCCGTCGCTAATATTTTATATCAGGTTTGGCTCCCGTGAGATCGAGTAAACAAGAACAGATCCATGCCTCGATTGTCTCAACCTTACTTGCGTTGATGGACGGCATGGATGGTCGTGGTCAAGTGGTTGTCATCGGTGCCACTAATCGACCTGACTCCGTTGATCCTGCTCTTCGTCGCCCTGGTCGCTTTGATCGTGAATTTTATTTCTCGCTGCCTAATATCGAGGCACGTCGTGCTATTCTTGACATTCACACCAAGGAATGGGATCCTCCTCTTCCAGGCAACATCAAAGATGAACTAGCGGATATGACAAAGGGTTATGGCGGTGCTGACTTACGAGCGCTTTGCACTGAGGCTGCAATCAATGCCGTACAAAGAAGATACCCCCAAATCTACAAATCAGACCAAAAGCTTGTGATTGATCCGAAAACAATTGATGTCGCCCCCAAAGATTTCATGCTGGCAATCAAGAAGATGGTGCCCTCTTCAGAGCGGTCTACTTCATCTGGTGCGACTGCCCTCCCTCCGAACATTGAACCCCTACTTCGTCATCCATTATCCGAAATCAAGTCTTTGCTGTCTGAGATTCTTCCACAGCGAAAGAAACTTACTGCTCTCGAGGAGGCTCAATATGAAGAGCCTGACGATGGTGCAGGCTTTACCCGAGAGCTCCTTTTGCAGGAGTTTGATCGATCGCGTGTCTTCCGACCCCGACTGCTCCTTCGGGGCCCCCACGGCATGGGCCAGCAATACCTTGCGGCCGCGCTACTGCATGTGTTTGAGGGCCTGCATGTGCAGGCCTTCGATCTGCCCACTTTGCTAAGTGACTCAACCCGCTCCCCAGAGGCAGCTGTTATCCAGCTATTCACAGAGGTCAAGCGACATAAGCCGAGTGTGATTTACATTCCCAATATCCAATTGTGGTTCCAGACTGTCGGGCCTACTGTCATTTCTACCTTCATGAGTCTTCTGCGGTCGGTGCCACCTTCTGATCCAGTTCTTTTGCTTGGTATCCTTGAATCACAAGAAGAGGAAGTGGATGATGGTTTACTGAAGAACATGTTCGGCTTTTCCAAGAAGAACCAGTACGATCTATCCGCTCCAAATCATGATGCGCGTCGTGAATTCTTTGGGAAAATTATTGAATTCGTCAAGACTCCCCCGAAAGGATTCCCGAACCCCGAAAATCGCAAACTTCGTCAACTGGAACAATTAGAACTCGCGCCACCTCCACCTCCCAAGCCCAAGGCGGAACCCACCAAGGAGGAGATAAAGGCCCAGAGGAAGAAAGATTACATATCCTTGAATCTTTTGAAAACTCGAATTCAACCTATCATGGATCAGGTCAAGAGATACAAGCGTTTCAGGTCGGGCGTGATCGATGAATCCCAAATCCGATACTTGTGGGAGGAAGAAGATCCCAACATTGTTACCAGCGATCTTCCCCCGGATCAACAAAATACCTTCCGGCCTTATGAAAAAGCATATGACAAACATGGTGTGTTGGGTCTTCGTGAAACTGCCACTGGGAAGTTCTACTACAACCTGGAGATCGTGACAATTGAGAAACGCCTTGCAAACGGATACTACAAACGCGCTATCGACTTTGTGGCGGATATCAAGCGAATGGTCAAAGATGCTCGTCAGACTGGTGACCCAGAACGCATCCTGCGGTCGAGCGAACTTTTGACTAATGTCGAAGTTGATATTGCTGGTGTTATGGTAGCCGAACCAGCTCTCATGGCAGAGTGTGAGCAGGTTTATCTGCGTGAGATGGCTCGCGAAAAGGAGGCGGCCGAGCGTGAGAAACGTGCCCAGGTGGAGAACGCAGTTTCTCCCATTCCTGGGCCTACTAATGTGTCGCACGGTAACACTGAATCGGGCCTTTTGACTGGCTCGGTCCAACTCGAGGAGGCGTTCCCTGATGATGGGGATGATAAAAAAGCAGCCTCGCGCCCCGTAACTCCCATATCCCAGTTCAAGAGTTTCGCCAATGGAGATCATCAAGGCGGTGGCTCGGATCTCAACGAGTTTGGTTCCCATGCTGTCGGCGTGAGCAATGGTACCCATGGAGATAGAGATGGCGACATTTTCATGTCCAATTCTGATGATCACTCGGGCAGTAGAGACACTCAGGGAAGCTCATTCGGGCCGTCTGCGCAGCCGAAGCCTCCTTACTCCCACACTGCCCCTTCTCAGCAGATTCGTCGAGAATCTGGTCTTTCTAGCTTCTCTCAGCGAGGCCCTATGACCCCAATGGCTCCCGGATCTCAGCCAGCCGATTATACCAATGAAGCATCCACTACTCAGACAACCTCTGACAAGAAATCCTCCGAGCATCTGTCAAATCAAACCTACCACACTCAAAGCCCTCCTGTCTTGAGAACCGAATACCCCGACCTTACTCCATATCCCGATCGTATTTCGCAGGAAGACCACCTGCCTGACACGCAGCAAAACGACAGCAGCCAGCCTTCTCCACATCCTCGGGACTCACTGCTTAGCAATGCAGACACCCAGGAGAACAGTGGTTTGAATGGAAGCCAGTCGCAGTCGAAGCCACAACCCCCGCTGTTCGATGCACCCAACATGCCAGGAGCCAATGCTTCGGCTAACCTGCAGTCGATCCTGAATGAGGAACCCCATGAGCCATTCGTCCTCGATCTTGAGGTTGTTGAGCGTTTGCACACGCAGCTGACCCTGTCAACCAGCGGCTTCTCAGTGGAGCAGCTAGAACAAATCAACACCAATCTGATGGACTACGTGTGGCACAAGCGTGGAGAATGGAACCGTACTCGCGTTGCCGATGGTCTTGGCAAAACATACAATGCAGTCCTGGAAGATATGCAGGAGATGCAAGAGATCGGTCCTATCAGCCAACAGACTAAAGAAATCTTGGCCAACCTGAGTTTCCAGTGAGAGCTATTTGATGGGTATCCCACATAGTTTCCACCCTTTTATTTTTTTTTGTCCCTTTTCTTACTCTGTCAATATGTTGACTCGGTTCATATTCCCCTTTGATCTGGCGATGGTTTCTTGTTTGTTTGTTTTTTTTTCTCGTTTCTTTGTGGCGAGATGGATGGACCGGGGGAGCAAATGTGTCAATCACCAATTTTCTTAATTGTTTATGCAAAAATTAGTTTTAGCGGGTCATTTGACATCGGAAATGTATGTAGACTATGAGGAAATACTGGTCTTAAAATGTTCTTTTTGTAACTGTGTTTATAAGATCTACCACTTCATATACTTGGGGAGTGAACATGTGACGCGACCCACTAAACACCCTGGCCTTTCGAGCTTCACCTTCGCCCACTTCAAGGCCCTTCTTTTCTTGGATTTCACCTTCATACTGGTAATGACAGCTTGAATATTTTTGTCTCCTCCGGACCTTCAACCCTTTGATATACCCCTGTCCCAAAAAACCACATCGCCGCAATGTTCGACGTAGACTGGCTCAGTCTCGCCGTCCCAATTGCCTACCTAGGCATTCTATTGGGATCGCTTGCCACATTCTCCTCTCTCTATCGCAAGCGCAAGTCTCGTATGTGAAATATCCTTAGAACCCCACAATCTCTCTACATCCAACCATTTCGCGCGCCGGCGTGTCCAGTTGTCCTTGGCTAATATATGATTTGTGAATAATTCTAGACAAGGCAGCATCTCTAGAGCCATGGTTCCCTGCCCATCTCCAGCGCGATATCTACTTTTCTCTCCTCCACCTTGAACCCTCTACAACTTCCACAAATGAGAAGGCCCCCGCCATTCCCGACTCTATATTCAAGGCTTCTCTTCTCCGTCGCGCAGCTGAAGACATCCGTCGCATTATGGCACTGCGCGGCCAGAAGCAAGCTCTCACGACGCTCGTTCAACGCGGTAGTGTCGGTGATGATCTCTGGCAGCGATTCCAGCGCGCGGAGAAGGAGATGGAAGACGAGGTCAAGGATGTGGTTTCAGAGGTATGATGAATCCCGTTCTCCATCGCCCAATAAATCATTGTTCTTGGCGAACAAATGATTATATATACTTTATGCTTTGCTAATCAAAATCCAAACAGGCAAACGCATACGTCCCTGGCTGGGGCCAGACTATCTTCCAGTCCGCCAACGAAATGATGAATAACGATATCTACCGCAAGCGCATGGACGATCAGCAAAGGAAATTGGCAGAGGAGCGCCAGTGGTGGAGCAAAAAGAAGACCAGTATCCAGGAGGGATTCATGAAAGAGTTGAATGAGGGCTCGGCGGCTTCTACCGACGCAGCTAAGACTACTAGCACAACCAAATCCTTCGAGGCTGCATCCGCGACGCCTGCTGCACCTGTTTCTGTCCAGGGCAGCGATGACGATGCCGTTCTTGTGGAGGCGGAAACTTCGAATACGCCTGCTTCTCCGCCAAGCGCAAAGAAGAAGGGTAAGGGCAAGAAATAGATATGCATTGTTTCTGGTGTTATTTGTACTTTCATGGTTCGAAATACACTATCATTGTTAGGGGTTTTGGGGCTACAGGTTTTTTATGAGGAATTATATTATTGTACCAGTTATGGGTGAGCTTGCTCAGAAAGCCTATCAAAATGACTCCACGAACCGGCCAATTCAAGGCCAGCTTCAATTACGACCTTAGCGACTGGTCGCCACCGAAGCATTATCCACATGAATTCAAGAAAGAGTTGCCGCCGTTCACATTGGAGATTTTCCTCAGGCTGCTCTAAAGTTCTTGGGTATTGGAACGTCTCCCTTCTAATTACCTTAATTTCTTTAGTATCGGGAGCGCTAGAGGACTGGGTTCTTTTAGGTAATGTACCTTCGGTATCAAAGGAATCTGTAGTATAGCTGTTCTGCAGCATCTCTCTTGGTGTTCCAAGAAGCGCAATCATCTCAGCGATGTGAGTGGCGTCCGAGTGTTGCTTCTGTGAATCTCTGCCGTAAAATAGACGCCCTTTTAAGAACATGTCCCCAACAATCTTCCGACTAGGATTGGATACCTCTTCTCAAAATCAGCTAGGATTGAAGGATCTTCAATACCGAGTATAACAGTATTTTCTTGTATGTCTAGAGAGAACGCGTTGAGGAATAATAAGAACAAATTCCAAAATTACCATACCATCGTGGATAATGCCTTCATTGTGGAGGTAATCAAGAACAAGTAGAAGATGAAATAAAGTCAGTTACGCTTTCGCTGCGAATTGGGACCGGAGATCATATAGGAGCTTATGCCTAGAGGCTGCACAATGCATTGGTAGAATCTGCGAGGAGGGCGAATCCTTGAGCGTCGATCTGGAAGCTATTTAGCGTTCGAACCAACATACCATCATGGGATGCACTAGACCCTGCACTAGACGTGTTAAGTTACTTGGTCACCGAGAGCCTGGCCATGGAGATACTAATCCATCAGGCTGTGGCCCGTCTGGACCAAACCAGGGTGATCATCGACGGCAGACCTCTCTCCAGGATTCATAGTGGAGTCTTGTTCCGAGGTTATACTCAGAGTCTGATATACGAGCTCATTTGGCGAAAGACTGAAAAAAATAATAAGAAATGAGTGATATTGGGGGTTTTAAAAGGTAAAAATAGAAGGGCAAGGCCTAGGGTATGAAGACGCTTTCACCTTCTAGGGCTTGTAGTGCCCAGGTAGGATTTTCTTGCTTTGGACATGGGCTGGCAGAACTGGATTCTTAGGCTAGATTAGACTGGTTAGGTTAACTGACCTAGGAGATTGCAGTTCTCGAAACGGATTCTATCGGACAGCTAGCCAAGCAGCCGTGTATTCTTCCAGGACTGCCATTGAAAGTGGAAATGGGTTATAACCTGAGCCTGCAGATTGGGGATAGGGATATCTGGCTATGGGTTGTAGTTGACTGGCGTAAGACATCATCGGTTGTGGTGGTGTATCCCAGATCGGGATATGAGATGGGTGTGGATCTGGCTGGGACGGAACGGTGCTCTAGGGCATCCAGTACACAGCTCGCGGGCCAAGGACTGGTTGAGGCGGGTTCCCGCCAGACCTCGCCTGGGCGAAAAGGGCCTGCAGGTCGTGCAGCGACATTGAGTTGGTGGGATTTCCGGTCATGGTTCAATTGAATCAAAGATTATCGGGAGATTGGATATCGACCCATCGTCTGGCCGTAGAGGGAGAAAGCGAAACAATGTACATAAGTACCTGTGTTATGTCTAAATACAAAATAATATACATAGCCAGAATTTGGGAGTAAAACCAACCTGAACCAAACGCCATTTCCCAAATCCCATGCAATGAAGCCAAAAATAACTGGAATGCTCGGTGATATGGTCAATTACAGAAGCTTGCTATCGCCTACCCCCATGGGAACCCCCAAGTCGATATGTTCGGCCAACATCTCCTTCGCCGCCACCTCGAGTTTATTTTCGACTTGAGCTGGATCCAAGGCATCTGCTCGGCTCATCACAATCCGTAGTAGACTAGCCATGATCTCCAGTTGGTACTGTTCCATCTCACGAGGATCCAGCTGTTCAAGACTCAAACCTTGCAATCGCAGGTTTTCGGCTTTGCGGTCACCCAACAGTTCTAACAAACGGGTGACTTGGCCAATATTTTCTTTGCTTCGTGGCGTCGAAGACAAGCGGCGGAGGCGTCGTTTCGGTGTATTGGCTGGTACACCAGCCAGTCGTGCAATTTGAAGTACTATCATGCGGGCGGTGGTATCATCAGGTGTGAAGCCGAAGGCTGAATGCATCGAGTGTATGACGACCAATGTGCCGGGGATGTCTTTGGACAGACAGAAACATCGCACAATCTGATCAAATAGAGCTCTAGGAATCTGTGCTTGGGTGGTTTTCTGAGTGCGAGGAGATAACTGGGAATACCAGGATATCATGTTGGCATAGAGCTGACGTGCTGATGGAAAGCCCGCATCGAAGGCAGTACGCCCACGGTCGTATTGGAGCTTGGCACAGTCCCAGAGGCAGGCGTATGTTTCCACGTCGGGCTGGATGGCGGTAGACATTGCCTGGAACTTGGTCCATAGATTCTTCACGTCTTGCTTCCGGAGCTCTGCGTATAGAAGGTGATTCATGAAGTAAGAGTTCGGCTTGATATGTGCATCCCCAAGGGACTTGACCAAGTATTTGACCATGTCGTCGTCGCCTCGACGTGTGTAATGAAGAAGAAGGATAGAGAAGGTCTCGATGCTCGCAGGCGGGACCTCTCTCTGCATAAACCGAGGCATGCGTACAGATTCTGTCTCCCCATACTTGACTTGAAGTTGAGGAGAACTCTCGGCTGGTTGGTATCGTCTCCATACAACATCGATGCGCTTCTGGATCATGGCCCACCCAAGTCGCTCTGCCTTATCGCGTGCACTTGCGTTCCCGTCACGGAACCAGCCCGCAATAATTCCATTCAAATGCTTGCTATCAGGCTTGACACACCGCTCATACATAAGTTCAATGACTAGAGCAGCAGAGTCGACCTCGCCCATACCAATGAGCTTCTTCATCCAACTTGCGTAGAAGAACCGATTCTGGAACTGGCGGGGCAACACCTTGAGCGCGGACAAAGAGACCTTGTTCACTTCGTTTTCGTTGATGCTCGATGCATGTAGGTTACCAGCCAGACCTAACGCGGCTTTGTACAAAGCAGTCGAGTCATTAGCCGGATCTTTTCCAGTCACCATCATATCCTTGAAAATTGCAACTGCAGTATCCAATCGACCGGCTGTGAGAAGGGCAATGCTGATCTCGTCATAGTCTTCCATGGTCATATCCGAGCCCAGGAATGTCTTCAGCTGCAGATAAAGTGCCCAAGCCTTTACTTCAGCTTCCTTTCCAGGCAGCCTTCCCCATGCTGTGATGACAGGGATAAGTACACGTGGCTGACGAGTTCGATCGTTTGCCAGGAAAGCCAAAGCAATATCTTGAGCTCGTTGTGGGTTGTTGTCCGCAGCAAATAATCGCACTCCGAGCTTCCAGTATTCTTCCAAATCCTCCTTCTTCTGGGAAAGCTCTGCTTGATATGCCTCCCACTGTTCGAGTGCAAGGTTTGTGGAGCCACTGTCATGTAGGGATGTGATATAAAAGAGGATTTGAGGTGTAGCAAGTGTTTGACCGATAGATGTAGCGTCCCGGACCAGGGTTTGTAAATGTGTTGAGCGTGTAGCCTGGTCGGACTCTCCTGTTGCTTGTGAATCCCATATTGTTTCGAGTGCCCCCTCGGGCATTATGGTCAAAAAGCCGGGGATGGTCTGCTTGCATCGTCGGTACCACTTCCATAAGTCTTGTCGAGCCCGCTCGTCTGACATCTTTTCTTGGAGTTGTCGTAGGGAATTGTTGAACTTTATAACGTAGGGATGAGACTCTGCCCCTGCGCGCTTTGCTGCGGCAGATCTCCTGGCAGCTATTCTTCGCCGACTCTTGACGCCATCCTCCCAATTCTCCTCTTCCATCGCAAGGCCTTCGAACTCCTCTCGTAGCATATCATCAAGCTCTTTGTCGAAAACCTGATCCAATCCGGGCTCGTCTGCAGGCTTGGGATTTTCCTGATCAAATTTTCTTAGAGCTTCTAAAGCAATTTTCCGGTCTTCTTCCGGCAAACTCTTGATGAAAGGGCTGTTGGGAGCGAAAGGTCCCTCCTCCAAAACCTTCAATTCATCTTGGAGCTTCGCGAGCTCCTTTTTGACCTCATCTCGTTCCTCCTTATCTTCGGCTTCGGGGTCGGTTTTGCGTCGTGTTTTGCTCTCGAGGGATTCTTGTTCGTAGAACGTGACTTTGTCATTCGGTCCGCCAAAATTAAGACGCCGCGGAGCTACGGCGGAGAAGACCCGGCGTGGAGCGCGTGTCGATGGGCTGTGGGCCACATGCTGACACCATCGGGCTCTTTGAATAGCCTGGCGCAGCATGAAGTCTAAGTCAATCGGTCATCGAATGCGACCAGAAAAGTTGGAGAAGTGAAGAAGTTCAAGTTCGGAAGAGAACCAATTATCGCCTGATTAGGTTTAGCGCCTGTCGCGCTTCCGCCCTTGAAGTCATCCCCATTGCGACAACCAAGTTCTTTCGAGCAGCAGCATGGATACTGATGGTTTGAACGATACCTTGGGCTTGTCAAATGACAAGTCCCAAACCCTGGTTGGTCTTGAGATCTGATCCTTGGGGTTGCGCGTTAACAAATCATCACAGGGTGCGTACGTCTACCAACCGCCCAAACATGGAAAATCAGCAGGCGAACGACCTTCGAAGCGCCGCAAAGTCTCGTCGACGGCCGACAGAGACAATAAATCTGATCGACAGCGCTTTGTGCCCCTTTTGAACGGAGACGAGAACGCTGAGTCCGTCCAATGGCGATACGATACCTATCAGGAGCTCTGGTCGAAGCAAGAAAACAAGATCCAGGTCAGTGAAGCAAGATAACAGGTGGTCAAAGGGATAAATTGCTCACTGGCTCTTAAGGATATACTCGAGGATGTCGACGCTGGAGTATTGACTGATGTGTTGTCCTTTGTCAGGGACACCTCACCTCAGACGTATGTTCCTATCCCAATGCGATCCATGAACATGCTCTAACTAGGGATTTAGGTGTGATGGATGTATTCCTACAGCTTTGGTGACCGTTGGTTCGAACGTGTCCTCGCTCAGCAGATTGCTATCGCGGCTTAATAGTCAATTGATATCGACCGAAGAAGGCAGTGTCGTGGTGTTGGAATCAGGCGATGCCCCCAATTTGAAAACGACATTGAAAAACATTATCCGAGCTACCGTTACAAATACGGATGGTAATGATGGATATCAAAAGTTCCTTACGGATCGTGCTGTATGTGAACGCACCAAAACATCAGATTATCATACTAACCGTTCACCAGGGACCTCGACTTCTCGGTTACGATTTAGATCTTCTTCACGATTATGTGCAGAGAAAGGGGACCAGGAAATTGGTCCTAGCTCTTCGAGATAGCGAGGCCTTCGACCCTGGCCTTTTGACCGATCTCTTGTCTCTATTCAAGTGCGATTGACATTCCAGACTTTGATCGATATCCTAACTGACCTTTTACTAGATCATGGCTCGACCGTATACCGTTCACAGTCCTATTGGGTATATCTACCTCTGTAGAGCTGTTCGAAGGCAGACTGCCTCGCTCGTGTGTTGCTCTCCTTCGAGGAAAGCATTTCGAGGTCCAAGGGGCCGGAAACTGTGTCGACCGCATCTATGAAAGTCTACAGACTGACCCAGACACCAATCTTTGGCTGGGTCGCAATGTTACCAGCACTCTGTTTGAGAACACAAGTGACTATTTCCAAAGTCCAGAGGCATTCAGTCGCATGGTCAAGGTGAGAACTACCCCCAATAGTATTAAATACAGGAATCTAATTCATACAGTATGCATACATGTCTCATTTCTTCGCAAATCCTCTGGCAGTACTATTAGCCAACCCGGGTTCTACAATTCTCGCCCAACCCCTGCTTTGCGAGTCTGTCAGAAACCTGCCATCATTCCGAATGTAAGGGTCTCCAATTTCTGAGTTATATCTCAACTAATATGATCCCAGGTTCTGTGAAGATCTAGTTGAAGAAGGCTCCATAAAGCAAGTCCGAGATATGCTAGAAGATGACGAATATCTCATTCAGGAGATGCCCAAGTACCTGGATGCAAACCAGCAAAGAATGCGGAACATGTTCCAGGCAGTTCGTGTCGTGCATGTCTGCCTTCAATACACACAGAACGCAAAAAAAACCAATGTGTCGGACCTTTCTATTCGTGCACTCTCTGGCGAATTGTCAGAGTCCACTATTGTGGAAGAAATGGTCGCCACGGCGAAGACTTTAGATTCTGACAAGCTGGATGAACTCCTCGTGCGTCTCCGGAGATTTCTCATTAGTCCAGAAGCCGATATGATTCAAGAAGATCTCAAGACTTTATTGGAAACGTGCACGGGGTCCGGTCCACTGCGCAGTGGATACAATATCAACAGCACCGTCACAAAAACCACTGTCGTCCAGCAGCGTATTCGGCTAAGCAAAGGCCAAGCCGATCTCTCGGAACAAGCCGTGGAGTATACCAATATCGTCGACCGACTGGTTGCTCTCTTACAAGTGCACCTCACTGAAACCCTTATCAACCCACAAGATCTGTTTCTACATGAAGCCTTCCTGTTTGATCTGCGAAATCCATTGAAAGAAACATTCGCTCCTCGGCCGCGCTTTGCAATTGAGCGCGCCCTGGCTACTCCTTTTGATTACCTACTTTCCTCGTCGGATGTCACAGTGACTAAAGTCTCAGCCAAGCAACCCACCACCGCAATTCTTTATCAATTGTACCTTGATTCGGGCGCTCTGGTGAATGTTCATGATCTCTGGCAGGCTTTCTATGGTGTATTTGAAACCGAAGAAGCGAATGGCTGCGATGACCGAGTCGTAATGTCTTTGTTCTATGGCGCTCTCTCAGAATTGAAGGCATTTGGTGTGATCAAGAACAGTCGGAAGAAGACAGACCACTTGGCCAAATCAGCGTGGATGGGGCTTTAGTTTTATATTGAGGTTCAAATAACATTCATGGCATATCATATTTCTGGCGTGGGGTATCATGGACATAAAAAAGAAATACAGTAGCTGAATAGTTTTGAGATCAGAGACTTGGTGTTGCGAAGTTGAAGATCATAGAGAGCACGAACTCACCGAGATCAATTAATAGGTCGTTGGATTATGTCGTCATTGCCGATTGGCCGTCCGCCATCGCTCAAGACCATAGCTTCTCTTCTGCGCCGGCGAAGCGCTTGTTCTTCGGCACTTCCCTCCTGAGGTCTACGCGGAGTTCGTCCAAAATTGCCCCCAGCCTCATCCGCATCTACCATCCATACATCACTGTCCCCGTCGTCCTCATCATGATCATTTTCTTCAATCATGCTGCCCATCAGTCCATGTTTCCGCAGCTGCTTGACCCCATCTGGGTGCGAGGAAAGCGCACTGAAAATCGCGCTCATGACCACGTCATCTGACCACCATGTTTTCATGAGAATCACCACATCCCGCCGGCGGGAAGGCTCAGCTATTGCACACGGAAAGGGATATCTGCAGAGCCATCGACTGATGATTCCCGCTTCTAATGCGTCGGGTATGTTCTCTAGCAACAAGACATTCAGGATGTTCAGCGCCTTCTTCTCTTCCATCGGCCGTGTCTTCGGAAAAATTGGCGAATTGGTCGTAGATGTCTTCTCCACGTGTTCTTCTAGTAAGTTGCAAAGGCAGTTAATAATGGCCGTAAAGGTGGGTACGTCGGCGAGTCGAGTGCAAATCGAGGTTCGAGTGACTGCAGAATAGTATAAACATTCATATACTGTCACAATGAGGCAGAATTGGTAGCATACGGGCTCGGTTGGAAACTAAGAAGTTCAACGCATTCAGAGCTCGGCGTTGGTGAACCTTGTTCTTGGAAACCAGTTCTTCCAATAGCAGATCACGAGTATCTCCCTTGGTAGATCGTTCTGAAATGATGCGCAAGGCCCTGAAAAGTATTAGCTGATGCACAAAGTGGTTTGAAAAGATGTCGTCTTAGCGTACGCAGCTCGGAGGTCATGGCTTGTGCTTTGAGAAAGCTTCAAGAGCGTGTCTAACTTGAGAGCTATAGGATTCGTTAGTACAGTAACATATTGCATATAGATATCTACACACCTTCTTCTGTTCCCTCGCTAATGATCTTGTCTTCCTTCTCAACATGTTTGATCTCTGTCAGATCAACGACTTGGCGGAGGTCTGTGGCGATACCGCGGATGGCAAAGAACAGTGAGACGCCTAAGTAAGTTAGTCATCTGAGCTGAGTTCACTTCACCAGGTGAATGAGTCCATACCTAGGCAAAGCCATAGCACACCATCCCCAGAAAAGGGAGCCATAGTGGTTGTGTGAGTTGGAGATAGCGGAGAACACAATCGGCAGAATCTTGATCGGCGCAGGCCGCGGAGGCGGTGTGCCTGATTTTTTTGATGAGAATCACGACGGGGAAAAAAACTCCCAATTCTCGAATTCAAACCTCAACCACACACAATGCCGCCTTCTCAGCTGAAACAGCTGAAGGCTTCGCTCCGTGAAAATGGAGTCCTTGGCCCTCAGAAGTCCAAGAAAGAAAAACGACAGAATGCGAAAACCGGAGTCGGTGCGAAGAATCGCAACCAGCGCGAGGTCGCCTTGCAAGCCATTCGAGATCGGTTCAACCCTTTCGAGATCAAAATGATAAACAAATCTAGCAAGTTCGATGTCACAACCAGAGATGGCAACACGACCGCTGGAGGTGGCGCTCGCCCAGGTGTTACCAAATCACTAGGTGAAGAAAGAGTAGGTTTATCTGCTTTTCTCAAGCACTACGATTAAAAGGCTGACTTTGATTAGCGACGCGCTACTCTTTTGAAAGAGATGAACAGCCGAAACAAAATTGGTGGGCTTATCGATCGCCGGTTCGGTGAGAACGATCCCACCATGACACCTGAGGAACGGGCCGCCGAGAGATTTGCGAGAGAGAGCCAGAGAAAGATGCGGAAGGAGTCCATGTTCAACCTCGAGGACGATGATGATGAGATGCAGCTTACTCACATGGGTCAATCTTTGTCATTCGATGGAACAACCCAAGATGACTTCGAGGCCGGAGACTTGGATGGCGCGGAATCCGACGAGGAAGCGTCGCGGAAACGGAAGCGATTCCCCGATGGCGATGAAAATCAGGATCAGGATCAGGACCAGGAGGACTTCATCGACTATGGAGACGAAGAACAGCCAGGGCGCAAAAAGACCAAGGCCGAGGTTATGAAAGAAGTCATTGCCAAGTCTAAATTCTACAAAGCGGAACGGCAACAGGCCAAGGATGAGGATGAAGACCTTCGCGAAGCATTGGATAAAGAACTTCCTGACCTTTTCGACGCTCTGCGAGGCATCAAACCTGCAGCCAAGGCGGACAAGCCAGAGGCACCCAAGCACGATTTCTCGGAGATGAACCCAGAACGCGCTGCCATGCTGGAAGAGTCGCAAAACAGCAAGGATCCAGAGAAGGAATACGATCAACGCCTCAGGCAGATGACATTCGATCAACGATCAAGACCCACAGATCGCACGAAGACCGAAGAGGAGAAGGTGCAGGAAGAGGCTGAGCGACTCAAGAAACTTGAGAACGATCGCCTTCGACGAATGCGTGGAGAGCAACTCACCGACGACGAGGACAATATGGACCAGGATGAAATGCCCGAGGATGACGAGTCGGAAATTGATGATGCTACGCATTTCGGCCTTCCAGCTTACCCTACTGAAACACGGCCCGAACTCGGCGTTGAAGATGAAGATGATTTCATCATCGACGAAGATCTGGTCGAGACAGATTCAAATGCCAGCCTCGACATGGGTGACATTGACAGTGACATGGAAGAGGAAGAGGATTTGTCGAGCGATGAGTCTGATGGGCCAGATGGGGAGGACGAGCTTATCAACGGAATGACGCTACCGACAGAGGATTCTGGTGCCGCTTCGACTGCTGCCGAGGTTAACAAGGAAGCAAACGGAAAGCTCGCATTCACATATCCCTGTCCAAAAGACCATGAAAGCTTCCTGAGTATCACCAAGAATGTACCTGTCGAGGAAATCCCGACAGTTATCCAGCGCATTCGAGCATTGCATCATCCCCGGCTTAGACCTGGCAACAAGGACAAGCTTGGTCGATTTGCTGAAGTTCTTGTTGAACATGTTTCTTACTTGGGTAACAAGACCGAGCAGCCTCCATTTGCCATTCTGGAGAACATTATTCGGCACATCCATTCTTTGGCTAAGACCCATCCTTTGAACGTGACAATCGCGTGCCGAGCGCAACTTCGTCAGATTGGCAATGAACGCCCACTCAATCTGCTACCGGGCGACCTCATCTTGCTTACCGGGCTCTCGACCTTCTTCCCCACATCAGATCACTTCCATACGACGGCCACACCCGCTCATCTCTGCCTGGCGCGTTACCTGGGCCAGTGCACCACCAGCTCGCTCGCAGACCTTGCAAGTGGTACATTTGCCGCAAGTCTTTGCCTCCAATATCAAAAAGCCTCGAAGAGATATATGCCCGAGTTTATCAACTATACTCTAAATGCTCTCTGCAACCTTGCTCCTACAGAGCCAACCGTCAAGTTTGGAGCCTTCCCCTACAGAAAATCACTGGAATCTGTTCAGCTCGTGCCCTCCAAGAAGGTCACACCCCGCAAGCTGCAATTCCACGATGTGACTACCTCTCCTTCTGATCCCCAGGCGCAGGAGGAACTCAAGCTCTCCCTTCTCACTACTCTCGTGTCTCTCCTTGGTTCCGCTTCTGACATCTGGGCCGAGAAATCTGCTTTCACTGAGATCTTCACACCGGTCCGTGCCGTTCTGCAGTATCTCCGTCAATCCCTCAAGGGCAAGGTGTACTCAGCAGCTCGGGAGCCCATCCAGAGTACTCTGGACAAGATCGATGCCCACCTCGCACAGGCTCGTCTCGTTCGTCGTCCGCTGTTCCTGCACGACCACAAGCCCCTTGCCATCAAGACAGCCATCCCGAAGTTCGAGGAGAACTTCAACCCAGACAAGCACTACGATCCAGACCGCGAGCGTGCCGAGTCCAACCGCCTCAAGAAGGAGTTCAAGCGCGAGCGCAAGGGCGCTATGCGCGAGCTCCGCAAGGACGCCAGCTTCGTTGCTCGCGAGCAGCTGCGCGAGAAGAAGGAGCGCGACTCCGAGTACGAGAAGAAGTACAAGCGTCTTGTTGCGGAGATTCAGAGCCAGGAGGGCCGTGCCGCCAACGAGTACGAGCGGGCGCGTGGCAGGCGGTAATCTTGCATTTTTGCAATTTGCATTTCTACGTCTGTTTTTCATATATCACACTTGGTTGCACATCCTGTTGGGCTGGTATATACATCATTATCTGGCGTAAGGCTGGGAATAAAAGTCAAGTTCATCGAGATCTACAAGATCTACAAAGGAATGTCCACTAGTCCAAATTTAGTAAAGAAATCGACTAGTCAAAAGGCTTGAGTAGATCAAGGTTATTGACAGTTTTATTCATTTCCCAGGGGTATACGTACTATATATATATATACATATATATATATATGCTACTGCTTCAAATCAATGCCAATGCTAGTCAAATATTTACATCGGTTTCTCTGTCCCTGTGACACCGTCTCCATCTTAGTCTTGTTGGTTCGAATGAAGATCCGCCGATATCCAGTACCATCTTGACCCCAAGTCTCCCATTTCGGACTTGAAGGAAGACGTTTAGTGTTCGGATCCAGAGACGTAATAAAGCTTGTCCAGTAACCTTGCATCACAGGCACAATTTCTGCGTTGGTGGTGTAGTATGAAGCCGGGGCATGATTGTTGCCAGTATTAGTCGGACCCCAGATCGCGTTCACTTCGACGGTGTGATATGTGCCCATCCCCGAGCTCTCGTTGGTGGGATCCTGAACTGCGTAGTGGTAGTTCCAGCTTGGGACACCTGCCGTTGCATAGACAGAAGACATGTCAATTCCGGGACATATGTAGCGCATTTCACCGTACGCCGTGCTTGCTGGCCGCCAGTAGGACCCAGTGCCAGGAAATGTCTCGGTCTGGTTTTCAGTGAGATACATGTTGTTGATCCTGGAAATTTGGGCCTGTTTTATCGATGGGAATTGGTTCCGAATAAACGTATCTGCCTCGTCGACACTGGCAGTGCTCTTGGGAACGAAAGTCGTGCCTTCGTTGGTGTCATCGCCGAATATCACCGGTACCTTGATGAATTTGCCTTCATGGAAGAGGCGATACGTGTAATCTGCCACCAAGTCCTCATCGATTGTGGGACCGTACTGGAACAAGGGCTTTCCATTTGCTCCCGGGTAGGGTCGGTTAACGTTCTTCTGCTGCAAAGCATTGATGTCGAGGTTGCGCAGGCATGCCAGGGTATTTTGACTGCTGTGACATGCAGTCGCAGTTGCCAGGGCGTCGTATGCAAATTGACTTTCGGAGACGTTGAGCATGTGACCGAAGCTCTGTGATTCTGCTGCTGCTGCAACAAACAGGCCATCATCTCTGCCACCATATGCCGAGAGCATGAGAGTTATTGAGGCAGCACCTGCACTACCACCACCGATGACAACATGCTTGGGGTCTCCACCAAACTAGAGACAGTGTCAAAAACCAAATGTCAAAGGAGAACGAAATAGCATCTCGACTTACCTTGCTGATATACTTCTGGACCCAGTTCAATGCCTTGCGTTGGTCTTTCAGGCCATTGTTCAGACTCGCTCCTTTTTCGACTTCTTGTCCAGCAAGAAATCCGTAAGGACCAACCCGATAGTTGAAAGTGACCACCACCATATTGTTTCCGGATGCATTGATCAATCCAGTGCCGTTATAGTTGGCATTTGCATTTCCCGCGAAGCCTCCTCCTTGTATAAAAAAGTAGACAGGCAGTTTCTTTGATTTTCCTGCAGCTGTGGGGGCATATATATCTAGAAACAGGCAGTCCTCTGAAGTTCCTGCTGGGACTGCTTGGCCTTCACTTCCTGCGGTGGGTATGCATATACTCCCATGCTGATAAATAGTCAGCCACCTATAGATAAATAAACACAAGCGATGCCTACCTCGATTGCTTGCTGTATTCCCTTGACATACAAAGGATCCTGCGGGGCAGCAAATCGCAGTTCTCCTACAGGAGGAGCGGCAAACCGCATACCAAGCCACTGTGTGACTCCGCTAGATAGTGTGCGACCTTCATAGCTAGCATATCCCAGGTCCACCACAGTAGATGCTGCGGCTAAGGATAGCAAAAAGCAAATGTACAAGAAAATCACCATGATGACCCACAGTCTGATTGTGAACTGATCAATGCCAGGGCTTATAAAGGGGCCCCCCGTGTAAAAGAAAAGCCGACCCATGTCCATCGAAGTCACGGTGACAACATAGCACCTGCTGAGTACCACGAGAACAAGGCCCTTGCACCACTGTTCCTCCATCGAGATGTGCTTACTGGACGCTTGCAGGGCTGTGTCACATGTACTGCAAGGGAACTGCTGGGAAAACAGCATAAAAAGACATGGGGTAATTTTAGCCGACTAATTTCAGAAGGGTAACAGAAACAGAAGTCCATTTTATCTTGGACAAGCTAGGACAAAAGTCTATGATTTATTAGTTTGCAATAAAAGTAACTATATTCTACTCTGTATCACTTGTTACAATAGGTGAGACATTGAAAGACATCTGAGACCTCCTTAAACATCTAGACAAAGAGAGAACATGAGGGTCGACACTTCCAACACATTCCCAACTAAGAATTATTACATATAATAGCTAAATACTATGGATACTATGGATACTATGGATACTATGGATACTATGGATACTATAGATACTATAGATACTATAAATACTCTGTTATTGTGTAGTTATAAAAACTCTTAATAGAGAGCCCTTGGAGGCCCCACCGTTCCCCGCAAAACCTAAAGCGGTCTCCGTCTGCGGCTCCTTGTCTCTCCTCTCTTTCTCTTCTCTCAATTCCCTCTTACCTTGGCTCCTGGCAACATGGCTTCTGAAGATGAAGATGACTACATGAACATGGTGATTGAGGAGCCTACTCAAAAGGAGACCTTTACACAAAAAAAGCGTCGCGAGCTACGAGAGGTACCTCATCCTCCACATTTTACACCTGTCTCCGGCTAAGTGTCACACTCTAACATTCTATTCCATATGCAGGCCGAAGCCCGGGGCCGAGTCCCATCTAAAGCCGAACGCGCCGCTCAAGAAGCTGCCCGTCGAGAGGAAGCCTTGGCCACAAGCACCCTCAACCCCACCAACAAAGGATTCCAAATGATGGCAAAGCTTGGGTTCAAGCCTGGTGGGGTACTTGGTAAACCTACTGCAGCTAGCGATTCCGATACCAATTCTTTCCTAAAGGCACGCGCTGAACCCCTGAACCTAACCTTGAAAGAAAACCGCGGCGGAATCGGGCTGGACACGGAGAAAAAGCGCAAGCTCCGGGAGGAAGCAGAAGAAGCAGTGAAGAGACTCAAGCATGAGGAAGGGAGTTACCGAGATCGCGTTCGTGAAGAGCGTGAGTTGAAGCGCATCGAAGCGCAGGTGCACGCTGCGCAAAAGGTTGCAGAGAGGCTGGATGCAGAATCGGAGAGTGGGGCTACCGACGACGACAAAGAACAAGGAACAGGCTCCACAGCCCAGTCCAACAAAGAAAGTCGCGACTCTACTGATCCCAGTCACCCACATGACGAACCCGACGCCCCGACAAAGAAGAAGCCAATCAAGCTCACATCCCACGTCAACGTCCTCTACCGCGGTCTTATCCGTGAGCGCGAACGGAACGACAGTGAACGTCAGACACGCCATGCTCTCCAATCCTCGCTTCCTTCATCATTCTTCCCCAAAGCCCGGCTACCAGGATACGATGACCCAACTATGGATCGGGAAGATAAAAAGGCCCTTGGCAGTGAAGTGGATCCGAATACCTCCACACTGGAGATAGAGTTGGAAGAAGACGACGAGGAGCTCGATGCGTTCAATGCGCTAGAGCCAGCCGAGCGGCTACACAAGCTGGTTCTCTTTCTGCGTGAGAAATATCGGTATTGTTTCTGGTGTAAATATGCCTACGAAACGAATCTTGAGCTGGAAGGGTGTCCTGGCCTGACCGAGGAGGATCACGATTGATCAGAGTCGTTTGTACCATATGGGAATCTCCTTGATACGGCAATAAGCTGACGACTTGGCATACCTAGCACATAGCCCCCAACTTCTCCGAATTTGTATTTCTACGAAATGCTACACTTATGACACAATTGGCAACAACAAAGAGAAAAAAGAAAGGTATTCATTATAAACATGCAGCTTTGGTCCTCCTGGTCCAACCATAATATACATGAGGTCCTTGGTATCATAAAAAAAAAAAATTGGCACACCGATAAAGAAAAACGAAAACGAAAACGAAAACGTAATTAACAACCTTACCAGGAACTGTACTTCCTGCGCAAGAGATCATGCAATTTATGCTGGGATCATTCATGCCAACGTACCGTATCAACCCCTCCAAATGCGAAGGAGATCAGCAAATCAGACTGCGATGCGATCAACTAGCTCCTCCACCGAGCGATTCTTGCATTTCTGCAGGGTCTGGTAGCAGGACTCGCAGATGCGCAGGCAGCAGAACACACAACGGTGCCGGATCTCAATGTCGAATTTTTGACAGGTCATGCACGGCATCGGGCACCACGTGTTCTGTGCCACGGGCATAGCGCGGTGCTGCTGGTAGCATGTGAGGTGTATCTCGTTCAAACTCGGTGCCACGGGTTCAATATCCGGTGGGACGAAGGGCGAGGGGGCCAGCTCTTCGCGGGACAGTTCTGGCACTGCGAGTGGCGGTTCGGCACTGTCTGGAGTCGGGATCAAGTCTTCCAGTTGGGGAGAATTGGCCTCGTCCGCTGGAACTGGGACCGGAGCGGGAGCTGAATCCTGGACTATGGTCGGAATTTGGGGCGGGGGAGAGGGGGTTACTGGAGTTGGCTGTTGAGGCGCATGGAAATCGGGTTGCGATTTCTTGCTTCGCATGCCTGTCGTGCGAGAGGAAGAAGACTGTGTTGGGACGGGGACCCGTTCAATTGGGCGTCGTTCTGGGACTGCATTTCGAGGGATCGGAGGGAAGTATGGGTTGTCGGATGCGCTCCGTGGAATTTCCTCTTTCGGAGGAAGTGGGAGTTCCTTGTCCGGCGGAGGGGCCGGCTTTGGTGGAGGAGCAGAGGCGGCTATCGGTTTCGAGGTTTCCTCGAGCAAGTCGGATTTCTTTTGGAAGGAGAATTGCGATTTCGTTGCCGAAGACTTCAATCCTGCGAGAGAGGGTACACGAAGGCCGCGAGGGCGCTTCTCTGAATCGAAGATTGCCATGTTGTGTCAAAAAAAAAAACACACAGGAAGGGATCAAAGCCTCTTTTAAAAAGGAGAGAAAGGGAGTGAAAAATGATAGAAAAATTCCTAAATTAATCTCTCTCTCCACCCAAATAGCCGATCCATGCATATATATACGGATTTCCTTGAATATTCCCCCACTATTGGTTGATCCATAGCCTCTAGAGCTCCTCTAATCTACTATGTTTCAGATGAAAATTGGATCTATGGGAAGTTAATCGATCTAATGGATTTGTGTGTTGATGCCCCTGAACTTCACACATTCCATATCATATTATCCTTGGATACGAAGTATGGCGATCTCAAATTCCCAATGGATTTACATGTCGAATCTGTATATATTCCAAATATTTCAATTTTTCAAATCATTTCACATTCAACCTTCTGCAACGGGGATATACGACCTGCGTTCTCGTGCAGCCTAAATCAGTTAGTCGGTTTCTTAGTATTCCCATTGGCATCGACCTACCTCAACATATCGTTCAATCCATGGCTTGCAGGCAGCCCAAGCCAGTAGTCCACCTGTAGCAAAAATAAAAATAAACACCACCGCTTCGTCTTTTCGTGAATCTCGCTCTATCCAGTCAGCACTTATGTTGTATCCAATATTCTTCTTCCACTTACGGAAGCAAGTCGTGTACACATCTTCCTCCTTGGCGCCTTTGCAGGTCGGTAGCTCGTAGTCGAGACAGAACTTGCGATTGCAATCGTTGCAATTCAGGGAGCGGTATTTCGGTGCTCGTTTGCTGTATTCATCGATACGCTCCAGCTCGCTGACAGAGCTGCGCTCATAAAAGCGGACGTGGTCGATGCCGGAGGAGGATTCGGACTTGGCGGGATTGAGGGGGATGATCGTGCTATTAGAGAAACAGGTACATTTGCAAAAGGAGGTTGGCGCTGTAAAGACTCAATATTAGTATAGATATCGACGCGAAGATAGTAGCATTTCCATCTCCCACTTGGCGCTTGGAGGCGGAGAGAGGCTAGCACTTACTGGATGCCGCTACCAATGATGTGAGAGACAGAAATGTGAAGAGCAGCAGCAGCAGCTGTATGCTGCGCTGTGAGGACCAGGTAGAAACCATCCTGGGCACGCAGTGGACGATGCGACAAGTCCTGGTTTAGCTGGCTTGGATGACGAGGACATGCGGGTCACATGACCGTGTACGCAATCCAAAGAACCCTGGAGCAAAAGATGCCTTGATTATTTTTTATATCTATATTGGATCAAAGGCACTTGGCTTAGATTACATGATATTGGTGTTGAAAAGGCTACAGGCTGCCTCGTTTATGTAAAAGCACCATATCAGAGTCTAGATACATCACTCAACACGGAAAACTGGGGCTCGAATTTATGACTTTCCCTTGAATCCCTTCTTCCGGTTGTCTCTCTGTCTCTGTTCCTTAGCAGCATCACGTCGCCTCTTCTTCCAGGCGCGATTGTTGTCACCGCGATTCTCCCAGAACCACTTGGCGAATTCGGTTTCTTCCATGCTTGCACCGGCTTCCGGGCGAGCTTTTGTGACAGGGCTGTCGATCGAAACATCCTCCTCCGAGTCCTCACTCTCGTTCCATGTCATGTGTCGAGTGGCCGCAGTAGTATCGGGGGTGGGAGCTGCACTGCGCTGACCTCGGTTTTGTAGGTCGTTCTTCGTGAAGGGTGTGAAAGGTGTCTGCGGCTCAGCCATTTGAGGCTCATCCTCGGATTCAATGTCATTGCCAAAGAAACTGAATCCAGCCTCGGCCTCGGGAGCTGGTTGGTTATCGGATGCTGTCGGGGCGGCTCGCTTGAAAAGAGCTTCGAGAGGGTGGACTTCCTTGGCAGATACATCTTGTTTCACCTCTTGCGCAGCCTCTGTAGGATTCTCATCCGACTCTGACTGGCTTGGCGCCTCAGCATCAGCGTCACTAGCTTCTGTAGACTTGGTCTCTTCCTGAGATTGCGGCTTGGCGTTCTCCTCGTCGGAAGATGCAGATGAATCTTCGGAGTTCTCATCTGCTTTCTTCTCGTCCAACTCACTCTCCGAGTCACTGCCCTCAGAAGATGAGCCACTCGATGAGGTATAATCTTCAGACTCGGAAGATTCCTCTGGAGTCTTTTCCTTGCGTGAACGCTTTTTCATGTCTTTGGCGGCCGATTTGGCGGCTCGACGCTTCTCCTTGGCTCCTGGAATCTGACCAGGCCGGTAATTATCTTTCGAGATCTTCTCGCTGGCGGGTTCTCTCAGATTCCCGGTGGAATCCACCCAGCCTTTTCCATCTTCAAATACAGCCGTAGGCGCTGTGCTTTCCTCTGCAGTGCGTAGGAAGCTTGGCTGGGTCACCGTTTTCTCAAATTCATGGATGACATTGTCCTTGGACTTCTTCTTCTTCTTTGTTTTCTTATCATCGGAAGTTGCGTCGGATGCTCGGTTGGGCGGGATCGTTGCTCGGAACAGACATTCGGGTTTGTCGGTGTACTTGGACTTGGGCTGCAGTTTTTCTTCTTTGCTCTTCTTCTCTTTCTTCTCCGATTTTCGCCTTTCCTGCTTGGCATCACTGGTCTCGGTCCAACCTCGTTTCACTTTGCGGTCTGCGGGAAGTTCAAAGCCTTCCACTACACCGTCCTCGGGCGCTTGCTCCTTGGACTTCTTGGACTTCTTCTTGGCACTAGAGGGGGCCTCAGGCACCACATCCTCTTCCTCTCGGTGTCTCTTTTGAGGGCGGGCCGCCTCGACTTTGAACTTCTTGCCCTTGAGAATTGAGCCGTTCAGCTTCTTCTTGATCTTCTCCGCTTCCATGTTTGGCAGAGTCACGTATCCGTAGTTATTCTCTGGGAAGGTGGGAATCTCGTGGAATGATATTTCGGTGGCCAAGTTGCGAATAGATGCTGGCAGCACCGAGGGAAGGATATCCTGGGTGAAAGGCGTGATATGCAGTCTAGTCGTTTCAGTCATTGCCAGATAATAGTAATAATGAGTAGGCACTAATGCATGACCTGTGGAGGATGTTACGGTTTCAAGGTAATGGGGAAGAATCCAAAAGCTTCAACACCACCGTTTTTTTTTTTGGAGCAAAAATATTGTACAGACTGGTTTTATGCCACCGCCCTTTTCAAGGTGGATGACTATTGGTTAAGATGATTCCGAGGTTGGAGATTAGATGTTGGCCTTAATTGGCCTGAGTTGGCCTTTGTAGTTTCTCAAGTACCTAAAACTTCACTTTCTATGCCTAATACCATAGTTAATTAAGTACTCAATACTTTTCAGATCTGCAAGGTTAAAAACTTGTACCCTGTGCATCCTATGATGTATATACTATTAAAAGTAGTCCATGACTTGACGATGACGATGGATCAAATCCTATGGGATTTGATAAAAAATGTATCAACTGTTTAACTCTGTTTTAACGATACTGCATATATGCATGTTAATCTAAGATTTATGTATAAAACATCCATACATGTAGGATAACTAGTCCAGGCCTTTAAGATAAACAGGTATACTTGCCTAAATTTTTTTTTATATATATTAACCAAAAAATAACATCCGCCACATCCGATACTTCTTTCTTTCTACATGAATTTGAATCTGTAAACGTTCGGCTTCACCGGGGGTTGTAGAAATTCCTCACCGATCTCACTTCCCCAGTTACTCCGGACAGATCACCCCCCGCTCTGAAGTTACTCTTACCTCCACTCTCTGGCTTTCTCCCCCCATCTCCTTTATCATTTCTACACCAATACAAATTAAACCCCCTTGGGGGCCCTTTCCCATATCCATTCGGAGTTAATCACCGTGGACTTGTGGATAAGCGACGTACTCCTATCTCCCCATCCTTCCCCTCACCACATCCCCTCTTGGCTCTCCAACATGGGAAACTCCCAGACAAAGGAGTCACGCTCCACACCATCAAGTCGTCGAAGTCATCAATTATCATCGGGCGCCTCCGATGGCTCAAGTCGGCCGTATCATGGTTCTCGGTCAGCAAGAGGTAGTAGGCCTGACCTTTCGATTCTTGGAATCGGCAGCCATGATCGAGAGGCCACATTAGAGCATCGACGGGAAACAAAACAAGAGCGCGAGGCCCGCCGCTTGGAGAAGGAACGGGTGGCTCGTCTCAAAGAGAGGGAGCGCAGTATGAAGGAGGAGCATGTCGATGGAGGCTATCTTGTGACACAGGGCGTGTATGTGGGGACAGAAGACTACAATAAGGTAGTGGTGCGCCAACTGATGGTATGTTTGACTGGGATCCCCTATCGATGCGAATTAGCCAAGGCTAACAGGCTAGATTGAACGCCGACTGGCTCCCTTCTGGAGAGGTCTTAATGACTTCTCGGAGTCATGGGCTGAGCATCAGATTATGGCGGCTGCACGAGGCATGCCCATTCCCCTACCCGATGAGATCCCACCCGAGTTGGAGTACAAATTATCCAAGATCACGGACAAAGCCTCTGCCGATCCGACAAATATTCAGCATCTGACAGTGCCGATCACGTCCAGATCGCAATCTTATAATTCAGATGTTTCACAGTCCTCCAACCCCCCTCAATCATTACCCTCCGCATCTCCCATCGCATCCGGGACATCCACCTCCCCTCTTTTCCGAACAAGAGCGAAGACCTTGGCTGCTTTGACAACCTCCAAGCATAACTCACAAACAGATCTAACGCCCCGGGAAATGCAGCTTCCCAAGGACCCATTTGTCAACGGACAGCCGATCGAAGTCAATCTGTACAAAGACGCAAGCGAATGTCCGATCTGTTTCCTCTACTATCCGCCGTATTTAAACCGTACCCGATGCTGCGATCAACCTATTTGCTCCGAGTGTTTTGTGCAGATCAAACGCCCGGACCCGCATCCCCCAGAGCATGGAGAGCCGAACACGAATGCTCCTTCAGCTGAGGGAGAGCAGGCTGAGTCGACCGAGTCACAGCTGGTCTCTGAGCCCTCGGCATGCCCCTTTTGTGTCCAACCGGAGTTCGGAGTCACCTATTCACC